CAGGAAATCAGTTTTGCTAGCTGGAACATTAAATCTTAATCACCCCTCCATGGACCAACTTCATCGTCCGAATTAATAAAATTCAGAAGTTAAAATACGTTCCGTTCCCTCTGGGCTATGGTAAGATAATTTCGAGTATGACGGAAATTATAAAATATAACTAAGAATGATTGATTCACTTTGAAGCAAGTGGTGATTAATTTGAAAAAGAAAATATTTAATAAATAAAGAATGCAAGAAATTGGGTGTGCAGTGTGCCTGCTTTGCTTACTAACGGGAGGACATAGAATCATAGAAATGGTCGTTGGAAGAGAGGTCGCGAAGACGTCAAACAGACAACGACGAACAACAGGCTATCATCCCCAGCACAGCACACCAATCAAATCCACAAAGTCTTTGCTACTTCGCTTTGCCCATTACCTTACCTGCCCGGCCCTTCCTCTCATAATTCGCTCCCTAATTTTACTCTTCCCATTATCACCAATATTGATGAATATATAATTTGTCAATATCATTCATGAATAATGTCATGTTTCATTCTTAATATTTGCCTGCTCCTTTCCATTTTGGTTTTGCCAGTCGCAATAAATTCATCCACACCAGGACGCTTAGCTAACCGCCACCCACCACCACCATTCTCCCTTCTTCCTTTTTCTTATTTTTGCAATTTTCAGTTTTTCAGAACTTACAAGCATCCAAAAGACATGGCTATGGCGTAGTTGCATTAAAATATTTATATTTACCTTTCCTAGAAGAGAAGAGAAGAGAAGAAAGAGAGCAAGAAATAAGAAGAAATATATAATTATTAATGCATTAAAAATTAATTACTACTAGGCCTACATAGCATAGAAGGTCGTGCTGAGATTAGAGAGTTGAGCAAGTGAGAGGAATCCCAAAGCCACTGTCCCAGTTCTAATACCGTTTTCTGTTTGGAGGCCCCTATTCTCGCTCTCTCTCGCAGCTGGTGTAATATTTATATACTAGTACTACTACTAGAATTTAATTTATTAGTGTCAGTAGACTACTTTAAATATATTAGGTACAACCTTCAGTAAGCTTCGATCCCCTCTATGAAGAGCGAATACCTTGTAGTTAAATGGCAGCTTGTGATTTGGTAGGAGAAAATGGCAGTGAAATCAATGGCAGCTGCAACAGCCGAGAGAGCCCAATAACAAGCGCATCCAACAGCAATACATCAGAGGGGAAAATGATGAGGAAGAGGATGGCTCCTGAGATTGCTGACTATCACAGGTTTCCTCGCCGCAGCCTTGCCTCTGACAACATAGGTAGCTCTTTCTTGACAGCGGCAACCACTACTAATAACCCTAATCCACTTCTCAACCACTCCACTATCAATATGAATACGACGATAATCCCTTCTGCAAACTTGACCGCCGTGACGTCAGGCGGGTCTGCTTTTTTATCTACAACCAACTCCAACTTTACTTGTATTGACACCCTCTCCACTAATAATCCTCAGACCCCTGCCGTCTGTGGCTTTTCGGGTTTGCCTTTATTTCCACCAACAGACAGAAACAGAAACACCGTCATCCCCGCCGCCGCCCCACCACATCCGCAACTACTACCCCTGTTGCTTTAACTCCGGTCTCGAATTCTATGGACGACACTTCGGCCACGGCATGGATAGACGGCGTCATAAGGGACCTCATCCACACCTCCTCTAACGTCTCCATTCCTCAGCTCGTCCACAATGTCCGGGAGATCATCTACCCCTGCAACCCAAACCTCGCTGCCGTCCTCGAGTACAGGCTTCGCTCCCTAATGGATCCACTAGAAAGGAGAGGGAAGGAGGCACCATCTTTGCATCTGCCCGAAGGCTTTTTGCAGGGGCACCATAATCAGCAACAACAAGGCTCTTCTGGTCTCACGCTTAACTTGGACTCCGCCCTAGATAGCCTTCCTAATTACTCCTTGCCCGAATCTTGTGCTATGAGTCAGTACTTGAGCTGGGGGACAAATCCACTTCCCGTCTCTAACAGTGCAGCAGCTATAGGTAACAACCAACAACACCATCACAATCAGATTAGCAGTAGCCCTTCTGCGACTACCCCTCCGATTCTTTCACTAATTCAGACACAGACTCAAGTACCTCATCACCACCAGGCTCAGGAGCAGCCGCTGCCAGAAGAAAACCCTTCCCTAGTGGAGAAGACGACGACCTCGATGACTACTACAACGCCCACGTCCACTGTCCAAACAGTCCAAGCATGCAGCGCTAGAGACAGGAAAGAGGAGTTACGGCAGCAAAAGAGAGACGAAGAAGGATTGCATCTCTTGACCTTACTCCTGCAGTGCGCTGAGGCAGTATCAGCTAATAACTTTGAGGAAGCAAATAGGATGCTGTTAGAGCTGTCGCAACTGTCAACGCCGTTTGGGACGTCTGCTCAGCGCGTGGCAGCATATTTCTCAGAGGCTATGTCGGCAAGGCTTCTGAACTCGTGCCTGGGAATATGCGCTGCGCTTCCATCGATTCCACCGAGCCATGCCCAAAAGATGGTGTCGGCATTCCAGGTGTTCAACGGGGTAAGTCCATTCGTCAAGTTCTCGCATTTCACAGCCAATCAAGCCATACAAGAAGCGTTCGAGAGGGAAGAGAGAGTGCACATAATAGATCTTGACATAATGCAAGGCCTGCAATGGCCTGGGCTGTTTCACATACTTGCCTCAAGACAAGGCGGGCCTCCGCACGTGCGGCTCACGGGGCTGGGAACCTCCTTGGAGGCCCTGGAGGCGACCGGGAATCGTTTATCTGATTTTGCTAACAAATTGGGTCTTCCCTTCGAATTCTGCCCGGTGGCAGATAAGGTGGGGAATTTGGAACCCGAGAGGCTCAACGTGAGCAAGAGGGAGGCGGTAGCAGTTCACTGGCTGCAGCACTCTCTTTACGACGTAACTGGTTCTGATACCAATACGCTGTGGCTCTTGCAAAGGTGACTAACATGACGTTCTTACTCCTTAACTTGCTTGCCTTTGCTTCCATAAATTTCTTTTAAAGTTTTTTTTTTTTTCATTTTTTAATTACTGTTCATTGGACATAGTTAACACATAATTATTAATAATTATATACATGCACAAGGCCACGATCACAAACACACTCATACCGCTTTTTCTTTTCACCTTAATTTGTTGCCCTTTTGTTAATTATAAATTGAATTTGTTTTATTTTGTTTTGTTTTCGAGTCTTCGATGGTCTGAAGCATGACTGTCCATGACTAAAAAATGAAAATAAAAGAGCATGTTTTGCTTTGTATGTCCTCTTCGTCAGAAATCTAGTTTTGCTAATCTTAGTTTTCATTTAACAAGTATGAACAAGAATATTAATTAGTTTTGGTGAGATACGTATACAATGTATGTAACTGAGGTGTCGTATGCGAAAGCAGATCAATCCTTTGTTATTGGATAAGTGAAAATGATTGTTTTTCTTATGGTTTGCTATGATTTTTGAAGCTAATAACGTACGTTTGATTAAATTAAAAACATATTCAATCAATATTGCCTAACACGTGCGCTTGGGTTGATGAATATAATATGTGTTTGAGGTACTCAGATTGGCACCCAAAGTAGTGACGGTTGTAGAGCAGGACTTGAGCCACGCCGGATCATTTTTGGCGAGGTTTGTGGAAGCCATACACTACTACTCGGCCCTGTTTGATTCCCTGGGGGCAAGCTACGGGGAGGAGAGCGAAGAGAGGCACGTGGTGGAGCAGCAGCTACTTTCCAAGGAGATACGAAATGTGCTGGCACTTGGAGGCCCTTCCAGAAGTGAGGACGTGAAATTCCATAATTGGAGGGAGAAGCTGAAGCAGTCTGGGTTCAAGGGTATCTCTCTTGCTGGCAATGCAGCGACGCAGGCCACCCTGCTCTTAGGCATGTTCCCATCTGATGGTTATACCTTGGTTGAGGACAATGGAGCCCTCAAGCTTGGTTGGAAAGACCTTTGCTTGCTTACAGCTTCTGCCTGGAGACCCTTCCATGTTAATGCTGCCAGTGCCACAACTATCCACCGCTGTTCCCACTAGTTAATTTTCCTTTTGTATTACTAGGTTCTTTGCTCTGTCGCTAAGATTATATGTTTGTTTATGTCTGGACTCTTGAGGGAACACTACTTACTTCAGCCTTCAAGGGATCCCAGTGTGCTGCCAATCATCATTAACTTTACAATTTGTATTATTCTGAGATCATAGTTTTTTTTTTTTTTTTTAGGTTTGAAATCATAGTTATTATTAGTATTTATTAGTGGTTTCAAGCTTTTAGTTGACGATATAACAGATGACGCATCCCCTGCACCCTTCCCTACTAGCATAAGCTAAGTTAAAATTTCCATTTCATCATCATGGCAACGTTTTAGAGACTCTATGCTTTTCATTACTATTTCATAAATATGGAATCCACAAGACAACTACTAAATAAATGAAGATAGATGTTCAATTTAGTTTCTTACATACAAAAGGAATAGAAAAGAGCAAAGGTTATCGAAGTGTATGAATTAGTACAGCCACCGTAAATAGAAATAGACGAAGGGTTCCAATAATTCGCAGCCACGAAACATTGGTGGTTGAGAGTAACACAGACACTGGCAAGCCAAGTACTATTTTGCGCCAAACCATGGATTTCAATTCCAAACTAAACGGAGCCCTTACAATAGAAAACAAAAAGAAAAATATTCAGGACGGGTCTCTCTCTCTCTCTCTCTCTCTCTCTCTCTCTCTCTCTCTATATATATATATATATATATATATCCTAATCCAGTATGCACAAGCACAACCTACTTTTGAGTTTTGACCAACTCAAAGGGTAAGAGAAGACGCTATCATGTAATCAAGCACTCCGGACAGCTCCTGATCTGTGTATATTTTACGTTTTAATGTCACCCCCCCACCCCCCAAAATAAATAAATAAATAAAAGAGGGGGGAAGCAATACGAGTATCTATGATGCCAAACCAGCAAGCGTTACGTCGAATTCATTTCAACATCGAGAAATCCAACATCAAATAATACAAATTAATTGGAGAATTAATTAGTTGACTGTTTTCATTAGACCTAAACAACACAATTTTAATCAAACAAAAAATCCTAATTTGAAGGGCAAATTACCACTCTCTATTCTCATCAACAACCATGCATTGTCTTGAATGGCCATTGAAAATCCCTGGAACAGACTTGCAAATCAAACCCTTCCCTGTATGCGATTATTTGTCACATAATTCACTGTACCAGACAAAGCTAGAAGCAGACAATGAAGCTCCTCCATCACTTTCTGCATTCTCCAACAATCATTTCAAAACCTCAAATCCATCTTTTCCTAGCAACTGTAGCCAACTCCAGGGAACTCAACCCAAGGTTTCAAAGTCCTTCTATTTACTGAAAAAGATCAGAAATATATGCACCGAGGTCATCACAGCTGCACTTTGCTGCCATCTAATACCCTTCAAACTCTAGCTCAATGTCAAAATTCTCAGCACTTACTTCCTTGAGCTCTAAATTTTCCAAGGATTCAAAGAGTCAAGGCTCATTATGGATTTACATTGCACTCACTTAGAAATTGATCTTCATGGTTCAGAAACTTCTTCCAGTACACCTTGTACTTGGGAATTCCCAGCTCAAGCCAAGGTTTCATATTTCCATTATAGTGCAACACAGCAGCTTTCTTGATGTCTTTAATATTAACCCCATAGTCATGACCAAGGCCCGATAAAACCCACTCACTGTCAAGTGCGTATATTAGATCCTGAAAAGTAAGCAAGCTAGCAAGCAAAGCAGATCCCCCTTTCATGCTGACCTGCTGTTCACGTATGAAATGAAGTCAAAACCGTCAGAAATTGATAAAATGGATTTAGGTTAGAGGTTGATTTCATACCCAGTCATGCAATTAATGCCATTTTTAAACAGTGTTTTGCACATGTAATTGAACTGATAAGAGATATTATTCAACATAAGCAGACACGCACCTCTTTCACCAACTTCCAGTAAGTTTGAGAAATGCCTAGCTCTCTCCACCTTACCAGATCAATTACATTCAATCCAGACATCCAAGAGCACGAATTTTTGTGGAAGATGCTTTCACCCAAATAACTCTGTAGCTGGCCCAATCTCACTGAGCAAATTTGAACAGCACCCGTCACTTTCCCTCCCATGTCAAGGCTCCATAGTGCTGACAAGTCTTGCTGGACAACAACATCATCATCCAGAACCACAACTTTCTCCAGGTTTTTGAATATCTCAGGAAGAAGATAATGAGAATGAGAAAAAATAGATATGTATTGTGTTCTATTATGCATTGCTGCTGCATTATCACTGCTGTGAAAGGAAACTCGAAACTCCACAGGTAAGGACAGGTGAGATAGAGTTGCTTTATTGAAGTAATCTGGATTAAGATGTTCAATATTCAACACCTGAACCACAGCATCCTTAAAAGCATTCCTTAGAAACCAAAGTTTCATCGCATAGTAATTCTGTCCATCAGTCAGCACATGAAAAACCAGGTTCATACTGTCCTGAAATATAGCAGTATAAACAGTCAGTGTCACCACTAGAACTGAGGCATAAAACAATGAAATGACGTCAAAGAATAACTAAGACATACTCTTGCACGCATAACAGTTGAGTTTATTACAACTGATGATGCAATGACATTATTGGAGAATATAACATAATGTAGTAATGTGGGATCGGAATATTTCTCAGACAGCTCCTTATCAAATGAATGGTCTCTGAAATATTCCACAGTTAGTCTCATAGACAGGCAGTGCAGGCTCTTAGGCATCGTCTGGACTGCAAGCTGGTAGAGAAAGGCACCCTGCTTCATGTGAAAGTTAGCTTCATCCTCAGTCAGGTCAAATATTTGTCTCAATTTCTTGTCAACATTATTACAATCCACAGAAACTGATTTGGATCTGGCTATTGCAGCATCCATCCGTCGTAACTTCTTCTGAATCCTGATACAAGCCAGTAAAATTGACTTGGTGCTTAGGCAAGAAATATGAACATTCTAGCTAGCTAAAAGAACACAAGATTTCTGTGACCACTATTTATCTGACCAATCTGCCAAACGGACAGAAATAGAGAAAGAGAAGAGGGCGATGGAGGGAAGCCAAGAAAACTGCTAGACTACAGCACACAACATTACCCACAAAGATGTTGAACCCACTCTGTGATATCTTAACTCTTAGGGATCTAGAATTCGTAATGATAAGTTAAACACTGACAGGCAGTTTAACAAAATACTGCTCATCATAGCAGCTCGACTTGGGACTAAATAAATCAATACTAAGTATAAGAAGCTTTCTCCAGAGTGCTGCGGTTATGTCAAGTCATCAGGAACACTTATGAGATGAATTTAAAAACCATACAGGCATATGATATACTTCTACCAGATGCAACACATTAACATATCAGGTGAAAGATAAACACCTCATACAGCATAGTCTTTCAGGAAAACATATGAAAGACAGCCAATTACTAGAAGAATGATCTAACAAGCTGAAAGATAAAGTCCCTACTCCTGGATTTGAACAAAATAGCACAACAGAGAGAAAATGAACAAACAGATGGGAGTGTAAAAGGACAAATCGTCCATATATTACATCCATTTCAAATTTCCATTTTTACTATTTTGGATGTTCCAATAATGTCTAGTTTCGCTAAATGGAATATATTTTTCCAATGTTTCCCTTTGCTGAAATACTAACTTAAGGTGGCCCCTCTAAATTTTATGACACTTGAAGGGTAAAAGTTGTAAAGGGACAACATACCCCATAAAGCTTTGTGCCTAATGGAAAATTTTCAAATGGAGAGAGTACAACATTTTATTTGTAAACTAACATTTCTAGTCAGTAAAAGGATTGGTATCCTCATGGTATCAAACCTGCAATAATTGGCCTTGTTCACGAAAGTTTATGAAGTCATGAAGAAAGCACCACACTTACTCTGGCGGAAGATCAGCATCCATAGTACTTTCACTAAGGACTCGCTCTAGTTCTTGAATATTTTGTCGCAGTTCATGAGACAACTTGTTCTGGGCTGGTATTTTTGCAATACTAGGAAAATATGCCCTGGCTACAAAAAGCTGGTCCTTCAATTTCCTCACTGTAGAATCTTTCATTTCTTCCCTATTTTCTTCACGCCAAATGCAGTAGCTCCCATATTTCAACTCACATAATCCCTCACTTTCATCAACACCACCTCTCATTCCCGCTTTACCAGTAACTCTACTAATCTGTGAGAGAAAATCAAATTATTTTGAGATGTTATATATAGGCAATAAAAAGATTTACTACATAGTACGTAACAAACTTTTCATTGATATGCATACATTTCTATTGGTGAGTGGTTGCAGCACATTTTGAGGCGGAGCTAGAATACCTGTTGATTATATTAAAAAAAAAAAAAAGAAAAGTGGGTTCCAACCGAAACCTAATAAAAAGGCAAGGAAAAATTATCTGAGACGCAGTTAAGAAAAATGTGTTCAACCAGACCTTTCTTCTGCTGACTTTTAGGTGTGGCATTTGTACTGCTGGTTTCATTTTTAGCTTCATTTACAAAGCCTTGAAGAATATCCTGAAGTAAAAAGTATTAAAAAAAAAAGACAAATGTTAAAGGCGAACATGTATATAATCATAAGCTACTGTGGTATGGTTTTAAAAATTATGAGCCAACTATAAACATGGAAGAGGTACTTTTATGGGAGCATTTCACCTATAAATGTCCAATCACAACAGAGAATTATTAGTGAACATAGGATCTAACCACAAGTTTTTAGTAAAATGCCAAGAGAATATACTAGCAAAGCTAGATGGAATCCTTAGGCCATATCTTTTTTTCCCACCCAACAGATGCAGAATGTGGTACAGTGATACTAGTATTTTCTCCATATTATAAAAGAATAAAAAAAAAAAGGAGAGAAAGGACTCAAGAGAAGGAGGAGACTGAAGGTTGGAGCTGAAGCCCTCTAAAGCTAGCATACTAGAAGCAAATTACAGAATCTATTCTCCAACATTATATGTCAAATCATAATTTAGGTTCATTACTACCGGTTAATTTGAAAAATTATCTTCTGATTTCCTGCATAATGGGCAAAAAGCTTTGAGTCTACCCTAAAGTATTAGGTCCTAAGAAGGTTGGGCAGGCCTAACCTATACTTCAAGCATAAGCAAGTCTCGCATAAAATGATAAAAGTACATTTGTCTTTTGACATTCCATTCATGGTTGTCAGTACTGTTTGTACTGGCCAGTATGTCTAGGTTTTGCCCCAAACCAGTAAATTTAATTGTTTGTTTCACTCTTACTTACATTCCGGTTTGCAATGGTGCATACCATCTCTTCCAGCAAGTTTCTGGCATTTTTGGATTGTAGAAGTTTCTTGGTCAAGCAGATAGATGAGTTTAGTATATGGGTATTTCGGGTTAATTGTTCAGATGGCTTCTTCCTTTCAAATTCTATCTATAATTTCTTGAAAATAAGAGACAAACAAAAAAAAAAAAAAAAAGAAAAGGAAAAGATATAAGAAAAAAAGAAAGTGTTTTAAATTGTAAAGGCCACTGGAGAGAGAAGGAAAAGCTAAGGTTGAAGAACAGTAAAGTGGTGCAATGAAAGAGTCAACTGTCTTTGAAAAGGTCATTTAGTTTCTAGGGTTACTGATGGTCGAGTACAGAGATGGATCTGGGTCAACAAAATCAATAAAGTGCAGATCAATTTTTAAAGCATTATTTTCATGCAAAGCCTATTAGAAGTTTAACCAGAAATAGAAAAGCATTAGAAACATTAAAATAAGAAGCAAATATTGAAGAAATTCTTAGGCACTATGCATCTAAAAATATAATTAATCCTAAGTTTACAGTTTTTTTGTATTGAAGTATCAGTGCCACATGGTTATGGCTTTTAGGTTGGCTTTTTGGTTTTGTTTGTGTGGGTTTTGAGATTTTTATCTTGGGCTTTTTAGGTTGGATAGTTTTTTGAGAAAAAATTTAGGTTGCCAAAGAGAAAATGCTTAATTAATTCTTTATTATTAATGGATTGCATCAAAGTGTTGAAAAAAAATCTAAAAACTATAATAAAAATGTTAAAATAGAATATAATAATTGTTTGAATAGTTAAATATATAATAATAAATTTTATTAAATATATTATAATTTGAAAGAATATAAATATGTTACTAATCGATTAGTATCATTTTTTTTTTTGAGGAAATTCGAACCAAATATTTTTTATAAGATTGATGCATACACATATCATTAAAGCAAAAAATCAATACATTCTTCTAAAATAAAAGTAATAGAATATAATAATTGTTTGAATATTTAAAAATATATAATAATAGAATTTATTAAATACATTAGAATTTCAGATAATTAAAAATTTTGAAAGAATATAGATATGTTATCAATCAATTACTATGATATATATGTGTGTGTGTGTGTGCGTGTGTGTGTGTGTGTATATATATATTAATAAGGCTGATATATACACTTACCATCAAAGTAAAATTTCAATATATTCTTTTAAAATAAAACAAAATTAGAAGCTGAGCATAGCGGGACAAGTTTTCTAGTTTTAAATAATACTTTAAATAATACGTACACACAAAATAAATTGAATAGTATGACAACCTCGATCCCATTTGCTCAAGGAATATAACTTTTTAGGCACCGTATTAAATGTATGAAGAAAAATTAGTCAAAAGGAAAATGTTTTAGAGTTGAAGACGAAAATATGAAGGAAATCCAAGAACACAGCTTCTCAATGAAGGGCTCTAGCTGAATTTGCCTGCCTCAAAAAGGGTATATATGTTTTCCACTAATTTTCAAGATGTCACCAAACAATAAAAAATATATATTTTGTAGAATAGTTTCTTCATGAGGGGCATCAAGGCTAATCAACTTTCTAATTTATCTGGTAATTTTGATTTCCAACAAATGTTCAGGCATCCGTTTTGTGCATATAACACATCAGAGCAAATCAAAAGAAAACCTCAAATCTTAGTTTCTTGTTTTTACAGAAAAAGACAAGTTAGATACTGAGGTAACATCAATTACGTGTTTTCACAAACTTGGGAAAAAGAGTTGCATCTATTTCATAAAAAGTAATTGCATTTATGGATCAAAGATACAACTAACATTGGAAAACCTGACTTCAGACAACAAAAAAAAGAAAAGGTGAGGAGCCAGGATATTAAGAAGCTTGTATGGGGCTTTACTAATAGTACAGAATTTGTCATTAAACATCGAAGTAACAGGATCTAGTATGTGTCCTTTCTTGAAGTAGCATTAAACTTGAATCAATCCTCAGTAGGATTTACAACCGCTTTAAGGACATGCTTTTTAATTTAAATGTATAGGTTTCCAGTAAATTTTCAACAGTTCTCAATGTGTTTCTTAGGGTTTGTTTTTGAGTTTCTCCTTAAATAGTCTATATAAGTTAATTGCTTAATTCCAAAAGATAAGGAACAATAAGTAAAAGGTGAAAGGCACCCTCCAAGCACAACAACCTTTGTATCACCTGAGACAAAGGTGCTAAAACTGGCTCACCCAAGGAAAACAAGAAGCCATGCAAATATATATCCACACATAGATACAAATTAGAGAACAAAAATATATGCATATATAGGGAGAGATGCAGAAAACATCTACCCAACTGGATTATATGAATTTTTAAATGGTATATAAAAGGATATTAAGCATTGGTTCAAGCTGTACAAATTTGGTTTAGTTGTCAATTTTACTACTTGTTCAAAGGCAAAAATAATAAGTTTAGATACAATAAGAAAAAGAAAAAACTAAAATTTCAATTTTCATTTTCATGAATAACATTATATATATATATCACCATATTGACATTGGTATCTGCATCAAATGATCAAAGAAACATTCATAGCATTGCTGCCTTTAATTTATCTACTGGTAGTTTTATTAACAAATGGTAAATATCACTTTACACTGATAACAAAGTGGAACTTTAGTTTTTATGAAAATGAATACGGAGCTTACCATTATTTGTTGGCAAACAAGCATAATTTTTGGACTCTCACCAAATAATTCAAGTCTTTTGGTTCAGTGGTTTTTGAAATGGTCCCAAATGATCCAGAATTTGAATCCTAACCACTTCTATATGCTAAATTTATAATTTTCAGCAGGGTGCAAAAGCAGTAAGCAATAAGCCCTTCTTGTCAACATGTTTGCATAGCTCAATGGGCTTGCACAAGTGTGTCCCCTATATGAATAAGATCACCTGATGTTTTAAACTTTTAAGTGGAGTAATTATTGACATGGATTATTTTGAATATTTCCTATTTTTTAAAATATAAAAATGACAGTTTTCCAAATTTGCCAGGAGCAAAACTAAGAGGTCACCAAAGTTCTCATCTATTATGGCAGCTGCCGCACGTGAAACCTGTCCGTTTTATATCTAATAGACATACATCTGCGAACCTTATCATCTTGGCACCATAATCTATATTATCTTAATGGTAGTGAAAAAACTCCTATGCAATCAAAATAACCAGAACATGTCATGAGGAAACAAAACAAAGAAACAAGAATAAATAATCCACTTATGTCCAGAGGAGGTGTCTGCTCGAAGGAACTTTGCTGGTATATCCAGAAGATAAAGACAGCAGAACTGAGATTGCTATCCAAGGACTTGCCATTTATATGATAAGATCTATCTGTCAAATTTCTTTTTTAATAAAAACATATATCAAATTTCTTTGTTTAGGCATTAATAGTTATCAAAAATAAAAAGGCGCCAGTGCTTAGTTTGAAATAAAAGCGAATAAGAACACAAATATGAAAGACTCTTCATAGAATTTTGGGCCTGTGAAATTTCTACTGAAGGAAGTGAGACTTTGAAAGAACTAGGATAAGAATAAAGATAAGAAGTGAAGTTGCAACATCTTAACACAGGATACAAGCTATACCAAAATTGGAAAAACTTTTCCAAAAAAATTCCATGACAGCAGATCATCTTTCACATTCATTTAACATCCTAATTTTCTTATGTTCTTTTCTCAAATAGAGAACCAAACATAATTTTATTCTATTTGAAATATGACTGAATAACTTAGCTTCTTACTCACACAGTAAAAAATTTCGATCATTTTCATTTTCTTTGATACACTATTAAAAAAACAATCAAGAGGTGAAAAGAGTTAACTTTGAAATTAGTCTTATGTCCATTCCATGACCATATCATCTACAGGCTCGATGAAGAAAGAAATTGTGTGGGGATAGATAAACTTTGAAACTAGTAGAGTTTAGTTGCCCACATGTGGTTGTCTTATGTCTCAGTAATTGCCAAGAAGCTAATTTTCGGTACTTTAGCCAAACAAAGCATATCCAAATTCCAGCAAATCACTCTACTGTAGACCCAATGTATAACCCCAAACAAGATACCAAAAGCATTTCAGCTTCTGATTCCCATTTAAGATGTCCAGACATGTGAAATGGTCTTGTTTAAATCTATGAAAAAGACCTCTAATTACACTTTACCTGTATAAGTCATCTGGCATAGCTAACACAAGGATATAGGTACCTGATCATCACTATATAATCTTGTTGCAAAAACTCGAGTGTTATCAACACCAATCATGAACATTATAGGGCAAGTGGAAGGGGGAAGGAAAAAGAAAGATACATCATATTCCAGAAACAAGACATGCATAAAGGAGCATCATGAAAAACCAACCTTTGGTAGAGTGGGTCCTAATTTTCTCACAAGGTTATCTATATGGCTTGAACGATCCCCCTGTCAGAAAATTCAGAGCATAAACTATTATTGTAGGACTATACTAATTTTTCCAAAAGACAAAAATTGATCATTTCATTTTCTACTTTAACATGATGTCAAAATACATTTGCATTTAAGAATTAAGAAAGAAACTGATTTAAAAGCCTAATAATGTAATAGCATTCAAATTTTTGCAACTAAAATTAATGACAGGCCAGAAATTAAAGTTTTTGGTTCAATAGGGATCACAATCTCAAAGACCCTATACGCCAAAAGTGTAACAGAAAAGAAAGTGCATGAAGATAAATGAAGTGAAAGGGAATGGACAAGTAAAATACTTACCGAAGGTGAAGTGTGTTGAAGAGGCATAAATCCTGCAGAGGAAGAGGGAAAGCGCAAATGAAATAAGAAGAGGTAAAAGAGCAAGGATGACTGACTAGAATCAGAGATCTGGTTGACGTTGCTAATAGATAAAAGTGCGTTAAAGTAGAAATGCAGAGTTGATAAGGAGAAATAAGAAATATAAGGAAAAGATTGTAGTGAAATCTAGATCTAGGACTAGGACTCCGATTCCGACTCCGATCGAATACAATGAGAGCAGCAGATACAGATGCAGATGCCTTAATCAAAAACAGATCTGTAAGAGTAAGATTGATGCACCTGCAGAGTGAAAGCCATTGTGTAGACCAAGCAAGAATCCAAGGGGAACAAGCATTGAGAGGACCACAAGAAAGAGGACGCCAATGGCCAGACCTCTCCATCGGCGCTTCGCGTGAGCAACTCCAGCACCGGCACCTTTCATTTCCTTCCTTCTGAACCTTCACTCCTACTTTCCCTCTCGTTTAACGCTATGATTATGATATATTATATAAGCTAAATTTAGATTTTGGAGCACAAATATCAATATTATTTATTTTTTTCAGTGCAATTGCTTGCAGCTCTGGATTTTCTTATGATTTCTGAGCCGCTGGCGCTGCCTGCAGTTGCTCAATCTCATGGACGCATTGTATTCCTATTTCCTACTAAACCAATAAGTAATAAGCCTAGCCTAGAATTTAATTCAAAGACAGACACTCACCTGCAGCGAGAGAGAGAGAGAGAGAGGGCCAAGGCTGACGAAACTCGTTGCACGTGGGAAATTTATCCACCCCTATACCTTTGGCTTTTGTTTTGTGAAATAAATAATTATTCACTAATTAATTTATGGAGTAGTATTTATTTATGACAATTATGAATTAATTATTTAATGTACTAACTTCGGATTTACCCTTTCATGCCTTTTTTTTTTTTTTAAATAAAGTTTAATCATGTTTGTTTATGGTTTATTTTGAGTCTCTATGCACTTCTATGCGATAAAAACTTTTACTTCGTTTTGGTTGATTTTCTCAAATTTTTTATTAATATCTACATGTTGATTAATTATGGATTATGTTGATTTTACTTGGATTAGTTTGGTATGCTAAGGATATATGTTATCATAATGAATTCAAATCCATGTTTTGATTGATAACGCTGTATATCGTTATTTTTGAGTGATTAAAATTGTTTAAGTTTTTTTTTTTTTTTTATCTCTTTTCTTTTCTTCTATCACGCAAACGAAATGTACAAAGTGCTCTACACAAGTCTCAAAAGAAACTGATAGATTTTGCTTGTTGAAAAGTGCCTTACAAAACTAAATCGCCAAAAATTACTTTCCATCTCTTCAGTCACCACAACAGCAATAGCACATTACACAACATTTGAGTCGCAAAATAATAGTCTATTTTGCGATATAAACAATAAACCTGTCAAAGAAGGAATAACTACTTTAGCCCGTTAACAAAAATTGAGGAATACAATACACAGCGTGCTTTTGATCCCATCTCCCCACTTCATTTGATGAAACAAGTTAAAGCGCGATTCCTAGGAGTTATGTCCCAAAAATATGTCTCTGAACAGGTGCAGCATCAAAAGATTTAACCACTTCCATCCATGGTTTGTCTATGATCAAGATGGAATGTTTTGAAAGGTGCCCAATAAATAAAACAGGGTCTCGGAAAACAATTAAATCAAAATTATTTTTTCTACTGGTAACTTTAGACTCTGTTTGACTATCTCTCAACCAATGTTTCCATTTCTTATTGGTGACAGAATCTTGAAACTTGAATAAAGCTCCATTTACCAAATCACTTTCATCATCTTGATCTACTGGCTTCCCAAAGTCAATTGAACACATTGCCCTGCAGTTACAAATGCCATCCATAAAATGCTTAATAAGAAATAAATTAAGCATCCATAAAAGTGCAATTTTTCCATGGCATGCAAAATAATCATTTCAAGAACACTAGCAGCATTTCATTGTAAAACAATCAAGCTGGAAAAAGAAAAGCAAAACAGAACAATAGATGCCACGCAATTAGCCATGAAGAATATTTCTCCATGTCTCACCCCAAAATTAAGCATATCTCCCCCTTAATTTCGAACGGACTATATTTACTAGATCTCCAAAATGCCTAAAGCAATAAAAAAAAATAAAAAAAAAAACCCTTAATCTGCCCAAAAAATTTGGTGGGAGATAAGCTTGTCAGTTTTAAGATAATATATTAGCAAGATGATAGCACATTAATAAGGATGAGAAGGAAATGGAAGAAACCACCACGCTACCAAGGCCAAATGTAAAAACCGTTGCCGGGAACTCAAGATAAAACAGAACAAAATAAAGCACCTAGATCCATCATTTATGTCCTATTTTGGTCATGTCATTCAGCTACAATTACAAAAGAAGTATAGATACGGCATGACAAAAGCACATGTTAAACCACTGCAGCATGGCAAAACAAACAACATAAGAACAGCACCTGGCACTATAAACAACAACTGATGATGATTTTGCCGGATGGGAGGATGATGAAGGGAAGAAAGATAAACCAATAACCTCCCCAGGAAACTCTTGGAATCTTCTGGGAAGAGTGAATGTATGCTGCATTGACCATTCTCCCAATTGTCTAGCTTCCACATCAAATATATAAAACTGGTTTGAAGATGTTGTGATAATAAGCACATTGTTATGCTGAGGGGGAAAGCCACCAGCAGTAACAGAGGCACCATCCAATCTTGATATAAACCAGTGTTGCCTGCTCCAGAAAAACAACACTAAATAAAAGAAACTAAAGCAATGAAAAATCAAAAAGCTTTCAACCTCACCAATCTCACATACATGGTCACATGTGAGTTTCAGTCAGATATGGCATTGTCAACTAGATAGCTATTAAGTAACATCAATTTAAGAATTGTCTCAAATGTAACTTCTTACCTTTGTATCTCCAGATTGAATATGTATATATCTCCAAAGCAGTTGATGGCAGCTAACCACTGACCATCAGAACTCGTGCACATTTTTGTTATGGGAAGCTCACCATGTGGTCCTTGCTTCTCATGCTCTTCACGACAAGGGATGAAGGTATGCAGTATTTTCAAGCTCTCAACATCCACAATCTGTAACAAGAAGAAGAGTAAGTAATTGACAACTTTCACACATGGGAAACAAGTGCGTTTTGTGGTTCTCATATTCTGTGTTTTATTATTTAATTTACATAAAAGAGCTTCTATACATTGCCATTGGAAACTCTTTTCCTTGTTTGCTCCTTCATACATCCAGAACATTCTACAAGAAACAAGTGTACTAGGGTTCCAGAACTGTTATAAACACAACATAGAAGCTGGAATATGTAATACAATGTTTCTATAGGTGACAACCGAGTTTTCTAGTTTGAGGTGGCACATCTAGTACTTGAGTAAGCCATGAGAAAAGGGGTGAAAGACCTCAGAAACCTAATAGTTATTTCGGAGGATGAAAACACTCACTCCATTCACCTAAAGTAAAAAATATCATGACATTTGTAATTCAGGCCGATAATTTCACAAGTGTATAAACTACAGGAAGGATTATACAAGAAAGCCAAGAGGGAAGACTTACATATATCCTTCTATCATGCCCTGCTATCAACAACCGTAACCCATCAAAGGTAAAAACCATAGAATGTGCGGATGGAAGATCATGAGGAAGTTGCCTTTTAGTAATAGTCCATGTACTTTGGCCAGCTTGCCTACTTAGTGCAAATAAGCTGGGCCTGATGTGGTCAGAATAACCAAAAAGCTCTCCCGAGTTAGACATTGCACTGCAAATGATCTTTCGGCAGGCCTTACTCTTAACCCGAACCACTATATTAGTGGTTGCAAGACCACCAAAGGTACTCAAAGCCAGATCAGGAACACAAACACAGAGAACATCTACCGAATAAGAAGCCTGGACCAGGAGAAAAGAAGTTTGATTGAACCTTGTATTAATGACCAGTTGTACTGGAATTCTCTGAGGTGCAGGGCAAACATCATGCGGAGAGAACCTAGTAAACTCCTTAGCAGAGTATGCAAAGAGCTTCGCATCATCACCAGCAGAGACAAGCATGGGAACTCCAACATGAGCCCACTTACCATAATTGAAATCAAGGAGCTTCTTCCCACTACATCGAATTCTTTTTACCTTTTTCCCCCTTTCATCTTGCAACTCTTTAGCCTCATCAGATAAGGAACCTAGAAATTAGAAAGAAAAATGTTTAAAGTCAAGTACAAGTGCACAAAATGGTTAACTAAAACAAGGTAAAAATGCAACTTTAAATTCTAATAAACCAAATAAAATAATAAATAGACATGGAATCAAAAACATGAACAGACCTTCAGAACTGATGGGCACTGCTATTGTCAAGGCTCTGACATCATGGGTATGAGCTCTTACATAACCTACGTATACCCATTTCTTCATCATTTCAGAAGACGATTTGTCGGTACCAGACTGAAGCGTCTCACTAGAAAGCTTATAAAGAATAACCTACAAATTGTAGCAACAAAGTAGACATTGGCGACAGCGGACTAGATTAAATTTAATATGATGCAGAAAATTTCCCACAAACATTAAAGTTGAAAAAATGAAAACTATATGCTACTACAATTTTCTTTCCTTTTTTTCTTTTTAATATTTTGGCCTTTCTTAAAACAAAGTGTGAAGAGAGCAGCCCCACCCCTTTGCTAACCATTACCTGTCCATCAGACCCGGCAGAGAACACCCTGTTCTGACTTGGAGCTGCTGCCAAGGCATTCACATCACCTTTGTGGTTAGAATGCGCCTGCAGAAGAGTTCCATTATCACCATTCCAGAACTGAACAGAGCCAGTGCTGTCTGCACTAACAACAGTTCCACAACTGAAAATGACAATAATAATCAAATCATCAAAAGGAAGCACATTAACCATTCATAATCCAGCAAGCACTGACATTTCACCAGATTATCATTTATGTGAGCATACATGCGCACACATGCATGTCTCTGTAGAAATAGAAGGTCCCACATGTACCTCAAAGAAAGTAATGACCATATGCAAAGCTCAGGCTCACTGCCCAAACCTCCAAGAGCAACTGTGCTTCTGAAAATTTCATGACCCAAATCAGCATTCCAGCATCTGATTAACCTGCAAGATGGTTTGTGCAGATGTTACTAACCTAAACAAGATTAAATGGGGTAAAAGAAGAGCAAATGCTCTGTAAAGCATGCCCCATCAGCTCATACAAGTTCAGTGAAATAGAAATTAATGATATAAGCATGTTAATATCATAAGTAGGGTATGCCTCAACATTTTTGCTGTCAGATCAACCAACATGTATCCTATGTATTTACTTTGATGACAAACTTACCCATCTATACTCCCTGAACATATCCTAATGAAGTCATTGCTACTTAGAGGATGAGATTAATGATACAAGCATGCACAGGAATATCATTACATTATGCATCAACAATTTTGCTGTCAGATAAACTAATATATATCCTATAGTATTTACTCTAATGACAAACTTACCCATCACTACTCCCAGAATATATCCTATTTGAGTCATGGCTCCAGGTCACACTTAGAGCACGTCCTGCGAACAATATTAGCACCAAGAAGCTCTAAGTAAAACGAAAAGAAGAAAACCTTGCAAGAATAGTTGCTCAGGTATAGATATCTCACCACTGACCCGAGGCAATGATTTATGGTAGATTAACTTATGTGAATCAGATATAGTGTATATCCGCACAGCTCCATCATCACAGGCAATCGCTACCCGTCTATCCTCCATAACTAGTTTCTGACGAACTTGTTCTGAGTCTGAAACATCTTCACTTTCACAGCTTGCCACATCATCGTTATCATTATATTCATATTTATCATCCAAATATCCATTTCCAAAATGCTGAGACCTAGGCTCTTCAAGAGCTGGCAGTTTATTAATGGGTGCCACAGCCATCTGCCAGATTGAAACCCCAATTGACTCTAGCACAATCTGCATAATGGTTTAATCACATTAAATGAACAATGAATAAAAGAGGACTTCTCTTCAAAGCTTCCTGTACATTAGAAAGAAGTTAAAGAGAAAGAAATGCAGAAAAGGGGGTTCTATCAACAAAATATAAGCAACCATATATACTCTCATTGAATCATAGCATTATCTCAAAAATTAAGCAACATAAAAAATTAAGAATACACTAAATCCCCTGGAAGAAAATGACAGGAGCGGGCCTCAGGTAGTATTCTCATTATTCAAAAAAATCATAAGAAAGTAATAAAAATGAGTATTCATTGAAGTGCACTTCTTTGTTTTTTTTCATTCGGAAGGCTCAGTCCCACACTCTGACTTCAATGATGGAAACAACCTCTGCACTCCGGCGCTCCAATGAACAACAGTTCCCCGCCTTACTATATTTAGAATAGTGGTCGATCCCTCGGGAATTACATTCGTAACAACATGTTATGTTCACGCGATGATTCCAAAAGTACTACCCTGTTCGTAGTCTATGTCTGGGGAGCATACTTGACAGGAGATAGACACAGGCGGTAGATAGGTCCCCCACTTCGATTCCCGCCCCGTTAGCATCTCCGATCCGAGATAAGGGATTACTCCGTTAGGTCTTTTCGGTCCGGAGCCGGCCGGTAATGGACCTACTTACCTTGCTTGTGGACCAGCTGCGGAGCTAACCCTTGTTCTATTGGTTTGGTGGTTGCTACCAAGACGATTTCTTTATGCCCATCAAAGGACCTCGAGATGCTAATCCACGAAAAACGATACGAGAAATTCGAAAGAATGGAAGAAAAAAGTAACCAAAAACAACCTTCTGCTTCAAGTCGAAAAGATCCCATTCAGAGACTGAGCCATCAATATTTGAGGAGAACAAGCTGCCAGAAGACAGACCTTTTGAACCAACGCAACACCACACAAGCGACGAAACACGACAAGTAGAATTCCCATGAATAGTCTACACAAAGCCACCAACAAATTAAACTAAGACAAAATATATATAATAATAAGCAGAAAGCACTAAAAATATATAACAATAACAAGGTGAAGCAGAAAGCTCTGAATACCAGCTGATGGTGCCAACCAACGGAGCCGGGAGACACAAGCCAAATCTCGAGGGAGCCATCCTCACGAGCGGCAGCAACCTGGGAGTCATCAGCGCTGGTGGCAAGGGCGACCACCGGAGAAGGCTTCCAGTCGATTGAGCTGGTTCGGTAGGACTTGAGGAGCATTGGGATTGTGGCGGCTACAGTAAAACCAACAATGATCTTCCAATTTAAAGGTATAAAGCAATAAATAAAATTATTTGGGGATAGACGTCAAGAGGCAAAGAAGGGTTTGCAGTCGGCAGTCGGCAGTCGGCAGTTGCCTCATTAGGTTTTGAGGGTTTAAATGAGCGTGTTTCATTGACAAGATGAGTTATTTTAAGCACTATTTGGTTTGTGAAGGTTTTTCTGGGGTTGGGAAGTCACACGTGTGTCGACATTTCTCGTAAAGTTTGTGGGCTTACCTAGGGGTTGTTTGGGCCTAGGGGTTGTGTGGGCTTACCTAGGGATTGAGTGGCCCATTTTGAGATAAATTGATTTTACAACTTTGCAATTTTTTTTCTTCTTTTTTTCAGTTTCAATTCAAGTTCAAGCCTCCTACGGTTTACGTAGAGTTCGGTACCAATCGCAAAGAGTTAGCGTTAATCAAGATTGATTGATTAATTAATGCACGAGGAATTTACACAAAGAAACAAGAAAAAAAAGTGAGTAATCTCAAACTCTTAGTATAAATAAAAAAGAGAAAAAAAAAATGTGTGATTCGAAATCAAATTTTTAATAATTTTTCAAACATCTTTAATCATTAATGTAAAAATTTAAGAATTAATATAAAAAAATTCAATTTTATTCTAAACTCTTCAAAAATATATATATTTTATTCTAACCTTTAATAATAACTTAAGTTTTGAAGTAAAAAAATGAATTTTCTTTCCTTCCCAATCAAAATTCATTGAAATTAAATTTTAAGTAGACTTTTAAAATGACCCAAATAAATTAACTTGAACAAAACTTAAATATATCTCTACTTTTAAGGATCGACTAAACTCTAACTTTTGCCAAAAAAAAAAAAAAATCTTACCATTTACTTATTTTTTATTTCAAAAACTATTTATCAAATTTACCAATGAATAAAGAAATTATTTTTCTGGCAGTAGACTCAGCCAATATTCATTTTATGAGTTCTGTACTGGAAACGGAGAAGGTATAAATGGAAATTCCCAATTTATCATCTTTTACTGTGATTGAATTGGAAAACTGAATTGTATTTTATCTCAGATTTCTTTGCTGCATGTCTAGTTTGAAGATAATAAATTGGTTTTTGGTTTAATTGATTAATCTGATTTTTTGTAGGCAGCTGAGAAATAGAGATGCAGCTGTGAGATCGAGGAAGAGGATCTGGAGATGAAGAGTAAGAATATAAAAGGATGTGCGTAACTTTTTTTTTTTTTTTATACATTTGTTATTTTCAATTAATTTTGTATTTTTATGCTTAATTATAAATTCATAATAATAAGATTATTCAATTAAATATGATTTACTTGTTTTAAAATTCTTTAAAAACAAATTTTAAATATAATAAAAAAATTTTAATTACACTAACTAAAATATCATTTATACATATTTATTTAAAATTTAAATACTCAAAAAAAATTTAAAAATAATAATTTCGTGACGTAAAAAGAAAAAAAGTTAAGAGGGAGGGAACATAGTATCAACAACCAAATGTATTAACAATGTTATCCAAACCAAACTACAGAAATCAATATTTTGGCAATAAAAGGAACTAGAATACTAATACAGAAAAAAAAAAAAAAAAAAAAAAGGCAAATCCCCAGGGCAACCAAATCCCCCAGGGCGAAATTTTACTCTGATTTTATTTTGTTCTTTTGGCCAGAACTCACGGTCAACTCACAAGACAACCTTCAAAACCGCAACCCACCCCCCCCCCCCTCCTATCTTTTTTCTTCCTTTAATATCCCATGAAAGAAAAGAACCAACAGCAGGTTTAGCATAGCAAAATACGATAACACTGGACAAAAAGATTGCTATTTATATTAGGAAGATAAGAGTTGTACTTGAACAATAGGTTAAAAGTGCCATAGATTTTACAGATATTTGAATAAAAAGCTAACTTAATTGCATTTTATCTAGGAAAAATTGATCAGATACACATGCAACTAGCAACCTCTTGGATGTTAGTATATCCTTCTCAGCTCTACTTCAACCAAATAAAAAAGGCCGGCCATGCATGTGCCTCAACTCAATCAGTCACCGGAAACATAAGTCTTCTCCTCATAATACCTTCTCTCACTTGCAGCCTTCTTTTCATTACGTTTCTGCATTATGGAAACATATCTTAGGATTTTCAACCTGGAATTTCAACATAAACTTTTATAAAGACCATAGTTGTTTGGCACCACATGAACTTAACTGGTGGCAATCATTGTACTATCTGGAATAAGTGCATCTGCTTGAGTTATTACTCTTCTTTATAATGCTTAAGCCACTTACATGCTTATAACTCTCTATCTCCATTTTAAACATGAAAGATGGTTAAATCATAACTTTTGTTCAAAGCATGACTCTAAAGGGTGAACCTGGTAAGCTTCGTGATTTGCTACAATCCTCCTAATTATTGTGGTAGTTGTAATGTCCAGTGGGCTTTCCAGAACTTTGAAGATACCCAGACTGATCGGAACAGCATAAGGATTATCTTCTTCCTGCATGAGATGAAAAGAAAGCAAGCAATGAATGAATGCAGCTTAGCACATTCTAATCAGTCTGCAAGAACAACCGTTTTTACAATTTACCTTCTGAAAATCATTGCTTTCTGCCACTGTTCCATGGACAACTAAAGATATGTCAAAGGTTGTGATCTGCAATTGCAAGATTTTGTTGAGTAACAAAATTAACAAAACAAAGCACAGCACAGCTTTCAGCATCAGAAATCAAATCATCCTAGGGCACATAACTAATCACAACATGACAAACTAGTGACAGTACCACAATAAAATTTATTTGACATACTTCATCTACAAAACCAAGTAATTATTGCATTTCAGATTACCGCAATGCATAAAGACACACACACACAAATATACATATATAGATATATATACATTTATTTGTACTATACTTTGTACAAAGAGCTTTACACTCAAGTCGAGCTCAAGATCAAAATAAAAAACTCAAATAAAACTTTAAAATATGTAAATAAAATTATATTTCATTTATATATGTATATAAGTATGTATGTATGTATGTAATATTAAAAAATTCAAAAGCTCAGTAAGGCTAGCAGGCCACTCAAGCTGAGTATTACAAAAATTAAACTCGGCTTGACTTGCTACTAGAGTAGCTCAAGCTCATCTTGAAAGTGAACAAGTTGAATTCGAGTATCCCTCAAGTCGAATTCGACTCATTACACACTTAGTTACAACCGAGTTTCCCACAAACATCCACATGGGCATCTTGGTTATAGCGGTTACTTAAAGTCGAGTTAAAATGTGTACTCAACACCAAATGGGGCTGGAGTCATAATTCAATTCCTATCAAGATTAACTTAATAACCACCAACACATGGGATGTAAAATTACAACCATACACATGGAATTAACTAAGCTAGCATTTAGTATCATTTTCAAGATCTTCATGATAATTTAATCACCAAGGTGATCTTATTACTAAGGCAATCTTATCACTCCTGATTTGAAATCATTTTATTTTATTAACAATCATTAATTCAAAGGAATTAAAGATCATTGTGTTTTGTATTACTAAAAAAGTTAAACAGTATTTTATTAATACCAAAGCAACCATGTATATTGTAATAGTTATGCAAATTAATATTTCAATGTTGTTTAAAGATAGTAATTTATAAAATATATTGATAATATTTTATTTACTTAGAAATAAAATATAATTAAATTATTAAATTAGCAAATATATTTATCGATAAATAAACTAATTTTATAATATAAATTATATAAATAATATTTGAATTAAAAAATAAAATTAATCTATCAAAATCATAACAAAAGAAAAATAAAAAAAGATTATATTATATATATAACACTAAAAAAAGTTTAAAAAATCGCATAAATTATTCTTAAACTTATTAAAATAAATATTAGTTTGAAAATATATAAATTTATATTATGATTCTGAAAGGAAGTAAGTTTATAATTCGCATATTAGATGGGTAATATTGACTATTGTTAATTTTACATCTCATTCATCTCGGTGAAAAGTTTTCCATCCTTTTGGATGAGAATTATATTATCCTCCAAAGCAGTAATTACTCTCGATAATCCAAGATTACCACCACACAAGATCACCTAGTACTTACCATGTGTATATTGTGAGTTTTAAAGTGATCACCTCATATCAAACACCATATAAGTACTTAAATCCAAATTTCCATAGTTAAGTGGTCTGTCCCAATCAACTCTTTCAAGCCTACTCCTCAGATAGCCACCAAGGGCCCAAGGTCTTGGGAGTGTGGAAGTTTGTGAAAAAACTCCAGTAGCTGCTTCATAGATGAAGAAGCAATTCAAGGAAAATCATGGCCTAATTTCTTAGAGGTTCATAAAGCAAACATTAGCTCAACAGCCTTGGAAATTCATATTAGCACTCAAAGGTAAACTCTAAGCTTAAATTTTTCCCTATAAAAGACATTGATAATATACAAATTGTATTCAAAGAAGTAGAATCTGATTTTGTAACAATCCAAGCAAATGAATTGGTTAAGTGTTTACTAGTGAAAATTCTTTTAATTTTATTCTTCCAAATTTGGAGTTCAAAACCTATGAATATCAGTGAAATTTTCCATTGACTTTATTGTTCCAAGTGTGTTTGAGAATGAGATGAAAGCACTGATGCAGAACGCTAAGAAGCTAAATGAGGAATTAACCTATCTAAGATTATATTTTGTTACTTTGTCGTATTTATGGAGATTAAATGTAATATTTTATAGGTCTAGGATACTATTAGGTATTTTACATTTATATTAGCGTTTAGTATCTTAGCATGGTTTTTCTTATCCTATTAGGTTTTGTCTTTAAGTGAAAAGTTTTTTAGTTTTTAGAGCCTTAAGTATTTTCTTTAAAGTCTAGCTTGGATAGGAGTTCTAGTTCTTTTAAGATTTGGGTTGGTAGTAGGTTAGTAGCCTATATACATATTGAGGTACTCTTTCTTTTGGAGACACATTATCAGATTATGATATGAGATCTTCAGCATATTGCTATTGTGATTGTGTGATGCAATCACCATAGGTGTGACTGCTAAGAAATCGTACATTTGATGTTTATGTTTACTTTCTTCTTGGTTGTATGATGCAAACAAGGAATCCTAGGTATAAAACTTAGGGATCTTTTCTTTTCTGCCCTGTTTCCCTTTTTCTTATTCAACTTTCCGTATTTTCTTAAGAATTTCATATTGTAATGATTATAAACCCTAGCCTTCCAAGCTCTCCCATGTCAAGTACCTTATTGACAATGGTAGTGGAACAAGAAAAGTTAGTTATTGACAGTGGTATCCATGGGTTCTGCAGGAAATTTCTTCCTACTCCAACATTTCTTAACTCAAGGTTGAGTTTTCTTGAACAAGGGGAGAATGACACAAAATGCCAAGAAGCTAATACAAAGATTAAACAACTTAATAGTTTATTTCGAGATTTTTTTTGTATTTTATTCTGAATTGTAATTCTTTCTCTAGGTATAGGGTTTATAAATTAATTACGTTAATTATATTAAAGAGTGCTGTTCTTATTTTCCAAGTATCAAGGTTATAATTGGTATTTTGCAATTACATTAGGGTTTAGAAGTTAGACTACAAATAACTATATTTTTTTCCAACTTCTGCACCTTTTGATTAATAGAATTATTATCAAAGCATTTCCAGCATTATTGCTCTTGTGAATGTGTGATGCAATCAATAAGGAAGCATACTCAATGGGGCAGTATCCCTCAGTCTTAAACCCATCCCCTTCACCTCTATTTGACAAACTTCCACCTCCATTACATTAGTCCTGTCTCATAAAACATGAGAAGTAGAGGAAAGATAAAGAAATATATAGAGGAAGACACCTCCATTACATCACTCCTGTCTCATGAAAATGAGAACTAGAGGAAAGATAAACCAATAGATAGACATAATTGACTAATGAGAAACAACAATAGAAAGTCCATGGCTTTGGCATTCATTATTGCAATTTCTTTAGGCAGGTTTCTGCATACAAATTTCTCTTAACATTAGCAAGAAGCCACATATAGTGCAGGGATGAACGTTCACAATTTTCACCAATGAAACTATGACTTCTTAACCTAGCCCTATTTTAATTTGTATATTCTATAAATGAAGTGATGAACAGAAAACAAAGCATATTTTCAAATACATAATCTTAGACAAATGGCACCCTGCTCTTCATCAAGAGAAATGATTTCTAGCTTTACCTCTGATTAACAGTTCCACAAGTTTCACAGCATACATCAAAGCTTTATCCTTTACATATATTTCAATCTTTAAATGTCACTAAAATCAACATAAAAAAGTTGACAAGCAGCATATACTACTTAAAAAAAAGAAACTATAGAATGATAATTATATAACTCCCTAAGAAAATAAGGTACTAACCATGTCTTTAGACACTTCCCATGGAGCACCGATTATCACCTCATCCACATAGCGACAAGCTAAAACACTTAAGCTTCTTTCATGTAGATTCATGATAGGGCGATGCACACCTCTTTTAGCGCTGCACAACATATATGATACAAAAGTTCCAAATGAAATGACAAAACCTCCTAGCACCTAATGTCTATCAAATTGAACTAATTTTTAATTAAAATATTCCAGCTTTATGAGAGCTTATGAGAAGTTGCAATAAAGTTGCAATCAGTCATGAAAGAGAAGTTCTTATGAGCCAATAAATCGTTAGCTGCCTTTTTACATTTCAAATCTTAGAAAAGCTATTCTAGGAACAAAATGTGTGCATGTAAGAAACAGCATAATTTTGAAAATATTCAGAACAGAACAAGGTTATTACAGTTTCTCAAATAAAACATCATAATGATGTCAGAAGATAAACATACCACTAAAACAAAGAAATCTCAAAAACATGAAGAATTTTCTTTTTTTCAAAAAACTGATTTTTTTTTTGTCGCAATCACTTTAAAGTTTAGATTCTAGCAATATGAGCTTTTTCAGATAAAGAAATGCATGATCACCCAGATATAAGCCAAATTTGGGGATCTTCCAGCAGTAGCAGTTGTTCCCTTCCCTTCTCTCAATTGAGCTTCCTCTTAAATTAACTAGGCTAATCCCTTCTCAAAATCAATAAATTCCCTAAAAACTATTTGAGTTAAAAAGCAGCATTTATTATAAATCTACAGAAAACTTATGGAAATATATCACAAACATCCCAAATATAGACCAATCCTCCAGTGAAAAAGAGAAAACTCTAAGCCTCTAACATACTCTTCCAGATACCAAAGTTAGAACCTGAGTAGAGAAGGATGCTGGCTGCAGAGAGTTGGCACGGCAGAAAAGGAGAACTAAACATGACCTTTCTACCATGCAAAGAGGCCTTTATTCCAATGTCTTATTCAGGATAGAAAAGACAAAATGAGGGAGAAAGATATTATAATAAATTAAGTTCAAGAGAGTCAGTTACCTGACAGTTTGATCATTGTGGATCCCAACAAGAAGAAAATCTCCAAGTTCCCGAGCAACCCGCAGAATCTATATCAGATAGAGTTAGAAACATTTTCTCTATTTCTTCTTTCTCTCTGTTTGCGTGTGTGGAAAGGGGGGAAAGGGGGCAGAGGTCATAATTGTGTTACCATTTACCCTATCTTGGCCTAACATGAGTGTCGATCTATCCAATTAAAAACATTTTTTTATTCATTTTGCACCTGGGGAAAGGAAAGGGCAATAACATCATCATGGTGATTTCACCACTAGGCACCCTGATAGCAAGATATCATTCAATAAATACAAATCAATTTGTTTCTGATACCACATGGAAATTATATATCATTCATTATAAAATATCCAAAAATAAACTTACAACAGGAGGTAAAAATGACAACAATTTCAATCTTGTATTCAGATAACTAGGATTTGTTCACACTCACTTCGTGGGTCATGGAGTGAGAAAGTAGAAAGATTTTTTTAAGCAAAAATATAATTTTTGAACACATGTAAATGAAACAGTTTTAATTGGAAAAATTAATTTACAATAGACCCTAATTAGAATATTAATATAACCCCATTTTAATATGTATTTTATTGTTTTGTGATAACTTTTTTGTTATTTTAATAATTGAGTTCGCATCACAAGTTAGGTGACATCAAACTCAGTTGCTCCCAGTATTTAAGAGTATAGATAATCTGCATATCATTTATCTATTTCTATTTCTTGGTTAGATATCATTAGAGTGAAATAAACAAACATGAAGAATGTATTCACAAATATTTCTTAAGTTAGAGAATAGTACCTTTAGATATACTTCTACAAGTTAAACCAATCAAAAGACTATTAATGATAAAATGAAATAAACTCATTCCATCAATACTTAAGTTAAAAAGTACAAAACAGAAAAATAACTATTAATTACAGATTTGCTACCCGAACTATAGTCAAATTGATTTGATACTTGAAGTTAAGAAATTGAAAATGAGGTACTCTAACTTTGCTTCCGTCCTTTAGTTTGCGCACAAGACTAGTAACGTTATTCAAATAGTGATATGTCCAAAACACCCAATCAAATTATGACATAGGAAATTTTTTGAGACACATGGCATGGTTTTATTGGTTTTTCCTAGACATGCCATCCATTTGAATAACAGTGTTAGTCTCATGAGCAAACGAATGGCTAGAAGCAAAGTTCAAGTACCTAATAGTGACTTTTTAGGGTTTAGGTACCAAATCAAGAATTTGATTATAGTTCAGGTACCATATGTGTAATTAACTGTAAATATAAACACTAGATAGTTGCAATTAAATTGTTTTGTCAACCTTTAAGACGAGATTTAGATCACTCCCTTGGTGAGCTAACTCTTCTCTATAACCTAAGATTGCTATAGGATCATCAACTTTCTACAGAGATTTAGATTACCAAGGACAAATAACATCGGATTTAGGGACCATTACCCAATGCCACATACCACATTACTAGACATCTATTCACCCAATATATGTAAAAGGGAACAAGATCATGCAACATACCTCAACATGTCCAGCATGAAAAAGATCAAATGCACCATCTATATAAACTATGTGAGCATCTGGTCCAGGGCCCTGTAACAACCAGCATAGATCTGTTGTCAAGACTAAAAACAGAACAGAAGCAATTTTGCTCGAAAGGATTAAAAGCCAAAAATAACCAGCATGAAGAATCAAATTTCAAGAATTGCAAGAAATTAAAAGAAGGAAATTATATAGAAGCAGTAGAAAAGAGAAACGCGTTAGAAGATACTGGAAATAGCTATCTTACAAAATGCACTTTCTTTGTCTGAGCTGAATTTTAAAGTCTAAAAATATTGAGTGAAGAAGAAACCCACTATAAACATCCCTCATCATTCACTTGGTCAAGTGATTTCCAACCAAACTTAAGATGAAGAGAAGAAGAAACACAACTCAAGGGCCCCTCCAACCCCTTTGTAAAATTTGTACGATGTTATGGTAAACTTGTTAGTAATGTTTTTAGTTTTAAACATCATTATTAACTTTATTATCTTTATTTTTTTAAAATCTAAAAATTATTAAACATGATCTATTAATCTGTTAAACTAGAAATTTCCTTTTCAATCAATCAAATAAAAACATTGACCCTAAATATTGCACTAGCAACTTTCTTTAACACTAGTAATAGAAAAAAAAATTAAAGAAAGTTCAATCACTTTATTCTTTTATACAAATCAATTATTCATTTAAGCTATGTACTCCTATGTTGTTTTTTGTTAGTTAGACTCTTTTATTTTTACATGGAGACATTTATTTTTATCCAATTCTTTGTATGAGTAATATGTATTATAATGTTTTAAAATTAATACTATTATTCATTGAAAGAAATCAATACATTGTTTACACTATCATCATGTTTAAATTTAGCGTTCTCATATAATATTCCCACTTTTACTTTCGGTAATTCACATACAAAATTAATCTTTTCCTTTTTCCATGTCCACTTTTACACTAAACATGATCAATAACATAAACAACTAAATTTGGGATGGAAACAAGTGTTTCCATTCTCATTTAAAAAGTTGAAAAACAATTTAAAATAGTTGTTTTAATTTTCTTAAAAAATTAAAAAATGAAGCTCTTACAACTTAGTTCTTTACCTTATTTCCATGATCATATATACAATGAAAGTGGAGGTAGAAAATGGAAATATCTATCAAAAACTAAATTGGCACTTAATTTTTTTTTCCCTTATACGAAAACAGTTTAATTTTTTTCCCTTACACATAAACAGCTTATATGAAAGGCCTTAACTTTCTTTTCCAGAAATTTCTGAAAAGGACAAAGTGCAACCAAATCAAACATAGAAATGACTCAAATGAAACCCAACAAGAAAAATATAGAATTTAAAAAAGAAAGGAGAGAGCACATTTCGCATACCTTTCCATTTGAAAATTGCACAATCCTGCGAGACGTCGGTAAAAAATGAGATATGCGAGTTCCACTTCCAGATCCACCATCTTCAAATTTCTGGCCCTGACCGTGGCTGAATTGTCTTTGCAGGGAGGAATGATTGTGATTGTCACTAACTGATCTCTCTCTCACACAGAGAAGCATCCGACCTGTTCCCAAAAAAAAAAATTATCAAATAACAAGCAGAATCTAACGTCAATGTAAACCAAGTTTCTCATAAAAATGAGATTGAAATGCATTAGAAGTTTGTTTCATCCAAATACATACATATGTATTAGAAAAGCATGGAAATGGAAATTAATACTAATACTGACCAACAATGTCAGTGCTAGAGACGCCTTCAGTGCGCTTAATCTGCTTGTAACGACCAGCCTTCTTAGCAAGAGCATAAGCATCAGTTCCATCAGGAAGAACGCAGGGGTCGTCTCCGTGAATAATGTAGTCAATATTGTATTCATCGAACAGCTTCTTCATGAAATCTTCAGTGATTGCATACGGCGCATCGCAAATAACCTCATCCACCCACTTGACTGCCTTCACCATGATCATCCTTACAAGTCATAACAAAAAATGAATGAATAAATGAAAACTAGTTAATTATAAATCAAGGGTGAACCAATCTATAAATCAATCATGTACCTTTCGTGCAGAGGGGTAACAGGAGGGCCTTTGTTTGCAATGATTTCGGCATCACTGACTACTCCCACCACCAATTGGTCGCCGAGGGCACGGGCCTGACGAAGCGCGTTGCAGTGGCCATAATGCATCATGTCAAAACAACCGTCCATATACACGCGCACTGCCTTCTTCTTCTTCTTTATTTTCCTCCACAAACCCCGTCCCAGTCCCTGAGGGGGTATGCCATTTTTGGCTACGCCAAGGTACAGCCCTACCGCCACAGCCACCGCCACCGCTCCACCTATCAGGTACGTCGATGGTATCTTGCTCATTGCTTGATTTTGCGAATTCCCAAGTACAGATTTGTTTTCGCTTAGGTGCTTTCTGTAGGGTTTTCCTTTGGAATCGCGATGTGTAATATCACTGTAGCCTTCAGCTTACGCCACCTGACAATGACCTTTTTTTTTTTTTTGAGGAATTACAAACTGGGGTGACGGAAGAAAATTATAAGAATTAGTGAAATCTCGAGAAAGAAAAAAAAAATGCGGAAGGAAATGAAGATTTTGATACTCCATCCCTTTTTTTTTTTCATTTTTTTATTTTACTTTTTATCATTAGAAATCATTAAAAATAAATTTATAAGAAAAATTAAAAAATTTTAATATAAATAAATAGATTAAAATAAAAAAATTCTTAGATCTAGTGATAAAAGAAAAAAAAACAAAATGTGATGGTGAAAGTCATTAATCAAATAAAAATTGAAATACTATTTCACTCTTTAAGGTTTTGAAAAAAAAAAAAAAAGTGGAAGAAAAAGAAAAATAAGTTGTGAAGTTATAACAACAACGAAACTACAAATGATGTGTAACTTTTTTCTTTTTTGAAAAGAAAATAATTCATTCATTAAAAAAGAGTACATTCGTTTTGTATAATTTACAAAATAATATCCGGATAGTCTTTTGCCTAATATTCGTCTTCTTGAATATGCAAACTATACTTGGCTTGGTTAACTTGTAAGCTGCCATGTTTCCTTGTCTCAATATATGTGATATGGTATATGAGTGAAAGGAGGCCATACTGATTTTACCCTCCTCAATAATATTTCTAATGGGGGATAGGCCATGTCTGTTGCTTGGAGTTTCTTCATTCAATTATTATGTTAATATAAGTCCCATGTTACCTGCTAATTCCAAAGCTTATCTATGTTAGTAGCCAACGGATTCCTTTGGTACCTCCACCTTGTTTCTACCAGTAATTGTTAAAAATATTATTTATGTCATTACATAAAGATTTTAGTAACATGAAATAGTTCATGGCATAAGATGGAATCGCTTGAAGCACTGACTTTATAAAAATCTCTTTTCCACCTTGTGAGAGACATCTATTCCTCCAACTCCTCAGCTTGCCTTTATTCTTTCCTTAATCTCCCTAAATGCGGCTGTCCTACATTTCCCCATCATTAAGGGTAGTCCCAATTACTTTCTCCGGTTTTGTAGTAGTTTGCATACCAAACAGATTTTTCATTTCCTCCGTTTTGAACATCAATTGTATTACTACTAAAGAGTAGAGTAAACTTGTCGTAATTTATCTTTTGGCTGAGCCTTATTTGTATTTCTGTAGAAATTACTTCACCTTTTCACCTTCACTTCTCTTTGCCTTGGCAAAGAATAAGCTGTCATTTGCGAAAAATAGGTAAAGTGACTCTGGGTCTATTGCAGCTTGCTTGAACTCCTACATGTAAACCATTTCTTTTTGCCTTTGCTAATAAAGATGACGGTCCTTCACTGCATATCAAGAACAGTTGAGGGATATGGGACTTCCATGTCTAAGACCTCTTCTTGGACAAAATTTATTAGTAATACATCCATTCACAAAAATCGAATATGAGACAAAAGATATACATTTCATGATTAGTGAAGTCCATTTAGAGTGAAAACCTAATCTCATCATCGTCATAGCTTTTAAGATAAGCATGCATTCATCAAGAATGACATCAAATGATAATTAAAACTTTAACTATAAATAAAAAAGGAATCACATTTTATGTTCATCTTTTAATCAAAAACAATTAAAGTTATGCCAATGAAACCTTAGCTTAATGGTAAAAAGGAAACCCTAGAACCCTAAAGTCTTAAGTTCAAATCTTTTGGGTTTGATTTTTATTATATTTTAATTTGTTAGGTTAATTATTTAATGATTGTAATTTGATTATGATATAATAGTTAATTATTCAATTCAATATATAAATGTAATACTTCGTTACGATTGTAACTTCAAAAAAAATAATTCAAATTATTGTTGTTTCATAAGTAAAGACAAACTAAACTAAAAGAATTCAATACTACTGATATTTGAAACATCTTTTACAAATATTCAATAGTTCAAAAATCCATGCAACATTTAATGTTATACCAAATGAAAAAAGAAGATAGTAAGGAAATTATCTGCTTCCTGTTGAGATTGTGGAAGTCCAAAAGCTCTACAAAAGGAAAACCAAATTTTTATATATTGGAACAATCACAAAATCCTAAAGTAAAAATGGAATCTACATCATGCAATCCCAATAAGAATAGCTGTTTAAAACCATAGAGTCTTAAATAAAATTATGCTTAACGTTAATCCTGCAGGTATAATTACGAAAATTGAAATCAAGATTTAGGTAAAAAGAAAAAAAAGTTTAGGAGCACAAGAGATTACTTTATCTTTAAAATCAGAGCAAGCCGCCAACTCATAAGGTGATTTACGAATATTTTGAAAATTTTTTAAATTTACAAATCATCTACCAACAAAAGATTGTGAAGGTTTGAATCTCGATATTTTACATCTAAATTTTAAAATTTAATTACTTGCGACAACCCCTGTTAATAAGTAAACAAAAAGTTAGATAATTATAACCAAACACAATAGATAAGTAAACATATTATAATTCGTGGTAATAAAACCTCAAAATAGTAGCACAAATGCATAAACTTAAAGGATAAATACCATTAAGGTGCATTTGGTTAAAAGATTTTAAGGAGGGATTTAATTTGCAGAAAGACTATTAAAATTTTAAAAATAGAATTACCTTATTTGGCAAAATAATTTGGATTTTCAAAATTCTTGGAATTTTAATGAATAATTTTGGAGGCTTCAAATTATCTTTTCAAATGAAATTTGCGAAATTCATTGGTTTTATAGTAAGAAGTCAAGATTTTCCACGGTTTTTTTTTTTTTTTACCCAACTTTTGTTTTTTTTCAATTTTAACTACAAAAATTTATTATATAATTTATTTTAAAAATTTTTTATATTGTTAATAATATCTATACATTTTTACAATTATAAATCTAATGACATTCAGATTGCATAGATATTTTTTAGTATTTTGTTTTTTCTTCCACCAATATCATGATTTTTCAATTGTAATTATTTTTTATCTCATCAAATTCCAACATTTAAAATTTGTTTCTAAAAAAATAATTGTTTAAACAATGCAATTATAAAACTGTATTATTTTAAATTGATGCACTTCAAATATTTCAAAATTTTAAAATTTCCCATTCAAAACACCAACCTTAAAAAAAAAAAAAAAAAAACCCTAAACCGTACAACAACTCTAATTATAAGATTACCTAATAGTTGAGTTGAACAACCAACAAAACTGTACGCACCAAGCCTTAAAACCATGCTTAGTAATATACATGGAAAATATATTAAACAAGTCATAATAACCCAAAGCATAGAATCATATAATAACAATAAATAATGAGCAGATTTTATTCATTCAAAATCCTCCGAAGGCTAAGCACAAGCATTAACAATTTAGATATTCTCCAATAATAAAGGCAAAAGTAAAGTAATGTCGGAAAAGGTCTAAAACCACCAAGCAAAAGCACATAGGTCGTTATCCAACCATGCAAATTGTCCATAGGAAGCAAAAGAAGACAACCATCCAGAATCTCATGTTAATCACAATCAAATACAACGTAAAAAGGGAATTCCATGTTATTTTTTGGCTGTGTATTTTAATTTTTAAAAGGATTTTGATATTGTAAATTCTATGATCCAAATTCAAATCCAATCTTTTTATTTGACATCCAAACAAAAAATTTGAATGTGTAAATCCAAATCTAACTATTTTAGCCCAAACCCGAGTTTGGCATTAATATTTGAGATAATTTCCTAAGAAGATTTAATGATTGCTCGAATCCCCTTAGAATGGTCATAGATTATTAAGGTACAAAATTAATACGAATAATGTGCTCAATCCCACCAAGATGGGCTTGGTATTTTTTTTGTTTGACCCAAATTGCTTGTGTCGAAACTAATGTTGGAAATCAATTTAAAAGTAGATGTATCATGTCTATTATTGGTAAGGTATAATTTCCAAGCTCTTATTATTATTATTATTATTATTATTATTATATTCTTAATCAAATTCATAGATGCTGCGTTAGCTTGTTTGGTAAATAAATAAGTACATGGGAATAAAAAATGATTGTTTGGTGGATTTTAGGGAGTTTGTAAAGCCTTTTTTCTAAGAAAATTCTTAAGCCAAATATGAATTAATAAATGGAATATGGAATAAAGAAAAATATAGAATAAATGGAAATAAAAGTAATACTTAAAATTATGAAATAAGATGGAAAATACAATCAAATTAATGAAAAACATACAATAAATGAATAAGCGACATTACTATTGAATTGAAAAAACTTATCAATATCTTTTTTATTATTTTGCAATATTCATTATGCAAAAATTTAGTTTAATTTTTGTTAATTTGTGTTGATTATGTTTTAGTTTATTGGTTGGTTATTCAATAATTTTTTTTATATATAAATGTAATATTTCATAATAAATGTAATTTTTATTATATTTATAGTTTTATAATAATAATAATAATAATAATGAGAAAAAGGCATTACATTGTATTGTACAGTATAGTATGGTATAATATTTTGTGTGTGAGTGAAAAGAGTGAGAAAGACAGCGATAATGCTGATATGATATGATGCCCACACACATCCACGGCAGCGGGGCGGAAAAAAAAGCTAATCACTACCAACCTTCCATAGAATGAAACTCACAGCCTGGTGGGATTTGGAAGCCAAAGTAGCTGCGATTGCGAACTCATTCCGACATGGGCAACTGTGGCACTAGAGAGGAATCTGCTGTTGTTGTTTCTCATGCTCAAGGTTTTCATTTACTCATTTCTTTTTCCAGATCTAAGCCCTAGGGCTTCGCCTTTCTTTTCTTTTTCTCCATTCCTGTGAAACTGAAATTTTAAAAATCGCAGTTCAACTGTTATCTGAGAAGAAGCAAAGTCAGAGTCAGAATCGTACCCTATCAGATCTGGGCGACTTCGAAGACTCGAGAAAAAATGCGCTACTCTATACCCACGTCATTGCCTTCACTCTATACGAGCTGGAGACTATTACCAAGAGTTTCCGTTCTGACTACATTCTTGGAGAAGGTGGTTTCGGAACCGTTTACAAAGGTTACATTGATGAGAATGTAAGGGTTGGTCTCAAATCTCTGCCTGTCGCTGTCAAGGTCCTCAACAAGGAGGGCCTTCAGGGTCACCGCGAATGGCTTGTATGTAGTATATACATTCTTACATTCATATTCTATTATTCCCTTTTAAGAAATAAAGCACTCAATTCCCTAAAATCACGCTCTATCTGCAGACCGAGGTCAACTTTCTCGGCCAGCTCAGGCATCCAAATCTGGTTAAGCTCATCGGCTATTGTTGTGAGGATGATCACAGGTTACTGGTATACGAATTCATGTTCCGTGGAAGCCTTGAGAACCACCTTTTCCGAAGTAGGCATTTCTTCACTTCTCTTTTTTCCCTTCCCAATTTACATTGGACTTGATTCGTTTATTAATCCATGCTTATATGCTCATGTTCTTTCCCTGTCTGTCAATTACTCAATTATTACAAACTCCTTTTGTTTTCTGCTGCTATCGTTGGTCAACAACCAGGCTCCAGAAGCTTTATTATCTACTCAATAACTCATCAATTTGTTGTTAAAACAATTCTAGCAACTAATGTTATGAATACATAAGCCTGCCCGTGCAACTTTTTCCTCTGCTTTCACACTTTATCATGACTGAATTCTGAAGTGTAGAGCATCCTAAAATGTTTTGGTTAAGCTTCTTTATGATGAACTAAAACTATTATTAGAATATGGAATCTTGTCTTGAAAAGAAAAATATTTTGCAGCTCCAACCCAGTGCATAGGCTCATGTGTGCGATAGGACTTTATGACCTGTTGTAAGCACCTTTATGTAAGAGGTGTTATTTTAGAAATTTTGTTTCAAATTCATCTCAATTTCATCGATATTGCAGAGTTGTGTGGAAGAGAACCAGATAAGTGCAGTTGACATGCTAGTAATCCGGAGAAAAATTTAGTAGGGTGACACTTGAATTAAGGGCATATGTTCAAACCAACAGCATTTGGTATATCAGCAACTCTGTTTTTCTAAAAGGCTAGACCACCGAATGAACTTAAATTATGAGAGATAATCCTTGCCATCTCTTTTATTGCAAGGCTCTAAACATCATCCGAATCTCTCTTCTCCTTATTTGATTAATGATGCACTCACAGGAATAGAAATGTTCGCTTTATATGTCGGTCATCATCTTTGCTCGCTTCCTCATTGGGACTGCTATATGTAGCCTCCTCCAACAGTCATCCTAGGTTCCATGTGATGTGTCTCATCCTTATTGGAACATATTGCAGTTAGAACCAAAAGCCACTTAATGCTTCGATGGATTCCTTTGCCTCCTTTTCCCTTTTTGCTATTTTTTATGATTCTTCTTGTCTGTGATAATGTTTATGTTTACTGTTAACTAAAGTTGATGTTGCTTTCCTGTTCCAATCAGAGGCAACTGTTCCTTTAACCTGGGCGACAAGAATGATGATTGCTCTAGGAGCTGCTAAAGGGCTTGCATTCCTTCACAATGCTGAAAGACCAGTAATATATAGGGATTTTAAAACCTCCAATATATTGTTGGACTCTGTAAGTATTTGCTTAAATCGTTCATCTAAGACCTTGCTCTAGTCTTTATCTCTCTTGATTGTTGAATTCTTTGTACCTTTTAATCCATGCTAGTTGATTTGGCAAAAATAAGAATCCATAGCGGTACTATATGACCATGATTTCGATGGGATCTTTATTCCTCTTAAATCATGCTAGTTGCCACTTGAATATGCAGGATTATACAGCCAAACTTTCTGATTTTGGGCTTGCAAAAGCTGGACCACAAGGTGATGAGACCCATGTCTCAACTCGGGTGATGGGAACATATGGTTATGCTGCACCTGAATACGTTATGACTGGTATGACCTCCCAAAATCTAAGAAATGTGTTACATCATCATAACATTTATAGGAGTCCAACCTATTGGGGAAATGAGTTGAGATCCATCTTTGATAAGAATAGAGAAAGGGCATCATTTACTAAACATCACTTTTCTGAGCTGCCTTACAGAAAGTCAGGTCATGCTGGGTGCAAGCTACCAACACCAGTGACAATTTAGCTGCTTCATCTTATAGACAAGTATAGGTCCTTCAATTTCACTGTTAGTAATAATTGTGCCTTCTGCTTCTTGGATATGAGAATGCGTAAGGAACTTGTTGCATTAGTTTTGATGGTGTGAAATGAGAAGATAATTTTGTATTTCCTTATTGTCAATATGGTATGGGATGTAAAATTTTGTTTAAAGAAAACAAAAGTTGTTACTCCAAGTGGTTCACCCTTCTATTTGTGAAGACCTATGAAAACAAATGTAAGTAAATTCACCCGATCATTTTTCTTATGATTCATGAAAAAGATCCAAAGCTATGATTTAGGTCTAACAAAATAAAGAGATATCAAGGATTTACACAGTCTGAATCTTCAAGCTGATTATAATTCCTTACTTCTTAAATGGCTGTTGTAAAAGTTCTAGGACTTTGGTACATTTGAGCATTTATCATATTGTCAACTACTTCTTTGGGCTTCTATTTTTGGCTTCTGATGGTTTCAACAAGTGAAAAACCTATTGTGTTTGATTTGCGCAGTTGATTATTTCTCTGTCTGTATAAATGCGCAGGTCATCTGACTGCCAGGAGTGACGTATACAGCTTTGGGGTTGTTCTTTTGGAGCTTTTGACAGGAAGGAAATCTGTTGATAAGACAAGACCAAGCAAGGAGCAAAACTTGGTGGATTGGGCTCGACCAAAACTGAATGATAAGAGAAAATTACTGCAAATAATTGACCCAAGATTGGAGAACCAATATTCAGTAAGGGCAGCGCAGAAGGCATGCAGCTTGGCATACTACTGTCTGAGTCAGAATCCGAAAGCAAGGCCATTAATGAGTGATGTAGTTGAAACACTGGAACCTCTACAATGCAGCGGTGGTAGTGCAGGTGAAGTTTCCTCATCTTTAAACCCAAAGCTAACAGGTGGTGGTGCTGGTCCATTTGCAATGGGTGGAGTTCCAGATTACCGAGTGCGTCATAGATTTTCCAACAATGTTGGTCCAGGTGCCATTTGTAGGTCGCCCAATCCAAATTGTTCCCCTGGTGGCCCTGCAGCATGCAGGGTTAGATGAAAATGTTACCTACTTGTACACTTCTTTGGTGTGTCTTTTGTACCAGATCCCCTGTAAAAGTGACAAATTTGCTTGCTAAAACAAGGGTGGTTTTGCTTCATTGTACCTAACGTGTATGTTATCCGTAGTTGATGTTGATTATGCTATTTAACTGAAGCTTGTATCACAATTTCCTTTGCCATTGGAATTTCCTGTTTGAAAATTGTTTTCATCGTAAGCATGCAATGGGAGACTTGTAAGTAATGCTTTTTGCGAGATTAATTTCGATCAAGATGGCTGACATGAAAAATGTTGACAGCAGCGATGACAACGAGAATACTCAAAAGAAAGACTAACCAATTGCAACGATGACAACGAGTATGTCCTAATGTTTGTTGGCAAAGGTTTCATAAACTCCGCTGCTTGTTGTCCTCGTATCTTTATGTCGGCCCCATGTTCCTCTAAACCTACGAGTGTAGGTCCATACAGCTTTGTGCTGTGCCTACAGAGGAAAAGCAAGCAAAAGGTGGATTACAGCGAGCGGTAAATACTAAATAGACTTGCAATTAATCCCATACCTTTTCTTCACCCAAGGAAGAGCTAACATTGCATATGCTGATTCGTGGTGACTAACTATTGTTAGCATCTTTGTAATTTGGAAATACAAACAGAATAATGTGTTTGATTTTTGACATTCTCTTCTTTACCTTGACGGCAAATGTCTTCGAACCTTTGGAAAGTGGGGAGTAGTTATCCAAGTCCAAGGCCAATGACAGCAAGAATATATAGGAATCTAACAAACTTGATTCCTCCTTCGGGGAAACCATGAATGTGCTTTTATCAACAGAGTCTACGGGTTCTATGATGAGTGCAAGCACTGTTTCAGTGTCCGTCTGCGGAAGGTACTCACAGATTGCTTCGACTGCCGTTATTGATGGGAAAATCCTCTGCAGCCACAGGTTATTTGATGATTTGATCTAATCTGCCGTTATTGTGGCTTCAACTCTGGCCAGATTAGATATCCGGAGCTTGGATCAAATAAGAGCTTTAGAAAAGTTATAGAAAGGCCAATAGATGTTACAGACCAAGGTCTTCTCTATGACCTCCTCTGGGATAGAGACATCAGTGCGTTGGGGTGAGAATGATAGGGGCGTCTCCTATAATATCTTTGGAGCCGACAAGGTAGCCGAGTCCTTAAAGAAACATGACCTTTGATCTCATATGCCGTGCTCATCAGGTCTTTCTCATGTTTTCCACTGTATCAGTTAAACAATAATGTGTTGCTTTAGTTTTTTCTTGGTAATATACATTAAAAAAGAGGGATTGACTCATCTTCCTACTGAAAACAATTGATGGGTGGAAGATGGTTATGAATTTTTTGCGGAAAGGCAGCTTGTTACCATATTTTGTGCGCCAAACTATTGTAGGTGCACTAATGAGCGTGGATGCAAGCTTGCCCTGATCAGTAAAGCAAGAGATGGGGCTACTGTAATAAGTTGCAGCCAATGAGTGGGTTGGAAATGTAAGGATCCTTTGGTTTTTTGCCTTCTTTTTGGATGTACTGTTGTATATGAAGCTGACCAAGCATCAGAAAACAGCATATAATATACCTTATGCAACAGAAAAGCAGTTGCAAAGCAAAAACAGCAACAGATGCCGGTGGTACATAATTTGTCCAAATGTCCAATCTATTTTTGAATTCTAGTTTATGTCTGCGTGCACGCTTCTAACTCTTCATGCATCCATTTTTTGAGAAGGAAAACTTATTAAGTCATCATTCTGAGTTTCTCCAAACAGGATATGCTTAAAGCAGTAACTAATTTAAGAGCAACTGCTTGCGCACTTGAACATGAATGCAGGCCCAGAATCTACTTCATTATTTAGATTTCGCCAATTGTGTTTCACAGTCAGGACATGGTTTTATGTGTCCTAAATTTGAGTTGCAATCTTTAAACTTAGTGCCACAATTAATACTGTTAATCACAAATATACATTTTCAAATCAAGATAGTTCAGCAACACATCTTTCTCTAGCACTAAAATTTAAATTCACAATCAACATTCATATCGTATTCAATTCATGGTCAATATCTCACTCCCATTACAAAAAGGCAAAACCATAATACGCTAAACTTTGGCAGGCAAACTAAAAGAATACGCTCAAGTTTACAGATAATAAAACTCTTCAATTTGGCTCAAGGCTGAAGCTTTACATCTGAAGCAGAAAGCCTAAGCAAAAAATGCAAAAAATGCAAAAAATACAAATCTATAAAATGCCATGAAACTAATTTAAGAATCATCTAATCATACAATTTAAAAGCAATTCAGTAATACACTAAAATTTAACCAACCTGTAATGGAACCATCTGATCCTCAATTGGACCATACATGAATTAAACCTTGTCTGTTTCCAGTGTAGATCTCATTCCGCTCTTCATCATAGAAAAGGGCAGTTATGTCTTCTAAAGCTTCTGCAACTGTGCTTCTCATCTGCGAGCTGTCAACTTTGGGGCTTCCATTTGATGCATTTATTTTAGCCACGCATTTTCCGGTCAAGATATTGCTGATATTGATAGATCCAGCTGCATTAAAAACAAAACAATAAGATAAGACAGCAGTGATAATGTTATTCTTATTGGAGGAGACAAAATGTAGCCAGACATAAAAATGATCCAAAGATTAGTAATTCTCTAAAGTATAATGATCATGAAACACATATTTTAGAAACTCAATTTACATGAGCTTAATCCACAAATTCAGCTAATCTGACCATCTGGCTTCTGCATTAGATTAACATAACAGGACAATTTGGCTTCTGTGTTAGAATCAATTTAAGGGGGTTTAATCCATAAATTAAACTAATATGACCATCTGACTTCTGCATAAGACATAACATTCCTGGATGTTCATTATAGTCTAAGCTTCCTATTAAAAGAGTGGATTAAAACCAGATGGAAGGAAATGGAATGCAACTTACCGAGGGCAGACTTTCACTATACTATTACACCATTCTATGTCAAAAAAATGCAGAAAGAATTACCATTTCCTTCCATCCACTGATCATCAGATTCTGCCTTGCAGTAAGAAATAATAAGATCTTGGTCACTGGTTATATAAATGTTATTTGTGTTACAGTCAAGATGCCATAAGAGGTGATCCTCAAATGAGGTTACAAGCTCTCCACGAAAGTTCCAAACAGCAACAGTCCGATTTCTAAATGTGAGGAACAACTGGTTTTCATACAGAAAAATGAATGCTGATGGAGTCATGAATTCAGTTCTGCTAACTTCCATCAGCTCAGAGCTTCGAACCTATAGAAATGGTCAGTAACTAATAGCAGAACTAAAAAAAATGAAAGCTAGATGGAAAAAAGACAGATAACTTACGTCAAGAATCTGGAGGTTTTCATTTTCTTGCTTAACAAGAAGCTTCTCATTGAATTGTTCAATGAAGTCTACCTTCTTATTTCGATGAAGTAGATGTTTGAAGGTTTTGAGAACTGTCCCATCTTCTATGGAGAGAATCTTAAGAGGAATGTGACCACTAGCCCTACTGAAAATCAATAACATGATACCTGGACTGTAGAAGAGAAAGTATGCAAAAAGGTAATCTAAACACATAAGAACTACAAAGAGATTCTCTAGCTACATGCTCAGTGCGCACAAACAGAGAGACAAACTTGGTGCACACCAGGAGGGGAGCTCTTACCTGATCTTAATTTCATTTACATGCGTATCTGATATAGAGTACAGCATGGTATAGTTTTTGAGATCAAACACCTTGTATATGCTGCCAACACAATCCAAGTTTAGAATGCATAATAGGTGATCACAATTTATAACACGGTGGGCTGAAAATGTACCTATCTTGCGCAGAGTAAGTTAGCACCTTTCCATTAACATCATCAAACTCTACAAAGCCAGGCCACTTCAAAGATTCTGATTCAAAAAGGGCGAAACCTGCATCTGGTTTACCCCTCCGAATATATCTAAGCATTTATCAGAGAAAAACATCAATATGAGAAATCATTAGTAAGAGATGGACAAATAAAGAAAACAAGACACAAAATATCTACACACTCAATCTTTGTAGATCTGCACTTCAAAGAGCTGAAGTTGTCAGAAGCATTTACAGAAACTGTAATAAGTGAATCATTATTCTTGTTATAGAACAAGCTTCGGATGACTTCATCAGGACAAACATTTACAAAACATATCCTCTTGTTTTTCACTGCATTTAGAATATATATCAGCAAAACATGTTATTTCCCTATTACATGGAAGTCCAAATAGGACCAAAATTTCGCTATGAGGTTAGAATCATGTTTGTCAATGACCTCTGTTAAAAGCAGCACATACACCAGAATGTGCAAGAGCAAAAACAATGTCACGTGCAGCCACTATCTCGATTACTTTCATCCTCTTCATCAAAAAGGGCAGTGCTACTGGACAATGGCCTTTGGAATCATGCATGTCATATTCCTCCTGAAGCAAAAGCAAAGAATTAAATGATAAGTTGGCCATGGCAACATGAATTCAAGATTCAAGATCAAGCTGGGGTTACTTTGATGTAATTTTGAGTAGTTGGAATGCTAAAAAGGACTAATTTGCAGTTTTCTCCTTCGATAAAGTTGTTAAAAGCCAGTGAGTTTGGATCTTCTGCATCAAGGATTCATATAGTAGTATTTTTCATACGTGATTAAACAATTAGAGCTTTCCGCGACTCAATGAGGCCCTGATCCAGGAAACTAGTAGCCAGTAGGTGTCAGCTACATCGACTTTCTTCCTCACGACTAAAACTTTCCAGACTAAAAGCATGGTACCCAAAAAAGGTAGATTTTTAGGATCCCGGTAAAGAATAGCATTTCAATACCCAGCAAAGAAAGAAGGAAAAAGTGAAGAGACACCTACCATCAAACGCATGTTGCGGAACTTCTCGTGGGCATTTGAGATAGAAAAACAGGGCTTTGAAGAAATTTCACGCCTGAGTAGCTTATTGAAGGTATTGACATAAGCATCAGGACGAGGCCTCTTCTTATTAGCCAAGAATGAGAGCCTCCTCCCATTGCATGGCCACGGCCTATGGCTGGCCGATATCCTCCTTCCTTGCATCTGCATTATTTATTCCAAACCAACTAAACATTTCAGAACCCTTTTGCAGACTTTAATTCCTTGGATTTGAGAAGATGAAAATTTTCATTCGTCTCTCCTATGTATTACTTTCTATCTCTGTAGCGTTCCCTTCTGTGACTGTCCCAGACAAAGAGAGAGACAACGCTAGACAACTGGACACAAACAAAGTAGAAGAAAAATATGGGTTTGGGATTTGGGTTGGAAGTAGGGTTGGCCCGTCGATCCGACTTCATTAGACGATCAATTTTTTTTTTTTTTTAAATCGAATTTTAGATAAAATATTATTAAAAGAAATTTAAATTCAGATCAAATTTAAATTTTAAATAAATTTAATTTGATTCGACTTGATATTATATAAAAAATTATTTTTTAATTTTTATTTATATATATTTATATTTTTAAAAATAATATTTTATTAATTTTAAATTAAATTAAATATATTTTATATAAATATCAAATTAAATTTAAATATAAAAAACTAAAAAAATTTTGAATCAAATAAAATTTTAATTTTATAATTATAAAATCAATCAAATTTAAATCGAATAAAAACTCATCCTACTCAACACATTACCAACTTTAATTGAAAGACGTAGACAAAAGCTCAAAAGATATTAATATATATATATATATATATATAAAAGGAAAATGAATTACTACTACTCTACTGGTACTAGTAGACAGTAAATTTCTTTTAGACTAATATTAGACTCAAATAATATCTGTGCTAAGCACAGGCGAACAACGTGTGAAAGACTGGCTTCATTATAGTTCAGCCTATTTTATTTTCTCATTACATTTAAATTCAGTATATTACTTTAAGATTAGTAATTAAATATATAGGATTGTCATGTCAACAATGATCTGTACAGGGAAAATTATTCAAAAATTAAATTAAGAAAAAAAATGAAGTATTTAAGGAAATGAAGACAAATGGGCTGGGCCTTTGAATATAAACAAGTTGACGACAAAGTATTTAAGGCAATGCTCTCTTCTACACGCGCGAGCGAGAAAGGAAAGGAGAAAGAAAAAGAGAAAAAGAAAAGGTCGGGAGGCAAATAAAAATTAAAAAGAAAAAAAACGAAACCTCGCGTTTTCTTTCTCCTCTCTCTCCGTTTCCAGTTTCCCTCTTTTTGTTTACAATCGAAACACTCTTTGTTCGTCCCAGCAATTTCAATTGAGCCTACGCCAGCGTTTCTCCCAATCCGATTCAGATTCAGTCAAATTGCTCTCTACTTTCTTGACTTTTTCTATTCTTTTGATTCCGACAATAGGGAGGAAACTCCTCCTAGGGTTAGGGTACTTTTCTTTTCTTATCGGATGATTTTTAATTTTCTCCACGGAGTTTCGCCTTAGAAGGTACGCCGATTTATCATTTATATGTATCTTTTTTTAAAAAATAAAAATAAAAATAAAATTTTTGTCTTGTCCTTTTTAAAATTTTCTTGGTATACAAAGAAATGGGCAAAAAAAGGAAAAAGAAAAACTAAAAATTCTAATTTAGATGATGAAATGATGGTTAGGGTTAGGATAACAGCATCGGCATCATCGGCGCAAATGGAAGCGTCAAGTACGAATCCGGACGCCTATAGAGGTGTCTCTACGAATTCGAGAAGATATGGAATTCTGTCTGCTTCGAATATAATCCAAGCGCCTATTTCAGCCTTGTTGGAGTACTCAGGTCTTCTCCGTACAGCACGTTCTATCCACCAAGAACCCGAACCTCTTATCCCCAATCAGAATCTACAAAATTCGACTTCGTCCCTTGCCAACAATGGAGAGGTTGCTATTAGGATAATTGGGGCGGGAGACCATGAGAGCGAGAGGGATGCCTCTGGTATGGTGATCGGCCAGCTCAGGGAATTTACTCCTCAGAGTGAGGTGTCGCTGGGATTGGGAACGTCTGATGGTCAAGGAGGAGATTCCAGGAGCAGCGATCGTGGGGCGGCTACTGGAGAAGGGGAAGGTGTTTCCCACTCCTCACCCAATGGGAGTGTTAATGCTAATGTGGAAACTGGGGATGGGACTGGGACCGGAGCTAATAATAGCAGAGATTCCTCCTATCAAAGATATGATATTCAGCAGGCTGCTAGGTGGATTGAGCAAGTTCTGCCCTTCTCTTTGCTTCTCTTGGTTGTTTTTATCCGCCAACATTTGCAAGGTGACTCACTCACTCATCTCATTTTATGTACTTTTCTGATTGTTTCAGTTTTGCTGTTAAATGTAGCTATTTGATATTTAAGCATAGACAGTGGTCAGTTTGTAGATGCATTTAACAGACATTCACTGGAGTTGGCCTTTAATTGTTATTGAGATTATAAATGCATGGTTTTACTTCTATATTTGAGTAATTTCAGGTTTTTTTCACCTACTGTATGTAAATGTGATAAAACTAGCATGAAGAAAGTTCCTCTTGAAGAATAGTTGATGAACATGGGTTTAGTTCTTAGCGTCTTTTTAGTGTTGTTCATCTAATCTTCAATTGGTGTAGATCATAAAGCTTATTTATTGCTGTCTGGCATGCCTAGGTGCAGCAAAAATTAACAGAATCACCTTGCACTGCTTCAAGTAGGGTGCCTTAGATCAGTCACTTCTGCTCACCTTTTGCACCTGACTTTTCTAAGGTGTAAGCATATAAAAAGTGTGCCCTGATTTAAGTGTTCTTTTGGTTCCTTTTAATTTCTTTTATTAGCTGTACCTTCAATAGTGAAAAAAGAAAATACGAACTCACCTTGGAAGAATGACAAGATAGGTAATTTAGTCCATGCTCTGCTTTTTGTTGAAAATGGAAGTGAAGGAAAATTGAGCTAATGTTGTGATGATGACAACTAGTTAATTATGACAGTTTCATCTTTGCAACATATCAGGCAATGTGATGAAGCAAACTCTTTATGTTTACCAATACAGTTATCTAGTTTAATCATACATAAATTTTCATTGTATCGTCTATATACTAATTATTTTTTAGAAATTAATGCCTATATTGGGAAGTACTTTTTTTTTCCTTATGCCTTGAGCAATATAGCGCAGAGTGTGCTTTCCACCTGCTTTGTTTCACATCAATGCTTATTTCTTGTAATAATTTTGTATTCAAACTTGCAATTGCCTAACTAATAAGTTGATGGACTACATGTTGTGTGAGAGAGAAACTGAGTACATTTGGGCTTTATGCCTGCTGCAAGGTTAAAATGAAACTTTTTCTGAGTTGTACGCTAATTATGCTTCCCAAACTGAAATACTGTTCTTTTCAAGTTAATGATTATTGTCTTTTGCAATTATTTACAGGTTTCTTTGTTACGATTTGGATTGCTGCAGTCATGTTCAAGTCAAATGACATTTTACGGAAACAAACTGCTTTAAAGGTGATATAAACATCTATGTTCTGCATTTCTTTATGGGTCCTATGTTTTATCTGAATTCAGGAGTTAAAAAGTTTTTCTACCATTTTTAATGTAAGAAATATTATGCATGCCTTCTCTTGGTGGCTGCAGGGGGAGAGGAAGATCTCTGTTCTGATTGGCATCTCTCTTGCTTTCACGCTTCATGTTATTGCTGTCTATTGGTGGTATTGGAATGATGATCTTTTGTATCCATTAGTGATGCTTCCTCCAAAATCTATTCCACCTTTCTGGCATGCTATTTTTATTATAATGGTTAATGGTGCGTTGTTTTCCACTAATATCTTTATCAAATGAAATGCAATTTATATTGTCTTGTACTAGAAAAGAAACATTTTGTGGAAATGGTTGTGCAGCCTTATGTGTTTATATGATGTCTATTGCAAGTGCACCTTTCTAGGATAGGGAAGACTACAATTTTCAGCAAGTTGTTATAACCTTTTCCCCAGACCCTTTTTTTCTTTCTATAAGTGGAATATGCTTCACTAAATTTTCTTACCAAATTTTCTTCTTGCATCAAAAACGAAAACAGATGTTTTGGAAATTTTCTTTATATCTATGTCTGCCCATATAAATTTGTCGTTTGGATTAATGTCATGGGTTAGTGAATAGCTGCTTACTTCACCTCTTAAATTGAGTACTTTTCGTGATATCATCTGTATCCAAGGGAGTGGTAATTCATACATTAATCATTATATTTTGAATTCCTTCCATGTGCATGCATGCGCATACTGCTCCACCCCTACCGTTGCCCTTCTGTTCAAGATGTTTGTTTTACCCTTTCTATTATGGATTGTTTTGTACTATTCCTTGTTGTTGGGTCATAATCTTGCCTTCTTTCAGATACATTGGTTCGGCAGGAGGCAATGGTTTTAAAGTGTTTTCTGTTAATGTATTACAAGAATAGTAGAGGCAGAAACTACCGTAAGCAGGTGAGATAATTTTTTTTCAATGGAGTAGATGTGTATAAATAGCACATGCATGCTCGTCTATATTTATGTGTATGCATGAAATTTTGAGTATTGAAATTTGATGAGATAAAGAAAACAAGTGTAAAAGAAAATTGATGCTAGATATAGAACAAGAAAAAGATCGAGAACAATATGTTTAATAATAAAAAAAAATCAAGAAATATATTTAAAAATGAGTTTTTGTAGTTAGAGGGCAAGAAAATAAAACTTATGTGAAAAGAAAAAAAAGGAAAAGAAAAGAAAGAGAAATAAAGTTGATGCCTTAAAAAAAAATCAAGAAATTCGCAAAGTGTCATTTAAAATGAGAAATTTGGCACCTTCAAAATCCCTCATTCAAACTCCAAGAATTTTGACAATTCTATTTTTATTTTGCTAAACAAGTAATTCTTTTGTTAGGATTTTAACTCTTTCTAGAAAAAAATCCCTCATTGACATTCCCTATGCAAACGCACTCTTAATATTTTTTTCAAGGCCCCCTATTCCTCATCTTTTTATTTAATTTATTTTATTTTTTAAAATAGCCATCTTCAATGACAGAGAGTTCTTTCTTATGTTAATATTCTTATTTAACCTTCCATACTGATTTTGAAAGAATAAATCATACATTTTCGAATCTTGAACTATGGATGTGATTTTGCATGATTGTGTTTGTTGGATTATGAAATTGCCAAGTTTTTTCTCCTCACTTCACTGCAACATGATTTTTCCAGTGGCCAATGAATCTTCTCTATTTTTGTCTGTTATAAAAAATTATGCCACATCAGAGAATGGAGTGAATGTTGCAATCTGTTATGGTTGTAAGAGACCATTACTCTGTAACATTCTGGCTGCTATGGAGCACACTGTTGGCAATCTCGTTCACCCAATAGCGGTTTATAGCATTTTGTGGGCACTGCCATGACAGTGAAATAGCAGTCCTGATGCTTTGTCATGGCCGCTGTTTAGAACCATGCATACATACATACGTGTGTGTGTGTATATATATATATATATATATATATATTTATATTTATATACCCTGCTTCATACTGACTAAAAGAGTACTTATTTCCAGGGTCAAATGTTGACGTTGGTTGAATATATGATTCTACTTTACCGTGCCTTATTGCCAACTCCAGTTTGGTACCGTTTCTTCTTAAACAAAGAGTATGGAAGCCTCTTTTCATCACTAATGACAGGGTTGTACTTAACCTTCAAGCTCACATCTGTTGTTGAGAAGGTCTGTTTTTTTTCTAATATAAATTGTTTGAGTACATTTGAAAGTCATGAGTAATCTATTTTTCTTGTGAAAGATGGATATCTGGCAAGTCAAACAACTTATAGCTTTTCTCTTCTTAAGCCTTTTTTCCCTTACACGGCTGGCGAATTGCAGGTGCAATCCTTCTTTGCTTCATTGAAGGCATTATCTCATAAAGAGGTACATTATGGTGCTTATGCAACACCAGAGCAGGTATTCTGGATTTCATTTTGGTGTTAATGAACTGATATTATGTGTATATGTAGAAAAAGTTTAGGTGCCTATTTGCTTGCAAGCTAATAGGTACTCACCAAAAAATGTTCTTATTGATATTTACTGCATATTTGGAAGTCGAGAACTTTAAGTTTACGGAAAGGGCAAAAATAAAAGACTCAGACTGCGGGAAAGAATTGGAGAGTTTGATGCAGAAAATAGGGAACGCATTTCAAAGAACATGTTTTAACCAGAAAGAGAATCTTGTTTGTTACACCAACATTTGATGATAGTTTGTTATGCTTAGTATATTTTTTTTCTTCTGTACTAAAAGACTTTGCACATGGTTGACTTCCCTGGACATACTGACAGTTTCATTTGCTGCTTATTAAACATTTTCGCTCCCTCTCTCCTTTTTTTTTTTTCCTTGCTTTGGGTAGGGGGTTGGTTACTCTGGAGGAAAGATGTCTAGTTTGCCTAAATATTCTTGTAGCATTTATTTAACAAGTTGATCCCTGTCAGATTTGAGCTTGAGGATTGAGCCGAGAGTTACTTGTGGTTTGAATTGCACACCATATTAGTGCAATTATTTAAAGTTTTCTACCAGAATTAAATTGTGGTAAAAGTAGCTGTGTATCTTCTAGGTTTTTGTGTTTGAAAAACTAAATTGACTATCTTTGATGGCATGATTAATACCAAATTGATAAAACAAAGCCCTTGTTGTTTCTAGTTTGTCTTGACGAGATTCATCAATTTCTTTCTTTTTTATAACCAACCTATATTGTATCTTTGGCATCAAAACTGGTCCACTCCACTATTTCTCATTCTTCTTAATCTTTTCACTGCTCCTTTTTCTCCATAGTTTACATCCACTTAGGGTTCTTGACCTCTAATTGCACAATGTTGGTTGGCTTACTGTGAGATGATTTGCTTAATGTTTGAAAGGATAAAGTACCAAGGCAGTTATCGGCCGGTGTGCCTTAGCTGTAACTCATTGGTTGATAATTAAACTGTCTTTGTGGTGTTTTGTAGGGTGATTGCTCATTTTAATGAAAGAAATATTTCTTTGTTTTAACTTGTCGCTTATTTGATGTCAGGTGAATGCAGCTGGGGACATGTGTGCAATCTGCCAGGAGAAGATGCATGCTCCTATCCTACTACGTTGTAAACACATCTTTTGTGAAGATTGTGTATCTGAGTGGTTAGTTTGTTGATACTTAGCCTTTTATGCTGCATTAATCTGTTATTTTCTTGCTGCACATGGATTATGCATTCAAGAACTGTATTCTGTGTGCATTATTTTTTTTTTTAGTTTATTTGTGCTGTGGATGAATGCTCTTGTGTTTTCCAGGTTTGAGAGGGAAAGAACATGTCCTTTGTGCAGGGCATTGGTTAAACCTGCAGATCTCAGATCATATGGCGATGGATCAACTAGTTTGTTTTTTCAGATATTCTAAGATCATTGCTGTACAATCTGTGAAGTTTCTCCGCTTCGATGCTCTAAAATGCACTTATCTAAAGCAGCCGTATCCTTGTCATCATCTAAATGGGTAAATTTGATTTTTTTGGTTTTGTCTTGTCAATGAATTAACAAAGAAATTGAATTCAAAACAACTGGATCAAAGTGAAATTGGCCGTCTGTTACTATGTTGTATTTGAAAGGTTGAATGTATCTATCTAATGGGCCTTCCAAGCCACAACGGTATATGTCACTGTTAAATTGGCATAAGTGAAAGCCTCTTTCGGTTTCTGTGTTCTTGCTTTTGCACCCCTTACTGTGTTTTCTTTTTGGCTTCAAGGAAATTTGGTTTGGTTTAAGTTTTCTAGAACAATTTGGTTTGAAATGCGGTTTGCAAGCTGGTGTTCCCAATGGCCTCCTACAGAGCACAAGCTGCCAGACTACAGCTGAGCGGTTATTCCAGCTAGAGGCAGCCATGAGATGTTGACATGGCATACGTGAAATATCCAAAGTATCTTAATAGGGAAAAACCCATAATTTTACCCATGTTGAGTATACGAAAGAGTTAAAGATAAGAATAGGTTTTGAAATATATTGAAACATTAAATGCAGTAAATGAATTATAAAAATTTAAAAAATGATAATTGAGTTATGAATTTATAATTAATGTAATACTTGAAGAGTTTTTGTATGCGATATATTATCATTTGAAGTTAATTATATATATGTATAAGTATTATATTAATTTATAAATTTATAATCAATATATTATATTAGAGATTTTTAAAATATAAGTATTATATTAAATATTTCATTATAATTTGAGAAGTATTTTATAATATTAATCTTTTATGAAAAAAAAGGGGATATTATTGAATTAGATTTTCAATAAAAAGGTTGACATAGTTTTGAGCAAAAAAATTCAGATTGTTTTAGATCTGATTTTGGATATTTTAGATTTGATATTTGAATTATTCAATTTAGATTAAGATTTTTTAAATTAAAAGTTAAATTAGTTTAATTTTTGGCAATTTCGAATAAATCTTTTTGATTTTTGAATGTTTTAAATTTAAATATTATAAAATTGATAATTCGAATTTAAATGTACATGGGTAATTGACTTATTAAGTTTGAAAACTCCAGTAGAGTTCATATTCATGCTTTTTAGCTAAAAACGATCTGTATTGCAATGCCTTTTTAGCGCACGGTGACTGTAATTCTTCGTTTTGGACGGTTCTCACAATCATGACCATAAGTAAAGAAACAAACACTCCACAATCATGACCAGAACCTTAATGCCCATTGAAGTTAATAACTAAATGGCCATTGTTATTATGATTAGCTACACGTCCTTTGAACTAAAAATTTTGACCTAAATAGCAGAATTTGTGTTCAAATTACCTAGCAAAATTTTAAAGCAAGTAAAGGCTTGTCCATGATTAGAGAATTTATAGGTGGAAAACTACAACTTGCATTGGAAAAAAAAGGTAAAGAATTTTGATATTCTTATTTAATCATGGACAAAAAAACGGGAATGCACAATTACACGCACCAAAAATAAATAAATAAATAAATGAAAACAAAAAAGGAACCCTTCCCAAAAAAATACAAAAAAAAAAAAAAAAGAGGAAAGGAAAAAACCCAATCCCATGTTACAAAAGTCTTTTAACATGCAAAATAGTATATTGGTAATACTAAATATGGTAAGAAGATAGTGGAGGTCTTCTTGCATCGTCTACATCAGGTGGGGAAGTAGCTGGAGTAGGTGGGAGTGAGACATGAGATTTGGAGTTGGAGGCATCCTTTGCTTCCTCTAGTGGTAAGGTTTCCTTTGTCGGTGTCGAGCTTGTAGAAAGGGTGTCCTCGACCTCAATCTCTACCTCGGAAGGAGACTTTGGTGAGGGTGGGTAATCAGAAAGCATTTTTGAAGAGGGGAAGTTGATGGGATAAACTTCTGTAACTTCTTCAGCGCCCTCGTCTAAGTACACAACATCTTGCATGGTCAATTGGTGATACTCAACTATTTCCCTTAAAAACCGATTCTCTCGAGCGTATATCGAATTCTCGCGCGCCAAACGGGCCTTTTCTGCCAAAAGAGTCTCCAGTTGAAGCCGAATCTGATATCACATTTGCAACATAAAAACAATTACTAATGTTTCTGCCATCCTGCATATACCTCTAACTCAACTACATCTATAACCCAACACTTTCTTAAATAAAAAGGGAAAAAATATCATGAAAGAAGAAATTGAACAAAAGAATATTGATCTCATGGTAGGGGCAGCAAACAAAAAAAAAAAAAAAATCATCCTGGCTCCATATAGAAAAGAAAAGTTATATGTACCAAATCATCATCTGCAGGATTACCCCCTTTCACTCGACTCTCCCGAAGGAGTTTATTCTCCTCCTCTAGTTGAGCACATCGTTCCTTCTCAAAAGCCAAATCTGCTTTAACAGTTTTCAGCTCCCGAAGAAGAAGTTTTGCTTTAGCAGCTGTGGCCATTGCGACCTGTGAAGAAAAACAAAGCCAAATCATGCATTTCACTGTACTGGAGATGAAAAAACTTAGCTCATAAGCTACTTCTAGTGCCAACAATTGAGTTGAACCTTAATGAACGCATTCCCTATTAAAAATTTAGATTTAATCTTCTATGCATAGCCCATAATGCAACTTACATTTGGCAATAGCCAAACTATTGTGGAAATAACCTAAAAAGGGGTATTTTATCATTTTTACACTGAAAAGTTCAATAATGCAGTAAAGTCAAGATTGTATGAATTTATGACGAGAAATTTGTCAGATGGCTGAGTGGCGGGCAGACCATGGTCTCTCAAACTGATAACCTGAAGTGTTTTTGAGAAATTCACAGCCTTGTTTTGGTTCTCAAGTTGAAACAATCAATGCTTTTACTATATGATTCAGTGACACGCAATTTTGCCACCTTACGTCGCGAGATGCCTTGAGTTGGGTTTCATGATTGGTTTGATTCTGTAGCTGTGTTGGTTGCACCAGAGGTTGCTGCAATGTGCTATTGAAACTATTGACCTGATTTTCTGCCACGGGACTGCTTCCTTTCCGCCTGATTTGAAGCTTGCGCGTTTCCTGAATAATATCTTGGGTTTTACTTTCCACTATTGTTCGACCTTCCTGCAAAGACAAGAACTTGTGTTGAAGAAGACAGTTTGATTTCTACAACACCAGAAAGAATAATCAAATGAATTAATAGAGGTTTCCTTACAAAATGTTTCTAGTTGTGTCTTAAGAACTCATTCTTATCTTGGATCTCTAATCGATAATCTTTCAGCTTACAAACAAATTTAGCATTGACAAAATCTAGATAGATACAAACTATCAATGAATTTGTTTACTAATTGAGATCGGAAAAGCAAAAGAAAAGCTACATTCTGGAGTAAAAAATTTTGGTTAGAATGAATTATACAAGTTTGTAAGTAAAAAAAGAGCATGAGAAGAGGATAAAAAAATTGTAGTCGAAAAAAGTTCACATCTATCTTACTTCAAAAGCCTTTTCAAATGTGTCACCAATTTGATTGAGGGAAGAGGTGAGCTTATCCAAGCCCCTTCGTATTGTAGGATTGTCCATTCTTCTAAAACCCTCAGTTGGCTGTTGGTCTTGGTTCTGTTATTGAGAAGAAAGATAAGCACAAGTGCAAACTTTGAACATAAAACAAAACAGAAATGCATCACTTAACTATGGCATTGCGTCAGCTATAGCAAAAGGTGTAGATCGAATTACTTTGAGACCCTTTCGTCTGATAATTAGCGCCAACAAAGAATTAAAATAGATCAACTCACCTGGGAAGCTGTTGAGGCATCCAACATATGCGATGATCCCACTCTGGCAGGCGTTTCAAACTGCTCAGAGATAGTGTTGTCATCGAGAATGGCCTTAGCTTTTCTAGCAAGAACACCCCAGAACCCTTTCGAATCATTTCTTGAATCTTCATAGGCATTGAAGCCCTACAATTAAGCATCTCAATACGAAATTAGCCAACAGAAAAAACAAAAGAAAACCAAAAAAGTTCGATTATAGGCACGTAGAAATCGATTAAAAGTGACGAACTTTTGATGGTTCTGACCATCCAATTACACGCTGCAAAACAGATCTTCTTTTTCTTTTCTAAATAATCGATTTTATTTTGAGGCGTTTATCTCTAAAATGCAGCCTATAATACTTGATCACTGTAACTTATTCATGATTTAGCAGCAATAAAATGGAATCATGCAAAAAGAACATGGCATTTGATATAAATGATAATAATATGAAAAAAAAAAAAGGAAAAAAGAAAACCTTAGATCTTGAAGGGTCGAAATCAGAATCAGCAGTAAAAACAAGGGAGTCGGTTTTGCGAACAGCGGAGGAAGCAGGGATGGCCTGAGCGGCGAGAGAAATGGGTGGTGATGACGATGAAGAGAAAGAATTGGAGGAGGTAAAGGTTTTGGTTTGATTGTGATTGTCATCTGGTGGTGGGTGGTGAATCTCTTCCTTGAAAGTCGACGATCTGCTTATTCCGTGCCTTCTCCTATAAGCCATTTGTTTTGTGTTTTTCTTAGTTTTAGGGAACAGAGAGAAAGAGAAGGGGAAGGAGAGATGGGATTGCGCCCAAAGCAAATGATGGGGAAATCTGTTGTATTATGTTCTATTCTGTTCTATTCTATTCTTTTGGAATTAGAGCCTAACAAACTTCCCCTCCTTTTTTAACGAACCAGCCTACATGTATGTATATACACTAACAGAAACAGTCTTATTCTTCAGAAGAAAAATCTTTGGCTTTGCCTTTGCCTTAAGATCAGATCGTCATATTTAGTTTTGGAATTAGACATCATTGAATTTGGTATGATATAAGAATCAAATATAATTTAGTTGAAGGTGGTACAATAATCTTAATAGGTTTAAAATTATGTAAAGATAACAATAGCTAAACTTACTTTTAAAATATAAATAAATTACATAAGGTGTACGTTGAACTTATTCAATTCTTATGTTTATGATTGATTGATTGATTGATTACTAATATCTAAGCTAATTTCTGAAATGTATATAAAGTTTGAAGAGAAAATGGAACTAAACATATTATTAATATTGATATGTTTTCTAAGAAACAAAAAATGTACTTTCAATAAAAGTAAAAGACATGTATATATATATATATATATGTATGTATGTATGTATGTACTTTTGAGTTGGATAAAAAGACATATTATTAGACATAATAGAACGTAAAGAGAAGGCAAGTTTCTCAAACAAACACAATGGTATAATCACCTTCGAGTCTCTCAAGCTTCACGGCAAATCCCACCTAAATGTTGCTTTCTTCTTCTGGGGTCCGACAACTCCCTAATGTTGTAGGTTGGGTCCCATTTTCTTTCCCTTTTGACTATTTAAATTGAGATAGCCATGACGACGTGATTCTCTTTAAATACCAAACGAAAGCAGATGCATTGTACGTATGGCTTTGGTAAACGACAGCCACTCTTTTCACCCAAGCTTCAATTTTAGATTAAAAGTTTCAGACTTCATTTAATCATAATTTTTACAACTTCTTGTCCATGGCTGATGCATTTCCATAGACAAGCACCAAAACAGAAATTAATACATAAAACAAGTCTACGCTGAATCTGTACAATTAAATCAAATATTAATTCTCTCCCTCCCTATATATATGTATCATCTCTAAGGCTCTAATAACATTCCAAAGCAAAACCTCTTTTCTATCAGTTGGAGAAATATTGCACCTACCTGCATCTCAGCAATCAACCATCTGTGCTCATAAACAATACTAATCTTAGATCACTTAACTTAAATGAAGCCAAACTGAATAGTTTAAAGATGATTCTTCCTTTTTCATCTTTTTTTACACGCACCATCTAAAATTCTCACAACTGGGGAGCCAGATTTCCATGCTCAGCATCCAATGAGAACTGTTTGTAACTATCATTGTATGTTTCAGTCCGAAGCTCCTTGTGATGGCTACGAGCCAAGTGCCTCCTCCAATTTGCTTTGTCCAGAAACAGATCTTCTGTACCAGAACCTTGCTGGAAAATTTTATCCTTTCCCAACAGATTAATCTGATCAAGCTGCTTCTTCAGAAATGGCAAATCAAATATGAACCGAGAACCCAGTCGTTGGCTTGCTTTCAACTCTTGGCCTACTGCTACTACAGAACCACTGTCTTCAACGTCATCTTTTGCAGTTATGTGTTGCCCACCACTTCTCAGAACAGTTGACTTTTTATTGTGTCCAGAACCATTCGTTTCACCACAAATTGAACTCCACATAGTGTGTTGGGGTCTTGAAGGTGATAAATTATAATTGTTTCTCGGCCTCAAATCCGATATATTTGCCTGAGATTGAGCTAATGATGACTCCAACCGTGGTGCCTCACTATAGCAATTGTTTTTGACCATTATAATTGGTGTGGAACTTTTGCCTGAGTTCTCAATTCCAGCAGCTGAGAGGTTCAACTCTCTGGCCCCAACACTGGAAGGATAGGAGTCCAACTGAATCTCACAGCACCAATCCTGATGTAACCTGTCACAACCAAAAAGGCCAAAAACATCCACAGCATTACTGGAGTGAGCATCCCCTCCGAAGGCAACTGGTATTTTCCTTTCATCACTGCTTGATGCCACTTCCATTGAAGCATTAGGGATAAGCATTTGGTTCCTGGCATAAGCTTTTTCTCCTGCACCAGCATAAGATGTATCCACTTTATAATTGTTCTTTCCTGAGATATTTGGACCCATATGAAGATGGTCAAATAAATTTTCAGATTCTGCAGTAAATGCAGAATCCAGAATGGGAAGTCCCCTTTGGGTGGAACGAAATGCATTAGGATTTTGACATTCGGGTTGCTGAAACAAATGTTTTGATCCTGGAGTCCAACAATTAGAAGCATTCACTGAACATCCAATCAACTTCCTCTTGGCAATCATTTGGGCTGTTGGTCCTAAATCTTTAACAAAGAGCATTAAGCTTTCTCTGTAACCAATATCCTGCTGATTTACCTACAAAAGCAAGGTAAAAAAGTGGTCAACTCTCATCCAAAATTAAAAATTCCGTAGCCCCTCCTCCTAACATCAACTCAGCTTGCGGTTGGAAAACATCCTTTGTGGAGTGTTCCCTCATTGCTTTGAACGGTGGTCAAAAGATATGCGGTTGACCCAAAATAATAGACAGATTAAAAAACATATGAATTGTGCGATGGCCCAACAAGAATAAAAGAGAATAAAGGAAGGAATCATGCACTGGCAAGGGACTTGTAATCCATGTCTCTTCCATAGAAGGAACAGCCCCTACTTGATTGAAAGTAAGAAATGCTCCTAAGCACAAAAGTATAAGAAAAGAAACACAACGTTGACTATTCAGAACCTTATAAAGAAGGGATGTAAAGTTGTGAAAACTAAAAATGAACATTCAAGTGATCTATAACTGACTACAATTTTTTCAGTTAGACTTTAAGATTGAGAAATTTGACACAAACATCTGCAATTAATGGACTTAGCATTCCATATGACTCGATTCTACAAGCAGAACAATATCCCATATACCTGTCAGTTTAGTTGTTTAAGATGCATCTACGTGCAGAAACAAACAAAAGCAAGACTAACTTACAGGAATTAGTTGTTTTGAGTCACTATAAACTGTGCAAACAATTGAACCATTTTCAGTGAGGAGAGACATCGAGGGTGTATACGTACAACGTCTATCTACTTCAGCAAAGCTATTTCTCCTACCACTTTTAGCACCTGCTAGAGAATCACTAATTAAATCAGTCAGCAATGTCTTCAATTCATGTTTTAAAGTAAATAAATCTTAGTCAATCATGCAAGGTAAAAGCAAATCTAAGTGGCAAATGTTTTCATGAAATTTTCTAAAGTTCAAAGCCATAAGTGGAACCTCCAGAAATGAAGTTGGCCATCCCATAATTTTTGAAAATGAACTCCTGGAATAGTCCAAGAAATTTCAATTAGGAACATTAAGACCAAAATTTATTTCTTACCAGAGTTCATTTCATGATCTCTTGCATTAAAATCAGCAGCAGCATCAGAGTGTTGACGAATTCCTCTAATACTTTTCCTGAGGTTTGAAGAATTACGAAGAAAACATGGCATACTTTTTGATGATATATTGGTCTTGCTATTGGGTCTTAAATTTGTTGGAAGCTTAGAACTTGAGCTATTTGTTGGAGCCGTAGCTTCACTCATGAACCTTCTACTAGTTCTTCGTTTTGTCTCTGAAAATTCCAACTCAAAATTCTCTGGGGCAGTTTTAAGAGAATGAAAGACCTTTATTGCTAGTTCGTGAATAGCTCGAGCCTGCAAAACCAGAATTTTTCATTTGGTGGTAAGAATTATCTAGATATTGTGGCATGCGACTCTTAGCTGATACTGGTACCTGTCTGAAGTATATAGTTGTTGAGGAATTAAAATGCATTGCATTTCTGGGAATTAAATTTACATCATGCTGCACAACAGTCCAAACACGATCAGTCACAAAACCAATAAAATGTTTAATACACAGTATAATTCACACTTATCACACTTGATCTGAATTTAAACAAAAAATTCTGGATGCTCCATTCATAAGCTACAGTTCACATGATGGCGACCAAGTGACATATACTATAGCTGTCTGAAACAAGAAAATGCAAGAACTATACATTTCACAAATGAGAAACACATATACCTTCAAGTTAAAGAAACAAGAACTAATTCCTGAGAAAAGAGCACACCTCAAATTGTTGAAGACTCATGTACATCCCTTCATGAAGTTTAGCTCTCATGGTGCCAAAGTCCATAGGCTCTCTAATGATTTCATAATAATCCTCAACCTTGTCATAGTTGCAACATCCATCAGCATGGTACATCAAAAGAATAAAGAACTTTCACAGTACCAAATGCTGATGCAAACTACTAATTACATACCTCTTTCGGGTCAACAGGTTCAGCAAATATTTCATAGATGTCCCTCCTAATATTAGAAAGATAAGGTTCAAAGATCAATTAATTATTTACGCAGATATTATTCTAAATTAGTATTCTTTAAGTGTACATCTACTACTGTTTCTGATAGTATTCAGACAATGCTAACTCTTGAACTGTACACAACTCATCACTCTGGAATTGCTGAAGCCTGGAAGACCCACCTCTGTAATATGTCAAGAATAAGCTCCAGTATTCGTTTCTCTGGCATCCATTTGGTAGATGGTGGCACACTCGATAGTTGATCTGCTATGAGAATATCTTTGTCAGGATGAATATATCTGCATTCATGATTAAAATCCTAACATAATGGGACGTTTGAAAATTTCAATATAGATAACGAGGATAACCAGTGGAGGCTGCTTTATCATCATATTTCGGGCTATTGTCAACCTGGGAAGTTGGTCGATCTAATAAGAAACAATTAATCACGTTACTTGAGACAGTAAAGAAAAAGAGTGTTGATAATTAAATTCTTAGAGACCACAAGACTCACCACTACCAATTGGATGGTCTTCATGGCTTTGTTGGTCGCTGCCCTGCACGACATTTAGTTTTGCTGGGGGTTTGAGATTAGTATATACACAAGAAATAGAGACCTTTTAACTTATATTAATATACAATTAGCAAACCCTCAGAAAAACTATCAAAACTAAACCACATGCTTCTTGACAATGATGAGTAACTACAAATTAGCTTCCTCTATGAACGGGATTGAACATTATTTGATCATTATGCTATTCGAGTGTTGATTTGAATGATCAGAATGAATATAACCTCTAATCACATAATCCAAGCATCAAGATTTTGGATAAATTTTCAAGCACCTTAAATAAACTCACACAGCTTAGCTTTAGTGCCTCAGGAGCTTTGACTTCTTACACTAAATGTAAGAAGGATAAATGTAAATAATGAAATGGAGTTAAATCAAAAGAACTGCAATAGCTGCTGAAGGAGAGTACCAAAAATCTAACACTAAAAATCTACCTAAGGATCGTAGAACGCACAAACCTTTTTGAAAAGAGAAGGGCAAAAGAATTTTCTTTTGAGAAAAAGAAACATTATATTAAAACAAATTCCATGAAGATGAAAGAAAGAAGAGTGAAGCAGCGCCGGGGTGTGCAAAGGAAAAGAGGGTCCCCTTCGCCTTTTGTCGGTCGGCTGGTACTTGTTTTGACCTTATTGCTTAATTACCTAAATGACGACAAATCAACTGTCATTAACAAACCCTTTGCCATATTTCAGGAAGCCTTTCGTATTGGTATGTCCTGCTCCTGCCCAATATCCCACCCCCCCCCCCAAAAAAAAGGACACAAATACATTCACACAAGTGAAAGGAAAACCATATTTTTTATTGTTTGATTAGAAGAATGAATCGTTAAATTCATAGCAGGAAGAAAAAAAAAGAAAAGGAAAATGGGGAATAAATAAACAACACCTGCTGAGCAAAGGGTGAAAGGGAAGTAGCAGACACATCCTCTAGTGGTCTGAGTTTTCTTATTTTCCTGGCCCTAGTCCGGGAGGCTGGTCCCTGAGGGAGGGACTGTTGTACTTGTAAACTCATTGCCTGTGCCAGTGAAGCCAAGGCAGTACCACCCACGCGCCTCGATTGCTGGGCCTTGCAAGCATCCAATGCAGATATCCGCGGGCTCCTCCTTTGCCCTTCTTTCCACTTGGACATTCCTACTTTTCTACTACACAGTGCACCCATAAATACACATTTAGCTGAGCAAAACGGAGCAGACACATTGCATCGCTGCTATGAAAAAACACATGAGAAAGAGAAACCAACCTTGAGCTGGCCATTCCTAACAGAGAGACGAAGAAAATGGTAATGGTAATGGGGAGAAGAAAAGGGAGTTGGAACTGAAGAGAAGAGGGGATTTATGTCACATTATTATATTAGGAGGTACAGCTATTGTTTAGTGTTTATGAGAGATAAGGTGAATTTTCCTGACAAGGAAAAATCATTAAACCCCCCAAACCGTAGCGTTCATTTGCTTCCTGATTTCCTATTTTAGTTTCTTCTTAATTTCCAAGTGAAAACTGAAAATATTCAAAAGAACAAGAGGAAATCATGGGAACTGGGACAGTACAAAAGGGGTTTGATTACAGCTTATAAGCATGTCTGTCCCATGACAGGCATTAGGCCTGAGGTTTTAAGTTCTATTAAGGATGAAAAATACAATACATGTCATGTTTTAGTATTTTACCCTCTGAACTCTGATCTGAGGTTCTCTCGGAATTCTCTAACCTACGAATTAGTGTGACGCGCTGAAAAGAACGTGCACTTAACGCTCACTCTTTTGTCTTTTCACCGCACCAAAAATAAAAAATAAAAAAATAATTGACACCAAATTGCTTAGCAGGCTTTTTTTTTTTTTAATATTATTTGAAAAACGAAAGAATATGTGCTTCTTATCATTGTATCAACAAATATTTTGATGTATTTTTTTTACTGTTTTAATTTTACAATTAAAAAATTATTTGTTAATTTTTATAATTTTAATGTTATAACATAAAGGCGATTTGTTATAATATTAGTAAGTGTAGTTTAATATTGATTAATGAAGGAGACAAAATGGATGATCAAATTTACCTTTGAAATATCATGTCAAATGACAAAAACCTACTTAAAAATTAAGGTATTTTGCAAGGGGTTGCAAACGTTAAAAAAAAACACTTTTTTTTTTTACTATTTTTGCATCTTTTCCCTTGATATAGAGAGCTTTTTTACCTTACTTCCTTGTTTTGCAAATATATTTTCTTGTAGGTAATTAAGAATTATAAAAAAAATTATGATTTAAAGCTAGATATTCAAGTTTTCCAATCACACATAATTTGAGAATTAAAATTTTTTCGTAATGAACTTGACAAAGCTATTCTGGAATTGAAAAAATCAAACCCACATACTAATTATGAGATGAAAGGAATAATTAATATTAGTTAATTAATAATTATAAGTAATAAAAATTAGTAAGTAATTTACATTTACGTATGTGCCGTTTTCCTTCAAGGGTGGTTTGGGCGGAGGGTGACGGAGAGTTGAGTCCAAAAAGCCCAAAAGAGCCTCATAGGAGGAAAAAAAGGCCCATTAGTGATTAATAAAATTAAAAGGGAAAAAGCGGTTTCAATGGGTGCGGTCAACAACGCTGACCTCTTCCTGCCGTGGATGTGGAAATCATAAATACAAATTGCTTAATTGACTCACTCTTCCCTTAATCTCTCTCTCTCTCTTTGTTATAATATCTCTTCCCCTTCCCTTCCCTTCCTACATTGGTTTCCCATCCCTTCCTTCCTTCCTTCTTCTTCTTTCGCCGATCCCTAATCAGTTGTATATTTCAGCCCTTACCCACCTTTCTTCTTTCATTGTAATTTCCCCTTTCCGGAGATCGGAGCTTTCTATCGCCTTATCTGGTAATCATCGAGTTCTTTCTATAAGCTTTTCATTTGCTCTTGCCTTTCAAAATTTTGGCTTTCTTCATTATTATTATTATTATTAGTATTAGTATTATTATTATTTATCTTTCATGTTTGCATCTATTATACTGTTCCAGAAGAGAGGATCCCTCATTGCAACTTTTTCATTCTATTATCGGCCAATCATCTTTTACTAGAAATTATTTTAATTTAGCCAAAAAAAAAAAAAAAACCTGTACCCATTTTATGATAAGTTTAGTATTCGTAACAATGCAGCATCCTATTCCTATGTGAAAGAATGATAATGCTTTGAATGTTTCTTCATGCTCCTCTTGTTTCTCTTGCTTACACTTAACCCTCGTTATAATACTTATCAATTACTACTTTCTCTAAGCTCCCAGCTTTCTCTTTCCCTGCCCTTTCAGCCCAATTTCTTACTTTTCCTCTTATTGCTTGCGTAGAGAGGGATTAATTGTATGCTTTTGCTGGTGCTTTATCATCTTTCTCATTTTCAGTGACATTTGCCTGTCTTTTTTTGGTAACTTATTTCTTTTCTTTTCAGTTGCCCTTTGCTTGTTTCATTGTTCTCTTTGGATTAATGGATGAAGACTCGGAAAGGATTTTTCAAGATGTTCCTTTACCCGGTGCTCCTGGCCACATGGAGGGTGGAGGTTTGGTCGTTGATCATTCTGATCAGCCAGCTTTGTGTGCTTTATGTCGAACAAGTCTAGCACCTGAATATGAGGCAACATTCGATCTTGAAACCGTTAGTCTTTGTGGGGACTGCAAGTTTTTGTTGCTTGAGGATCTTGCTACACCTCCTCAAGCCTCTCATCCCAGACGTCCAGCTCAAAGAAGAAGGAACAGGCAAAGCAGTTCTGAATCAATTGAATATCTTTTCTCACAACAATTTTCACATATGATTAATCTGGCGAGGCAGAACCAATCCACTGTCTCTGGCCTCGAGGATCAAATTATGGATGATGGTTCCACTGCAAGGTCATTACGACGAAGTAGTTCCCGCACAACTCCTAGTAGTTCTAGAAGATGGCAACGTGTTCTCTCTGATTCTGAAAGTGATGGTTTTGATAACCTGGATTCTATTTATGGTGAGAGTGAATCAAATGTTAGTTTTAGTTGGTACAGGGTTTTTCGCAGTGAGAGTGATGCAATATCTTTTAGTACTTATGGAGGGGACTCAGATGCTTCTGTGGATGGACATAGTTTCCTGGATACAGATATATTTGTTCGAGCTGAGAATAGGAGTGATATTGACAGTGACACTGATATTGATCCAATGCATGCTGGTCTGGACCAATGGAACTGGGATGAACCACAAGGAGATGGAGATGACAATGGTGAATGGGAAGAAGCTGATGCTGAGGAAGAATTGGTCGAATTTACTATATCTAGAGCTGTACTTCAAGATTTGTTTATTTCAAGTCCAAATGAAACCAATTTCCCTGTTTTTAATTTCCATCTCTCCAGAGCTGGCTTTGAACAACTGCTTGACCATGTGGCTGAGACTGATAGCTCAAGGAGAGGAGCGCCGCCTGCATCTGTATTTGTTGTGAATAATCTGCCTCGTGTGATTGTCAGTGATGAACACGAGAAGCATGATGGTTTGGCCTGTGCAATCTGCAAGGATGTTTTGCCTGTTGGCATTGAAGTAAACCAGCTTCCTTGCCTTCACGTCTATCACCCTTCTTGTATCTTGCCATGGTTGAGTGCACGGAATTCATGCCCCCTTTGCCGCTATGAGCTTCCTACTGATGACAAAGATTATGAAGAGGGGAAGCAACACATGAACAGTAGGATGGAGATGCATGAAATCCTGCAGCGAGATGCAAGTGAGGATAGTTCTTCTGAGGACTCTGATGAAGCTGAAGCAGAGGAAGCCTCTGAACTCGGCCCATATCAATTACAGGAGGTGCCACATTTGGATCCTACCGTCAGTAGCTCTTCCAGGGAGGGTGGTAGAGACTGGATTTTTCGTGCTGCTGCTCCTGTTGCTGGTATTATTGGTGTTGTTCTTGTTTTATGGTTAGGCAAACCACTAATTGGAAGAAGAGGATCAACAAGCCATTGCAATCTACCTTCATGGGGCCAGCATCAAATTCAGGTTTCAGATTCATCATCGCTGAGCCAAAGGGGGAGCAGAAGCAGGAGATGGTGGTCTTTCTTTTGAGAAGTTTCGGGAATCTATTTGGTGATTACTTTTAGTGTTTTTTTTTTTGGTTTATTGTGTATCTTCTAATCCCAACTTATGGCCTCAGGAAATTGAATTGGGAATGGTTATAGTTTCCTTTCCTCAAGAGTGGAGTGCTTGTGCAAGATTTCTTTCAATTCAACTGGATTTTGATTATCAATAATGCAAAACTGAGTTGCCTGTTATCGATTACTGCTTGATGATGCATTCAAATGTCTAAGCTGTTTTTTTTTTTTAATATATATTATTATTATTATTATTATTATTCTTGGGTTAAATTTGTATATTTGCATTTGAGTGGGTGGGCGGGTGTTGGAAGGAAGAACATCACCTTGCAGGAGATGCAGGCTTTGGTTAACTATGTAACATAGTTAAAAAACCAAGCAACAGAGGTTTGAGAATTGAGACTAGGATCTTTTTCTATCTGTAGCTCCCATCTAACTCAGCCACAATAGGAAGGAAAGGAGGTGAAAGGGCAGTGATTTTTCCTTTCAAATGAATAAATTTTCATCTTCCTATACCCTCAAATCCTTTCTTCCCACAACACCCTTTCCTCCTGTTTTCAAGTGCGTGCATGCCTTTTCTCCTGAGAAAAAGAAGAATGCAAGAAAGAAAATGTTTCACCCTCCCTCCCTCTATGCTGGCATTTGAATGAGCAGCCCAGGTGAGATACTATATATCACACAATTGAATAACGTATTAACCGCTAAACAAGATCACCTAACGATTAATTTCCAGATCTAGATTTCTGCACTGAACTTCGTCAGGCAACACCCACTCAGGAGGCCATGGAATTGATTACTTTCAAATTTTCTACGAGGTAAATATAACAGCTTCGAGTCCATCCCCATTTAGGTGGTAAGAAGGTATGAACATGAACATGAACATGTAACAAGCTCGCTGTCATATTGACATGAGATCAAGAGAAAAAAACAATTGCCAAACAATCTTCCACAGCTCCTGTCTGCACAGGAATGCCTCTCTTCATGGCTGCCGGGCTCACAAATCACATAAGCTGTTACCTTCTCCTTTCAAAGAATTTGAAGATTCCAACTAATCTACTACTCAGGCTATCAACACTGACTAACAAGGAAATAATTAAATACCATAAGGACGACTATGGTTCAAATGCAGTGGTGGCTTGGCACAGTTTTAGAAGAGTATGTTCAGATAGAGAATAATCCATCCTGCCATGGAGAAAACTGCAAAAATATGAACCCAGAACAGCACAGCAGCTGCCTCCTTTCCACAACCTCTTAAATTAGCAACAGCACCTACAAACAGGCAGACAAGGGAAAATGTAAATCAGCACAATTCACTTTCATATTATAGACCAAAAAGTTTGAATATAATATTATCAGGTACAGTTCCAACATTTAAAATAGACAGAATCATTGATCTATTGATGTTAGGCTAAGCAGAAGCAATCCATGGAAATCAGATCTGTGCTTCTTATTGACCTACTAATATAATTATGATTTAGACAGCTCATATGAGGCAATAAAGTTTTGTGACATAAAGATATTTTATATGCACAGAATTGATTTCCTACAGAAAATCTTTAAGACTGAGAATTGCATTTTTACCAGAAAGGACAGATGTTGGCATTGAATGCTGAAGGAGTAGGACAAATCGGAACATTTTATCACCAGCAGGAAGGAAACCAAGCTTATCAGCTAGCATTACAATGCCAAGTCCTACAGGAGGCACCAAGATTAAGCGCCCAAAAATAATAGCAACAAGTGTTCGAAGACCAATTCTTGAACTTCCTGGCCCCGGTCCTGCAAATGAAACATGGTAGGCCAGAATTCATTAAATTTCTTCCCAACACATGGAGGGAGAACCATGAAGCACCAATAAGAAAAAAATTAAAACAAATCGCTTCCCACACTTAAAACCATGCGGCAAAGCTGATGGTATAAGAACAAGGCCTAAATGCAACAAGCAGTATACAAACTCTTATATAGGTATATAAATATAATAAAACAACTGCCACAAAGATGTTTAACATACCATCAACAAGGTTGCCTCCCAATGCCAACAAGATGCATGGAATCATGGCTTCCCTGTTAACATGAAACATCATTAACCCATCATAAAACCAAATACCAAGACATAGGCATTAACAGAAAATAACCAACATGCTCCTACCAAGTTTAACTAAAGAATAAGAAGCAATTTATTTTCCTGAGACAAGCAAAACATACCCAAGAATAATGCAGCTGTCAGTGAAGAAATAAAGTGGAGCATCACTTGTAAATATTAATCTCTTTAGAACTGGAACTGCACCGATAACCATGGCTAGGATCTGCAGCAAGTATATGATTGCCAATTCATAGGCATGCCAAAAAAATGGAACTTAAAAGAGAACCATGTTACTTGGTTCACCAAAATGGATGTGGAACAAACTAAACCACTGAAACTTCAAACACCATGCATCCCCTAAAGAAATATTTATGCTCATTTGAAAAAGTAAAACCTGATCTATAACTACGGTTTCTTCGTCTTTTGTTTCCTTGAACTGTTGAAAATCTTGTGATCCATGCTAAAAACTAGAACAGAGACAAGACACCTAGAAATTCTGACTTCACAACTAAAAAACTGCCCATCCAAAAACAACACAAACAAATAAATGCATGTGGACTAGGAAAACTGGTATCAAGGTTGCGAGTGCTCTTTTGGCTTTTTAACCATCCATTCAAATAAAAGACCGCAAAATCAGTTCAATAATGCATTGACAAAATTCTACCATTTCTCTCTATAACTTAACGGATATTCAAATTATAAAAGTGTAAATGTGCAATATTTCTGAACCATATTGCATTACCAAATCTAAAATTTGAGATTTGACAGTGAACTGGAAGTGAAACTAACATTTTGCACCACAAGCCAGTGAAGAGTTCATGAAAGAGAAACCAACAAAATGTTTGAAACTTACTGATGCAATAATGGGGGGTTGAAGGATTTGCTTGAGCTTTAACTTCTCATAAACAAAAACTAGAAAACTTTTAATCTGCACCAAAATCACATATATTGAATCAGGAAAGGTTTATTGCAAGAAAAGCATAAAACCAAAAAAATTAAAATAAACAGGATCCTCACCTTTCCTTTCTTTGAATTATCTGAATCCGTTGGTGCAGCCTCTTGCATCAGCAATGCAACATTCTCAGGAGAGGCATCCTTCTGAGGGATCTTAAAGGGGAGATTCCCATCCTCAAGGTCAAATGTACCTTCCGGTGGAGGAGCAAACATGTGAAATACATATGTGTATAGAATAATTGCACCAACCTAACATAAACTATAGGTCAGAACTCATTCGTATAATGTCCATTACTTGTATAAATTAAAAGCTACCAAGTTTCTTCCATGAAGAGCGTATCAAGATAAACAGTTGAATCAGAATTAAAGAAAAACCAAAAAAATGAAATGAGATATTTTCTTTTTCCTGCTGTTCTTGATCCTTTTCTTCATTTTAAGAAAGAAAAAAAAGATAAGGAAAAGGGGGGTAGTCCATGTCTACAGGACTTTGCCCCTTTACATGTCATAAAACTGTCTAAGCTTCTTGCTCCAATTCTTCCCCATCACTTTGAACTTAAATTGGTTATTGGCCGTAAAACGTATAGTTGTATGGATAGGTGACAAGAAAACTGAAGCCCAAACAGATTTTTCATCGGCACAAAAAGGCTGGTAAAGTTTAGTGCATCAAAATACATATCCATCAAAATTAGAGCATAACATATAGTGACTACATTGGCCACATAAGATTAATTGGTTAAAGTAAACATACCCACTGTCCAAATGAAATATATGCAGTTCCCTGAGTACTACATGTTTCAGTGTCTCCAAAAGGATTGGATGCATCTCTACATAAAGCTGCAATCAAAACAAGTGGTACGTTCCCAATGTTTCCTGCATCAAGTGTCAAATAATTCAATTTATTCGGCATGTTTAATTGTAAACACAAATATAGAAGACAATGCTAAAGCAATCAGACTCCAATTTCATACAAATTTACAACAAAATATCTCCCACAAAAAAAAAATCATAATGATTTATTGGCACCATCAACAGTGAATAAAACACCAATAATGTCTCATTTGGCTGATATTATCTTTAGGGTGTTAAAATAACGCATATTTCTACATGCAGTGGCTCACCAATTGCAATTTGTATGATTGAGAACTTGAAGTATGGGTATGGAGGTTTGACTAAGGTTGCAACAAGATAACCTATTAGAGTGCCAGAGATAGCGCCGAGAACAACATTCACAGGAATGAACCACCTGCAAAATGATTGAATAGCAAAGAAGATTAAGATATAGCATTGAGTTTTGATGATGTAGAGATGCAAGAAAGAAGAAAAATGATTCATACCACTCAAGCATTTTCTGTATAGTGACAGCTTGTCCGAGTTGAGAAAAGATTAAGCACGGGAGCAACAGTGAAAATACTAACTGCAATGTAATTGAAGGAATGTTAAGTCAGTATTTGCCAAGTGAAATTGAATTAAGTAAACAAATAACCCATTCAAAGAGGGAATAGATGAGATTACCCCATTTAAAAGCTTTCTGCCGTTCGTAGGCAAGATATTAACATACTTGGACGCCATTAGAAAGCCCAGGAAACACATGGTAAATACTTTTGCTATTGGTAAAACTGCTATCTTTATGCTTCCAAACAAAGACTGTCCTCCCGCTGCTGCCGCCGGAGTCTCCATCACCGCCGACAGGAGCCTTTCCATCTCTTCTCCTTAGCCCTTCGTACCAATCCTATTTCTCTCTTCTAACGCAATTCCAAAGCCGGCATCCAATCTAATCCTTAGGAATAATTCAGTTATCAGAATAAAACAGAAAAACTGAACCGCATCAGTTAAAAGTCGTGTTTAATTGATTAATTCAAAAACTAAAAAGAAGAGAATATTTTGAATGTCTATCTCTAATCTCTATCTAGTTTACACACGTCCATCAAAAAACTAACAAAATAATTAATTAGATATAGAATTTCCAAACAATGAGAGATTCATAAGAAAAAGAAGAATTGAATGACATACAGAAAGAGAAGACGAAGAAGAAGAAAATTAAAGTGGTGATTTAGGGGAAAATCCCGGTACCCAAACAGTCTGTTTCTACTCCACGGCTCCCGCTTTATGTTTCAGAGTTAGATGTCAACTCTCGTTGAAGTGTAGTTCAAATAAGCACCTGATTTTCTATCAAATAAAATTAATTGAACAGCAAAGGAAATTTGAGATGTTCAATCAGTTTAAGAATTTCTAGTCCAAAATATACGTTTCTTGCTTACCAAAATTGCCCCTCCATTGTGTAGATGAATTCTTTATTTTACCCTCACCTTCCGTGTCACTGGAAATTTCCTGCTCTGTCCCTTTTCCGTCCTTTTCTTTTTTCTGGGGTCAGATCTTGCGTGTTGAACATGCGTTTCGTCCTCTTACAACATCCTAAATTTTCTCCTTAACTTCCTTTTCTGTGGCGCTGCTTCGCCGCAACCTGTATATTCACTCTATTATTTTTTTTCATTTTAAGATTATATTATTTCATTCTCTCCTTTTTTCCAGCACTGTTTCGTGTATTCTTTATTTTTTATTTATTTCTTTTTAAATATTTTTTTATTATTCTTATTATTATAAAATGAAATTGCATTCTTAAAAATTAGCATCACTATGATGTTCTTATTTTTAACATATTCAAAAAAATTTTATTTAATAAACTGAAAAAATAAAAAATTAAATACTATAATTTTATTTGATAATCATCACAAATGAAGATATTAAATGACACATTGGTCGTGAAAAAGGAGAAATGTGAGAGGAATTGCTTTTTTGGAAAAAAAAAAAAAAAAAAAAGCTGTGGCAAGAAAAAGAAGAAGAAAATAAGCTTTTTCTTTTTTTTTGGGTCAATGTTTTAATCACTATTTGCTTCTACTTTTCTTATTTAACTAATTAATACAAACAAGTGCATAGGATACTTATGGTTAAATATTTTAAGGAGAGTTGATTTAATGTTAGAGGGTGTATGATATTAATTAAAACTTTTTTAAAGAATATGATGTGATTTGTTATTATTATATGCTTAAAATTTGATTTTTTGAGATGATCTTAATATAATTTAAAATTCTAAATTAAAAATAAATAATTAAGAACTTGTTTTTTTTTTTAAATAACTTAAGAACTTGTTTTAAGTGTTAGTGTATATTTTTGGTAAATGTGAAATATCTATATTTATATTATTTTATTTTAAAATACTAACATAACATTCTGTTTTAATTAATTTTGGACCAAAAATCATAAAAATGAAAATACATTGATAAAATTCGATATTCATATAAAATATAGTGACAAATTTACTATATATATATAAGTTTCTAATTAACTTTTTATGGCCTTTTTGATCATTCCAAAAGTATGCATACATGTCAGATCCCTTTCATATGAACTAAATTCTAAGATAGTTTCAAATCTGGAATTACATCCTCAACCACATTCAAATTTCTTGAACATAAAATAAAAAAAAAAAAGGGGGAAAGACACACACCCAAAAAAAAAAACAAAAAGTAATTATATTTAAGTGTGCTTTCTGCTTGCCAAATACCAGAAAAGGATACAATGACATGGATTTACTTGCCTTAGTTTAAAAAAGGGAGGATTAGAATAGCAGAGACAAGACAACAATGAGCATTGATAAAAGAAAGAAAATCCATGTATGGGGCTATAAATAGTTGGAAAGGAGATTTCAAGGCGGAAGAATTAATATGAATCGTTTCAACTATTTAGGGTTTTGAAAAAATTTAAGAGAATATTGTGAAAATATTAGTGGATTCAGTGAATTTTAACAAATAAAAAAACTTGAATAATTATTAAGATTCTAGATAAATGGGTTATATCAATGAATGAGAGGAAGGGAGGAATTTTTTGGATTTTTTTTTTTTTATTTTGCCGAATGAAGGTTTAGTCCGTTAGAATTTGCAAGGATTCAATGAATTTTAGAAACTAAAGAATTTGGATAATTATGAGGAATCAAAGGAAATTGAATTAAATCAATGAACTGAAGAAATTTTTTTTGTTTTACAAAAAGGGAAAAAATTCATCCATTAATATTCTATTGTAAATGTTTTTATTTTTAATTTACCTCATTTATGTTTTGAGATCGTTGTCGCATGTCAATAAAATATATCGTAAGGACAAAAATAATAATACGTTAGATTCAAATCACATGCTCTTATAATGCTCTCATAAATCAAATGTAATTATACAAACAAATTAGTCATAAATCAAATGTGGTGCTTGAAAGTTTTTTTTTTTTTTTTTTGAGTTAGAATATTTGTTTTGTGTGGATATATATATATATCTCATAAGTAATTGTTTTGCCATTTTGATGTTGTAATTCCAGGAGGAGAATGGTCCCAAATTTTCATTAAGCAACCATCTTGACTTAATTCAACAACTGCAATTATTCCCGTGGAACAATTTAAAAGATCATTTGCTTTTGCTTCACCACTGTCGAACCATTATTTTTATTGTATTATTATTATTTGAATTGGTTGGGAGAGAATTGACAGCTCACTTGCATGCATCATTATTAAGCACACTGATTAATTAGATTAAAAATAAAATAATAATGGAATATCGCATTATTCTTTTTCTAAATGTTTAATTTATTCTGTCTTATTCAATTATGGGGCCTTGACATTAATATAAATTGCTAAAAAAAATTTTCAAAGATTTGAATTCATACACTCAAAAAAAAAAAAATTTGTTCAATCAAGGAAATCTATTACTTTTAGTCACTTTTTTAAACCATACATACATATCAACCATGAACACCCATGGCATGTCAAATAAGCGTACCTTTTTAAACCTACCAATACCACATCAATTTGCCTTAAATCACAAAAGCAAGATAAATCCCAAATTCAAAAAGGAAAGACCTTCTTCATGCTAATTTTATTGTAAGTTTCCTGAAAAATTATTTATCTTATATTTTTACTTATATTTATCTTTTTTTTTTTTTTGGAAAAGGCCAAAGGTTAAGAACAAAATTAAAAAGAATTTTAAAATTTTAATTTTTTTTTAGCGACACATTGTAATTGCAACCGGCCATTTCAAAGGGACATGCAAGTTTTAACGATTAGAATTTGATTATTTTTTATTATTGTAAGGTGGTAGTGTTTGAATTAAGAGAACGGTGAGATGAGATTTGTAAAAGCGGAAATGATTACCTTTCCTAACTTGTGTAGCTCAAGATCCATAAATGTAACAAAAAAATCCATCATTGTAGTTGTACCATCCATGACGATCACATGTGGCGCTTAAGAAGGGCACGGGAAAGCGCTGACGCTCTAAATTCCAAACAAAGGTGCTTTTGGTTGATAGGCACGCGTCGGAAGAATCGTAGGCTGCATTTGGATGGATAGTAATAAGATTAATTACGAAGAAATTAAAAAAAAATTTATTATTATAATTATAATTATGATTAAAAAAATTTTTATAAAAAAATTATACTCAATAAATTTTATTAAAATTTATGTTTAAGTTCAATTGATAATCCAATAAATTAAATCCTACCAAATCAATGATATTGGCTGGCTCAGTGATGATTTTTGTTTGTTAGCATATATAGCATGAAGATATACATACATATACAGACAGGGAAATTAAATGATGCTCCTGATTGTATGAACAATATTATATGCTTTTGCAGACGTTTGCTCTAATTCCAGTCTGCTGAATCTGCTCAGCGCCAAAAGGCTCTAAATTTGAAGTTACGAAAGCCAAATGAAGCAGCTAGCCACCGCATATCAAAACAAAAATCTGGAATACCCCGTTAACCTTTATATCTATATATCTCTTATGAATAGGGACAACAAGGAAGTTTCCTCTTTAGTTTCCAGGAAATTTTAGCAGCAAAGCTTTCACCTGTGTATGATCTACATCTGCCAATGTCTACCACAGTTACAGCAGCACTCGTGACATTTTTGTCTCCAAAGTACTGCTCAGCACTTGATGTAGTATTAGCTGCTGGTTTATTATCATAAACAGATATGCTAAACAGTTATCAAATTTTCCATTTAATTAGAGCTCAGTCATCAATTCTATTATCCAAGCTGGAAGAATACATATATGAATGAAGCAGGGCAGACAGGCAGTCCAGCCTAAGTCGAGGTTAGAGAATTAATTAATTTGCCATAAAATATTTTTAAGATTGCATTTTTAAAATTTTATATCTAAGTTTAGTTTTTTCACTTATAATCACTTGATTTTTTATTGTATGCTTAATAAATATAAACTAATGTTTTCAAAAACTAGGCAAATGTTAAATGGTGTGGCGGTGAAGTTGCTTGATAAAATGATATTTTTTACTTTAGGAAGGCAAAAGATATATTTTTTAAAATAAATATCTTGGAAAGCTCGTTAAAAACTCTTTAAATTATCTCACCCAACTTCTTCACTTTCTAGGACAGGCTCTTCGATCTAGGTATACGTCTAAATTTTTCATTATCAACATGCCCATCATGTATTTGTTTTTATAAAACCACAAGTGAATCCTGTTGGATTTCTTTATGCATAAATTTTACTTTGTAATCTAATAGCAATATATAGTTTTTCATACAATAAAATAAGGATCTATCACAAAAAAAATAGACAGATCAAAGATAGAGACACTTCACAACCGATTCATATGTCTCACCTATTCAAAGGTTACCATTGCAAAGATTAAGGTTCTGTTTGGTTTACGGTTTTACTATTTGTTTCTTGCTTTTTTTTTTCTTCAATAGAAAGTGAAAAAAAAAAAAAAGGAACAATTAGTAAAAAGTAAAAAATTTAAAAACACCAACCAAAGAAACTTAATGTGGAGTCAGGACATTATTTTTTGAGCCCATCTTTTCTTTCTTCACCTTAGACACTAAGTCTCATTACGAGTCCAAGAAAAATTAATGTTTGATCAAAGTGAATAAATTGAATGGTCTGGGAGAATTACATCACTCGGGAGTGTTGCCTCTACCCATGTGTAGCATCACAGGGCATTAGGGATGACACTCCACTCCATATTTGACGGGTTTTCAATTTTTTTAATTAAATTTTAAGCCACATCGAATTAGATAATTATAAAATAAAATTGAAGTCGGATAAAATCAAATTTTGATGTAAAGCGAATCCATTCAATATATATATAATCATTTTTAAATTATTTATTTAATTTTATATTCATATATTTATTTAATTTTATATTTATATTAAAAATAATATTTTATTAATTTTAAATCGAATCAAATATAATTTTATATAATATAAAATTAAATTTAAATATAAAAAAAAAAAAATTATCGAATCAATCAAATTCAAATATTATAAATAAAAATTCGATCGAATTCGATGTGAGCAAAAATCTATCCCTATTTAATTTATTACCATCTCTATATGACATGATATAACATTATGGTTTGCATTAGTATAATATTAGGATTATTGCATGCATGGCATGCTAACCTAGAAATCGATCATTGGGACGGTAAAATTGTTCCATCTAGAATACCTGTTTATTTATTCTAACGGGTAGGTTAGAATTAAGAATGTTCAGAGATAGAGTTAGGTCGATTGAAGAACAGACTTTAGAGTTGTAGCCCAAGTTTTGACTCAAAATTTAGTCTAAACTTAATTTTTTGGCTGGGCCTAGGCCCGTTCAACATTGTCAACTGTGAATTGCTTAGGGGCTACAATTGTGGTTCAATTTTTCCTTGTTCCACACAGGCCAAGAGCACAGCGATCAACAAAGAAATTAACATATGCCCTGTATCAAAGCAAATTTTATCTAATCAAAAGAGAATCACAGAAAAGAAACAAAAGATCTATGTATAGCATAAGCCTGATCATGGTCATCTAGCTATATATGATATGTGTAATTATATCAACACACACAATATTTGCATAATTGATTGTATGTTCATGGACCAGAGCCTGTGAAACTACAAGGGTGTTTCTGTTTCGTGTTCTTAACAAGGAAACGAGAAGACTAAACCAGCAACAAATATTGCAAATAGAAAATTAATTATGAGCGAAAGTTGACCTATATAGCTTGCAAAAGAAAGAAGATGATCAAGAGCCGCGGACGACAACGCTCTGCATCATGTGCTTGAACTCGAAGAAATCCACACGCCCATCATGATTTTGGTCAACGGAACAGATCATTTGTTGAACTCTATCAATCTCTCTCCCTTCTGGCAATCCCAGTTTCCCCAACACCACTTGCAATTCCTGGGCAGAGATGAAACCATCCCCATCCTCGTCGAACACTTTAAAAGCCTCCGTCAGATCTGACTCCACCTGCGACATCTTCGCCTCTCCTTCAACTGCCTCTTCCTCAATACTCTCCTCCGACTCCAATCCAAACAAAGTTTCGTCCAATGACTGATGCAAAGCAACAAAATCGTCGAACGTGAGACCTATGTTACCCGGCTTTATAAATGATTTGATGGTTGAATCCAGCTCAGAGATATCTGTTTCAAGGCCTAGACGACAAAGGGCCAAATTAATCTCTTGGACGGTGATTATGGCATCACCATTCTTGTCAAAGATATCAAATACGCGTCGCAGACGGAGGGAGTTGAGGCTAGGACAGCGTAGACGAAATGACGTGGATGAGGCCTTTCTACTGAGGCTGCGTTTGCATTGCGAAGTTCCATTCCCTGAGGCTGCTGCTTCTTCTTCCATTTATGGCTTGTTAGTTCAATCTAAGTTAGGGTTTCTTAATATTGTTGATGGAATTGGCAACAAGCAGGTTCCCAGTGGAACGGTATGGAATGGGAATGGGAATGGGAATGGAGAAGTGTGTATTAGCGTTGACAATGGAGAAGGGTGAAGCGGAAATAGCTATTGCACTGGTTGCTATTGTCAAATATTAATTGTGCTATTTTATAAGGGATAAGGCGCGTTCAACGGTTGTTCAGGCTTTTAATAGCCAGCCAGCCACGACGCCTTCGCATGTATTTCTAGACATTTTCCAAGGTCCCCTCTCGAAAGTCATGGTCTGTTATTGGCTGGTTTGGTTGGAAATTTCTGACCTGGTGGAGTCGTCAGGAATGGTAGTATGGTACGTAATAATACCTACTTGACACGGTTTCTGAAATGGCATTCCATCACCGTTGCCAATAAGCAATAGCAACTTGACACGGTTTCTTTCTTCACTCGCTCCTTTGAATTATCGCTAACGTTTCCGGAATTGCAAAAGAAAAAGCATCGCTAACATTAACATACTTTTCTTGAATCAGCAACAACTGCTATTATTTACCATTCCCATTTGCAAGTACTCGCATACTTTTCTTTCTACATTGAAATTACTGTACCCGAAGGTGTTCATGATTGAATGGGGCTCATATCCGATATTAATAATTTATATATTTATTTAAATTTGATTTAAAATTTAAATAATTTTTAAATTATATTTCAGTTAATTTTATCGTAATTTAATTTGTTCTTTAAATTTTTTCAAAATTTATATAAATTTTCGAATTTAAATAAATAATTTAATCTTTAAATAAATTTAAATATATTTATTTTACTCATTTCACCTTAAATTAATGTTTGTGATATAAATTCACAATGATTTAAATCTCCGCAGATGATAACATTATTCTTTGTCAAATTATGGGATAGCATTAAGCTTGTGGAAAGTTGTAAAAGCTTAGTTGATCTAATTGTTCTTTGGATATATATAAAATATATATATATATATATATTCCTATTTCTATATCTCATCAATCCCTCTTAACTTGTTTAATTTACTCTTCTCAGACTTGATAGTCATGGTCATGTTTTGCACACTGTTTTAGGGCAGCTCGTTTTTGCTTACCATGTGCTTATATGTACGTGTGATTTGAAAAAATGATGGCAGTGTTTTCGTGATTCATTTTTTAAAAAAGTTCGATAAGTAAAGGATCATGATTATTAATTATATGCTCTTGTTGTACGATATATATGCTATCAATAATTAAGAGGAAAAAAAATTTACGTTTTTCAAGTAAGATTAAGTAAAAAGGAAAATGAAGTTTATTCATTAAAAAAATGTTTGATATGAGATGATTATTTAAAAATTTATAATGAATAGATTTTTGTGCTTGATAAGAATTTAGTGATTTTATATGATAGTAATATTGGATCACTGAATTATCTAATCAGATTATTCTCTAATTCTCATAAAAAAGATGAGAAACTTTTATTATGAATTGAAGTGATATGTAAAATTAATTATAGTTAATTTTATCTATTTAATATGTGAATTAAAAAATTATTATATTTTTAAATTATAATTATTTTATATTATAAATTTTTATATTTTTAAATTAATAGTCATTGTAATAAATTTAAAATAATTTGTGTATTTTTTATTTTTTAATATTTTATATTATAATATATATTTTTTATTATGCATTTAATAGATTGATTTTATTTTCTAATTCAAAATTTTTTACATAATTTATAAAATCCAATTTACCTATTAATAAATATATTTATTAAGTTAATAATTGAATTATATTTTATTATAAAATAAATAAATATTACCAATATTATAAAATTATTAGTTTATATAATTATTATAATATGCATTGTTATTTTCAATCTTTTAAACAAAATAATATTTGATTTTAAATAATACAAAATACAATGATATTTAATTTCTAAAACTTAATTATTATTAATCAAATAAATTTTAAATTAGGAGTATTAAAATCATATTAATAATAAGATCATTATGATAATTATATTATCACAATAATCTTATAAAAAAAATACCAACTGGTACTTAATATTCAACAAACAACAAAAATTCATATAAATGCTGAAGGGAGATTCATAATCATAAGATTCGCAGAACAGGATGCAATTTGGTTGCGAACCCCAATTGCTAGATGCATGAAGGAGAATCGGCCCATCAACCTAAAGACAAAGCTAATGTTTAAGAAAAATGATTTTTACCTTAATAACCCATGCAACATTATTATATAATTTTTGTTGTAGAAAGAAATTTAGGTGAAATGAAATTATCATATTTTAGAACGAGCTGATGAGCAAATTTCGGTGAAAATTTATATTATAATTTACAAATCGTTCATACAAAAAAAAAAAAGCCTATTGAAAGCAAAAAATCAAATTTAAATTTTACAAAATAAATATCCGATTTTTTTTTATCATAAATTATTACATGATTAATAATTAATAGATATAGAAATGGAGGCAAAGTAGATTTGGCAAACTAGGCTGGAAAGCAGCTGAAGTGACAATTTTTGAAGGGGGTAAGCGTGAGTGGGGCCTAAGGACAACAAAGAAACAAAGTGGCCATTTTCTAAACGCTAGCAACACGACGGCAATGCATCACGAGCCCAGCACTTGGTAATAACACAAATAAATGAGTGGTCCTTGGCTGCTTTCTAATTTTGTTTGGTGAGATGGGATGGGATGCTTCCAATTTGCGTTTTGGTGTAATTTTGTTCTGCATTATTGGCTACTATTGTTACTAATAATCATTATTTTATAAAAATATTCTTAAATTATAATAAAATATTTAATATAATATTTCAATTATAAAAATATGATACATGAAAAATTATTTTTCTATTAAGTATTATCAAATTTTAATATAATGTTAATTAATATATTCATAAAAATTTTAAAATTTAATTTAATATTTTATTATAATTTAAAAATAATTTATCACATTAACCCTTTTATTATAAATCAACAGTTATTAATTCATTCATGATGTAATATAATTCTTTTTGTCCATTATTTATTTATTTATTTTTTTTTGAGATGCTTCAAAATTATATTTTATTTTTTAAAAAATCTAAAACTCTTATTTTTTTTATATTTTTATTTTTTTACATTAAAAATTATAAAATTTAATATTAAATATATTAAAATTCAAACTTTGTTCTTAAACTTCATCTTCTCCATCAATAACCCTTACCCCTTCAACTCGTTTTGAAAAAGGATCTCACGTAATAAATTTTTTATATTCAACAATTCTTATTAAAAATAATCATTAAAATTTAAACATTTATCTATCTTGTCATAAGATAAATCAGTTACTACTCTTCCGATCACTCTTATCCCAATGATAGCTTCGAATAAATCATATTATAATTCTTTTCCTGAATATATATATATATATATATATATATATATATATATAAAAGAGTTTGTGCAGCAATATTGGTCATAAAAGGTTTAAGCCATAATAAATGAAAAGTTATGCGATTCAACTTCAACATAATTATTTTAATATAATTGAAATTACTCTAATATAGTTGACTCTTTTAAGAATTTATGAAAATCAATGCATGACAAATATTTTAAGAAAGAAATAATTATTTTCTATCCTTGCTTATTGAGTTCAATTTTTCACTGACTTCAAAAAAAAAAAAAAAATCACCGACTTAAAGGATCATTTGCTTTTATATAGGCATTGGCGCTAGTATAGAAGAACTAATTGAAAAAAATATTGATTGAAAACTTGAATTGGATCTGGATGAATACATTTACATTTTACATGATGATAAGCAAATGAGAAGACGCAATTGAAAGAAAGAATGAATGAAGTTTCCAATAATAAAGCTTCCTCGACGAGTTTACATTTACATTTTCAGATTTAGACTTGGACATCGAAGAAAACTGAAGGTCGTGGCTTTTTGTCAGAATGGATGGAAAAGGCAGAGAAAGAAGGACAAAAGTTTGAGAGGGACACGTTGGCCTTGGGGTTGAAGCAAATTATGTGTAAGCACTAAGCGAACTGCGAAGCAGAGACAGAGAGAGAAAGAAGAGAAACCCCAAACGAAAAAAAAAAAAACAAAAGGGAAGCATGTGGATGTGGGGTTTAGGGAGAGTTTTATTTATTTATTTTTAACCGCATTATACAACCTGTAAATAAGCAAAAAAAGAAAAATCCCCCTTTGTCTTTCTCTTCTCTCATCACTGTCCGTTGGATCCAGCCCGCATTTATATAGGCAGAGCGTTTCCCCATTTATTTCTTCTTTTTTTTTTTTTTTGATTCTTTTATCTGGGGTTGTTCTGTTTAGACCGTCCCACTTCTACTTCACTCCGATGCCCATCTCATCCTTATGATTTAGATTTCTGTCTTAATCTCAATATCAATCCACTCTCAGCCTCTTCCTTCCATTTCCAGGATTTCTTTTTCTCCAGCTTCTTCACTTTACTCTCTTAGCTTCTTCTACAAGTACAAGGAAAAAGGGGAAAAAGGAATCCAAAGTTAAGTTCGACTCTGATTCTGCAACGGTTCAAACCCTTCTTTTCAAGTATGGATCTGCTTCTTTGACAGAATTTATTCTTGTTAAAGCAGGCTTTCCTCTCTTGTTTATTTCTGCTACTATTTTCGTTACAAACTCAAAAGAATGCCATTAATTTGCTTGAATGCATTACTCAATACTCTCATTTACAACGCCAACTGAGTTGCATTGTAAATGAATTTCAAGACTTCCAAGCATCCATGGTGCTTCTTCCAAGTCTCGCGCTGCTTGTTCCATTGATGTGCTTATTCTGCTTCCCACCAACTCTCATGGCTCAATCTATTAATCCTAATGCCTCTTCAATAAGCGCCGCCAGAGCCCTTGATGCTCTTCTCCAAGACTATGCCTACAGGGCCTTTGTACGTCCTCGGACAGGAGTGCCCTACGATGGGTTTGTTCCATCTAATTTGAGTGGGATTAAGATTGCAGCAATGAGGCTGAGGAGTGGTAGCTTGAGGAGAAAAGGTGTGGAAATGTACAAGGAGTTTGAGATCCCCATTGGAGTTATAGAGCAGCCTTATGTGGAAAGGCTTGTTTTGGTGTACCAAAACTTGGGCAATTGGTCTGAGCTATATTATTCGCTTCCCAACTACACTCTCCTGGCTCCTGTTCTGGGTCTTCTTGCTTATGATGCTTCTAACTTATCAGCTACAAATTTGCCAGAATTGGATTTTAGGGTATTTGGGGATCCTATAAAAATCAAGTTCTCAGATGTGCAATCCGCTCCAAATGGGTCAGTTCTTATGTGTGTTTGGTTTGATTTACTTGGTATGGTCAAACTCAGCAACTTGACATCAGGCAATGAATGTTCTACCATCCAGCAGGGGCATTTTTCTATAGTTACTGAGTCTTTTCCTCCACCAACGCCACCACCGCCACCGCCACCGCCAACGCCAACGCCACAGCCACCGCCACCGCCACCGTCAACTGAAGGTGAAGAAAAGAAGAGTAATAAAAAAGTGTGGATAATTGTTGGTTCCGTTGTGGGTGGATTGGCATTGCTGGCATTGTTGGCATTCCTGGTACTGTGGGCACGCAAATGCAAGCAGAGAAAGAAAATGCAAGAGATGGAGAAAGCTGCAGAAGTGGGAGAAGCCCTACATATGACCTCGGTTGGGGACACAAAAGCACCATCGGCAACAGTTACTCGGACTCAACCAACTCTTGAGAACGAATATGTGCCTTAACTCCCTTCCCTCCGCGTTGTACAAGCATTTTATTAATCAAAGTTCAATTCATGTATTCAGAAATTCTTCTTGTGCTCACAGCCTCACACCTATTTTTCCTTCTGGTGGTTTGTTCTTGGTAGCCTCTTGGTTGTAGTGTGGGTAATATAAAGATTTTTTGTCTAGGTCTGTTATTATTGCTCACAAATATTTTCACAGTTTTATGATTCATTGTGGTGTGCATGTAGCCAAAAGTGATTCTATTCTATATGTTATGAATTATTTAGTTGTCTCATTTGTGACGAATAAAACCTCTTTTTCTTCTTGCAGTGCATTGTTTTTTTGGATTTACTTTTGTCTGTTCTATGGAATGTAGGAGGAAGATTGCTTTGTAATCAAAGCAAGCTGATGTTAAAGCTTGGCTCCAACTGGCATTGATTTGAGGCAAATGTTAGGCTTGGTCATGTGTAGCTCGAGTTAAATTTTTCTGTTATCGGTAATTCTCATATACTCTGGCTATATTTTTAGGTTAGCTGTGCTGCAGAGAACTTTATTCCAAGTTCTTCCATTTTAGACAATCTCGGTAACCTTCTGCATTCTGTGAACATTCCTAAAAGATGTTTTTTTCTTTCACAAGGTGGATGAAATAGAGACAAATGTTTTTTCTTTCTTTCTATGAAGGTAGGTCTGATTCTGAAGAAGGTTAATCATTTCCAAGGGGAATGATTCTAGAAAAAAAGGAAAATAAAAAACAGCGTTATATCAGTAAGAAAGTAAGGTATAAGACGTGGAGGAGGTGGAGCAGACTCCAAGACTTTTCCCCTTAATTGTAATCATGGCAAGGATTAGGAACTTTTGGAACCCATCTTCTTTGGTAGATGCGATTTGGTCATTTATAACATCTTTAATTACTTCTGCTTGCTTCTTAAAGTGTGCAATTGCCAAGCCCCCTTTGCATCTTTTGTAACATCATTAGGACCATGATAAGTGGTAAGACTACATTAAACATTGGACTAGTCTCTAAAATCTTGAGGTAACTCAAAAACATAGTCATTAGAACTGATTCCTTTAAAAATTTTTGAGGTCCAACACCCCTCAAATGTAATTTCTTGACAGTGCTTCTAGGAAATCTTTCTGGACGGATATAATCCACAACCATTTCACCTTCTCTGAAATCTGCATGTCTTGAATGTAAATCTGCCCTTTGTTTGTAGCTTTCATTGCTAAATATAAATTCCAACGAACTTCATCAAGTTGGGAAGTGTGGAATTGTTGGACAATGCATGCTACATCTGCCTTCAAACTTGGCCAATAAAATCTGTCCTCCACCTTTGCTATAGTTTTGTCACATAAAAAATGTCCTGCAATGTCACTAGAATGTAAGTCCAATACAACCTCATCTCTTGAAATAGATGAAGTATTTGGAAGACAGAAGCGAGTATCTTTGAATGGGTGACTATCATGAATGGAATAGGATGGATTTTCACCTTGCTGTCCAGCCATTAATGCGGCATATATAATGCTGAAATCTTTGCATATTGAATGATCCCTCTTCAATTGCTCAAATCCAAATACTTGGACAGATATAGAATTGAAGATGTAGATCATTCTACTCAACTGCCTTTTTCTCTTTACTCTCTACTTAAAATTGCCTTTTGGATACCTTGGTTAACATATCTTTAATGGTTCAGTAATCTTAGTCTTTTCCTTCATATACTTCTTGTGGTCTTCATCAGACATAGACTTCTTCAAGACTACTTTCTTATTGTTGAACAGAAAATAATTAGTATTGGCTTTCCCTCTTGGTATACATCTCTGCCATATAACCATGGTCTACCAAGGAGAGTATAGGCACAATATCACACCAGATATAATCTTTATAGCTACCATAGAAATAGGAACGTGATTGGATGTGTTCCTGGAATGATAGTTTTGTCAACCGAAGTGATCTTGTAAGGCTGTGCGTGTGATTGTGCTTCAATTTGTAGACTATAGTAGCTTGTTAGATCACATTCATAGTAGTGCCACGTTCAATTATGTGCTTATAAAACCTGTCAATGCTCTTGACTAGAGTGTTTGAAGCCAATCTTCCTTTTCTTCCACCATTTTTGTTGCTAATAGTTGCCTTACCACTCAAACTCTTTAGGACATTGATAAAGTTAGTTTCATGTCGCCTTGATCATTGTCTTCATCATCTATGTATTCTCCAACTTCATGCTCAAATGTTTCACCTTCTTCTGGTTCAGCACTGCTTTTTTTTTTTAATTCCCAAGTGAAGATTCTTTCTTGGGCATTGGAAAACATATTTGACCTTGGTACCCACATCTAAAAACAATTAAAGCTCGTCCTTATTTGTTGGATCAGAAGCAGAGGTTCCTTTAGAATCAAGAGCTCAAGCTGTATTTGACTCTCTAGGTTTAAAACTGTGTGCAGTGTTGCAAGTTGGCTTAAAATGGTCATCCATGTTTGAAGGTTTTGGAGCTGCTGGATTCTCCCTGGCTTTAAAATTTGGGTGTCTAGTCAAGCGGATCTTCAACTTCTTCAAATTTTCAAAGCACGTAGGTAAATTTCCTCCAATTGGATCTCCATTTGAAGGCTTGCTACAGCAAGCTGTACTACTCTTACCTTTACTTGGTTTGTAATTATTAACTAGTGAAACTCCTGTGTTCTTCAAATGATCTAGCTCCTTGTCTAAGGAAACAAAAATAGCTTTTTGTATAAGTTCTGTTCATAATCAGTAGGACGAAAGTTCTCCATCTTCAACTTCATTTCATCCCACCAGTCTGTAGCCCTTTCTCCAGTTTTACGAACTTTTCTTCTACATTGTGCCACGATAGTCTTGTTGGTTCCTTCAATTTTGCCTTTGTGAAGCGAACCTTCATGTCATCTGGCATAGAATACCCGTCAAAATGATCTTACATGGATATAGATAAAAGCCAAGCAAGAAAGGATGTAGGGTTCAGCATTCCGAAAAAAGTTTGCAACTTCTATGTTAACTTTCTTGGTCATATCTCTAGTTAGCAAGGCATTAACTTGTTTCTAGTGCTGATATACCTTGATTTGTAGTAGCAAAACTGCCACTAACTTCGTTGAATCTTGTACCAGAGACTTCAGTTTGCTGATTGACTCTACATCAACTCCCTTCTTTCCTATACTCTTTCTAACAACTTCATCATCTCTTTGGGTTGATTATTGAAGTTGCAATTTCTGCATTTTTAGCTTCTTGTTTGCTGAATCTCATCTAATTTAGATGCTTCCTGATCTGAAGCACTCTGAGAACTCATGTCTGTATAAGTTCTTCCTTTTCTTAGTTGCATACAACGTTTGAGTAAGTAGTTGATCTTTCAAAATAAAAAATTTTGGCTCCGATACCAGATACAACGTAGCAAAGTAGCAAGTGAAATTAAGAGAATAATAACAGAAGAAACATTTTGAAATCAATTAGAAACTTTGGTGCAGCCACAACAATTATTTATTATTACCTAGTGCTGAAGTAATATAGCATATAATTTTTCATCTTGGAATATTCTTGAAGGTTTGGTAATACAAAGTAGTTTCTTGTTAAAAATATACCTAGATACTACCCTCTCAACAATAATAATAATAATAATAATAATAATAATACATAGCAGCCTAGTTAAGTTTCTTAGTTATTCTCATGCCAAATAAGAATTGGTTTCCTTCTTCTTAAAGGCTTATTGGATCCCTTATCACCTAGGCATGCCCCTAACTGCGGCAGGGTACTGAGCGGTTCTTAAGGTTATAAATTATACATTAATATTTATAAATTATTCGAATTTAATTAAAATAAAATTTAAATTTGATTCGATTATTATTAAATCGAGTTCGAGTAGTTCGACTTATCGATCGAGTGGAGTTCGAACATTTTGATACTTGATTCGAGTAGTTTACGAGTCAAATTTTTATATTTTAATATATTTTAATTAATAAAATATTTTTAACTCGAATTTAAACATAAATAATCAAATTTTTGACGAATATAAAAATTAAGTTTATTTTTATATATTAATCGATTCTAATTGAATAAATTTGAATAATTTAATTTTTATTTTAAATTAAATTTGAATTAAAAATAAAAAATTCAATTGAATTCAGATCGAATTTTAAATTTCGAATTTCAATCGAATTCGAATTCAAATTTAATATTATAATAATTCAAACTCAATTGATTAAATTCGGCCGCTAAGTTTTACAATGGCAAACTACATGGTCCTATTCCTAGCGGAGTCCTACACCCCGAGAGCTCAGAGGAAGGTGTAAGTTTTAACTGAATGTAACTAGATAATGAATACATAACAGAATCGTAATTAATTTGACTGTTGATATGGGGCTAATCTGTCAAGCCGAACAAGAACATAATACAAACATCCATGTCGAAACCTATGGGCAGATTCAGTTGGTAGTTTTCTGCTTTATGATTCTGGTTTTTTTCATTATTGTTTTGTTTAATATAACTGTAAATGGCCAAAGAATCCTTTCAGCTATGACTTTATCAGCAGCAGGTAGTGGAGCAGTGATAGTACCCTACAGAATTCTCATTGCTTTCTTTCGTTGTTAGTTGAAGTTATGCCTATGAGCCTGTCTGTCTTTCCCACCAAAGTTAAAAGTGGAAAAATAAAAGTTGGCATAGGTTTTCCTTGTTGTTTTGTGATATTATTACTATTAAATTGATTTCACATTTATAAAGTTAGTAATGGCCCCCGAGAAAGCATACCTGAAAGATTTTAAATGTCTATGAGGGAATCAGTGGTTGTGTTGGCCACCACCAAAAGATTAGTTTTAATACGAGTCTTAAAAGAATGATTGAAACGCCTCCTCTGCTGTGTTGTTGTTTTCATCCTTTTGTCAATGAATTTTGGACTGCTCCTACCAACCTTCTTCCACAGCCACAGGATGTCATCTGTTTATTACATTTATCACTCGGAATTTCATTTTTGGGGCCAACAAAATATGTTCTAAGGCAGGCCCTGCAATAATAATAATTTAAGATCCTGCCACCATATTTTTTTTAGAAGGTATAAATAAAAATTCCAATGTGTTGGTATTGGCACAGCCGATCACTGAGAAATAAACATGCAATTTGTAAAATTTAGTTGACAAGCAAAAAACCAACTACATCCAAGAAGGTTAATGAGAAACTGGGCACATAATCTCTTCCATGTCCATTATCACATGCCATGTCTGAATATGCCTCAATATATATAAATCTCGCATTTGCAAATAGTAACGGTATAATGATTTGGATTGAATTTAATTTAAATTTTTTAAATATTATATAATATTATAAAATTTTAAATTTTGAACTGAATCTAAATCAATTTGAATTTTATTATTTTAATTTTTATATATTATTTTAATATAAAATTTTAATATATTTAAATAAATTTTGATTTAAAATTATTATTTTTATTTTATAAAAATTTAAAATATATAAAAAATTAAAAAATATATATAATTCGATTTGATTCGATTTATTTATTTATTTTTGTTTTTTAACTCTCTATCCAAAATAGGGATTTACAGCAAGTTTTTTCAGATAGGAGTAATAATAGGGGACAGACTGATAAATTGAAACAACTTTATACTTATTACTATTTAAACAAATTATTCGTATTTCACTCATTAAAAAATATTTAATGAATATAAAAATCCCATTTGTTTCTTTTGGGCCTGATGACAAATACAGTGAGGCCCATCCTAAAGCTCACAAGTCAGTCAGAGCGGGTGCTCAAACCCCCCCCCCCTAAAACCCTAGACAACATTTCCGTACTCTACTCTCTGCTTCTCTCCCATGCTTCCTGGGTTTGGAATTGGATCTCCACGTCTTCAACTTTCAATGGCTTTCCTCTCCGTTTCCAAGTCATACCAACTGAATCCTTGGGTTTATCCCAGCATCTCAATCCCTTCTTATTTCTTCACGACAACCCACGATCCCAACACAGCTTCAGAACAGGTAAACAATGCGCCTTCTCAACAAGAAGAAAAAGTGGTCAACAACCAGAGAACCTCGCGAGGTAAGACTCGAAACCCAGAAAAAGTAGAGGATATTATTTGTAGAATGATGGAGAAACGGGCGTGGACCACCCGCTTACAGAATTCCATACGTGCTTTAGTCCCTGAATTTGATCACTCATTAGTTTATAATGTACTTCATGGTGCTAAGAACTCGGAACATGCCCTCCAGTTCTTCCGGTGGGTGGAACGGGCCGGATTGATCCACCATGACCGTGAAGCTCACATGAAGATCATTCAGATTTTGGGTCGAGCTTCCAAGCTCAATCATGCCAGATGCATAGTTCTAGACATGCCCAAAAAGGGCGTTGAATGGGATGAAGATTTCTTTGTTGTTTTGATTGATAGTTATGGGAAAGCTGGTATAGTTCAAGAGGCTGTGAAAATTTTCCTGAAAATTAAGGAGTTGGGTGTGGACAGGACTATCAAGTCTTATGATACTTTCTTTAAGGTTATATTACGACGTGGTCGATATATGATGGCCAAAAGGTATTTTAATAAGATGTTGAGTGAAGGGATAGAGCCCACTCGTCATACCTATAACATCATGCTCTGGGGTTTCTTTTTGTCTCTCAGACTTGACACTGCTAATCGGTTTTATGAGGATATGAAGACTAGGGGAATTTCACCTGATGTTGTGACATATAATACAATGATTAATGGATATTCTCGATTCAAGATGATGGAGGAGGCAGAGAAGTTGTTTGTAGAGATGAAGGGGAAGAACTTAGCACCTACAGCGATCAGTTATACTACCATGATAAAGGGGTATGTTGCAGTGGAGCAAGTTGACAATGGATTGAGATTGTTTGAAGAGATGAAGTCCTTTGGTATTAAACCTAATGCAACAACATATTCAACTTTGTTGCCAGGGCTGTGTGATGCGGGCAAAATGACTGAGGCTAAGACTATTTTGAAGGAGATGGTGGAGAGGTATATTGCACCGAAGGATAATTCGATTTTCATCAAGCTGTTAAATAGTCAGTGCAAATCTGGTGATTTGAATGCAGCTGCTGATGTGCTCAAGGCAATGATTCGATTGAGTATTCCTACAGAGGCTGGTCATTATGGTGTCTTGATTGAGAACTTTTGCAAGGCAAATGAGTTTGATCGGGCAATCAAGTTGCTGGATAAGCTTGTTGAGAAGGAAATTGTCTTGAGGCCTGAAAATTCTTTGGAAATGGAAGCTATTGCTTATAATCCAATGATTCAGCATCTATGCTACCATGGTCAGACAGGAAAAGCAGAAGTCTTTTTCCGGCAATTGATGAAGAAGGGTGTTTTGGATCCTATTGCATTTAATAATTTGATCCGAGGGCATGCAAAAGAAGGGAATCCTGATTTCGCTTTTGAAATTCTAAAGATTATGGGTAGGAGAGGGGTGCCCAAAGATGCAGATGCTTACAGGTTGCTTATTGAAAGCTACCTAAGGAAAGGCGAGCCTGCTGATGCTAAAACAGCTCTGGACAGTATGATTGAGGATGGGCATCTTCCTGAGTCTGGCATATTCAAGTCAGTGATGGAGAGTTTATTTGAAGATGGTAGGATTCAGACTGCAAGCAGAGTTATGAACAGCATGGTGGAGAAGGGAGTGAAGGAGCATATGGACTTGGTTGTTAAGATCTTGGAAGCTCTCCTAATGAGAGGCCATGTTGAAGAAGCCCTTGGACGAATTGAGCTACTGATGCAAAATGGGTGTGCACCCAATTTGGATAGCCTACTATCTATTCTTTCTGAGAAAGGGAAGACTATTGCTGCTCTCAAGTTGTTAGATTTTGGTTTAGAGAGAGACTGTAGCATAGACTTTTCAAGTTATGAGAAGGTGTTGGATGCTCTCTTAGCTACCGGAAAGACTCTCAATGCATATTCCATATTGTGTAAAATAATGGAGAAAGGAGGGATCACTAACTGGAGTAGCCTTGAGGACTTGATCAAGAGCCTTAACCAGGAGGGGAACACAAAGCAAGCAGATATACTCTCTAGAATGATGAAAGAAGGGGAGGCAGCTAGTGGAAAAAAGAAAGGGAAGAAGCAAGCGACTGTTGCTAGCTAATTTACCTTTTGTTTAGAAAAGTTTTGGATAGTTCTATTGTGACTCATTATCATTAGAATAAGTTCTGAAAAATGCCATGTAATCTTCATTTCAAATGCAGAGAGCTAACATTTTACATGGCTCAGAATCCCCCTAGATACTTTCTATGGGATTTCTTGTACCCTAGATTTTATAGGGTACCTTTTGAGCTTTAATTGTTTCAATTATTCTCACTCACTTGAGTCTTGTCGATGAAACATCAAGGAATTAAAATGATTAAGTAAAAGCTCTTCATTTTGTTTCTTTCAACTGCATTTTGAGAATCATGACTCGAGTTATTTATAATGCACAGCATCTGTTCTGTTACTGTTTTTTTTCCCCCTTCGTGTATTGAATAAATGATAATAATAATATTTAGGAGATTGCTCAGTGCAGTTGAGATGAGGACAGAGATGTTCAGCAAACGAGAAACCAACATTACATGTGTTTGCGAATTTATGCCAAAAAAAAAAAAAAAAACAATGCCACTCCTGCAGCTCCCGTGTCTAACGAGGACAGACGACAAACAGCAAACTGCTTGTATACAAAATTAAGAAAGAAATCCTTCTCCGAAAACTAAATTACCATTCCCAAACTCAGATAAAATTAAAGTTTAATCTTATTTTTAAATTCATAAGCCCAAGGCAAATGAAAGCAACAAATCTCCCATACACTACCAGTTGAGCAGGGTAAACATTAGCAAGTGTTGTCAAAAAGTGCAAGATTTTACGAGTTCATGCAAATTCACATTACAAACAAAACAAAAAATACTAAAGTCCAGCCGCTCTTCGGTCTCCTTCAGCAAGACAGAATATCATAGAGCACTTTTATTTCTTCTCCCGCACTCCGTTGGCCAAGTTTCCTGCATTTAGCACCATACATCATGAGCTTCTAAGTCAGGATCAAAGAAATGCAAACTGGGCAGAACCATATACACAAGGCAGATGAAAGACATTTTTCTTTCTTTTTTTTCCTTTTTCCTTCTTTTTTACAGGCCAGACAGAGACAAAGAAAAGGGGTGTTGCCCCCCCCCCCCTTCGGCCAATATATATATATATATATATATATATATATATATATATATATAATAACACTGCATGGATACTCTGGGGAAACCTACCACTTTCAATGCATGGACACACAACTAAATGCATGTGTGTAACATAAAGAATTGTCCAAGAAGCATAGACTTGTGGCATTACTAATCCCCCTTCCTTTTGTATGATGTGCAGAGTAACTAAAACAAATGCAGTACCAAAACTTATCTTCTGGAGGACGGACTTGTTTGTAGTCTTCTCTCAAGCATGCTTATCATTCTTGTTAAAATTTGATATATGAACTACCATTAAAAAATTTATAAAAAAAGAAAAAAAAAATCACAAGAGTCAAACTGTTTAGTAACTATGGAATAGAATGTAGCATTAATCTTTAATTTAAGCAAGTCTGCAGAAACCATAATCACCTCCTACAAGTAAGGAATCGCATTTTCTGTCACATACACATAAGACATACAAAAAAAGGATGAAGTTGTAACATTTCAAAACAAAGGGTTGCCTTGTGGGTAGAAAGTAAGATTTCCTACAAAAATATATTCAATAGTAAGCTCCTGAGACAAAACCACCATTTCGACACACATTTGAAATGGACAAACAAATCAAAATCATTTCTAGAGTTGTTAATCTTGGCAGTAAACAAATCATTACAGGAATGAAGCTACTGTCCATATGAGACCAGAGGTGAGCTAGGGGGGGGGGGGGGCATTCAACAACACTACTCCATAATCTTTGAACAAAATCAGCTATGAAATAACTCTTTGCACAAAAGTTAGATAATTCCTTTGCTTTTTAATTATTAGTTAGACTTTGGTTTTTCTATTTTTTACATTAAGACTTTAATTTTTACTCAATCTTGTATGTGTACAATTAATATATAAAGTTTGACATTTGAGTATTCTTGACTCATGGATAAGAATTTATACTTTGCTGCGCAATTTCATTATTGCTTATTATTGTACTTAAGTTTACTGTTATCATTAGTATTTTTACTTTCACTTTGACTCTATTCTTACGTGTGCTTTTATTTTTATCTCACTCTCAAGACAAGCTTTCGGTTGGAGACTAATTTACATTTTCGTTACCCATGTAATTATCTATGTACCTTTTAGTCTCTTGATGAATACATTTTGATGGAAAATATCTTCTTTTTTTCTTTTGTGGATAAAGAAGGAATTACATTGAAAACCCCCAATGGCTAAAAAAACAGAAATTCAACTGAAAACCCTAATAAGTTGACATCTGATGAAATGAAGGACAAGGAAAGGAAAACCTGCGGGTGCATAAAGATAAAGCGAAAACATCAGTAAAAGGGAGAAATCGAAAGTACCAGTAGTGAAAAGATATCAATTAGAGGAAGCGGCAGAGATGTTTTCCAAGAGCTTTTTATCCCTTCTTTCCATGGCGACATCCCACATATCGTTTCCAATGTGCTTGGGCTGTTTCAGTTTAATAAGATAATTTCAGTCAAAACCCGATGAAGTAATCCAAATCTCCATTTTAAAAAAAAAAAAAGAAAAGAGAAAGAAAAGAGACCCGGCCATGATAAGCTTTGTGGATGTAATACTGAGCATTGCCCATAACGCAGAGCATTCCAGCTATGATTCCAAGGGGAAGAGCTGCTTCCAACCATATCCACGCCATTCTTTCTGCTCTCTCGCTGGCTTTTCTTCAGTTGAACCAAAAATGAAAGAAAAGGCACCTCAAAAAAAGAAGTACACAGTTTTTAGGGCATTAGCCCAACCATTATTAAATGGGCCGTCCAACTTTTTTTTTGGTGGCTCTTTAACTGCTACAACTCCTCACACTCATTTAATGCAAAGCCCAAGGCCATTTCATTTCACGTGACTCACTCAAAATTATTATCAACTAAAAAGTAGGTTCTTCATTTTAATTTGCACCACTTTGTATTCTACTTCACTTTAAACCATACATATATTTTTTATTTTATTATTTAAACTCACAACTAAAATTAAATATAATAATATGTATATTTATATTATATAAAATATCAATAATTTATATGTTTATATCATATTTTATATAAAAATTACTTATTATAATTTATGTTAATAAAAAATATAAAATACATTTAAGGTTTTATTAAATTTATATATAATTTATATTTATATTTTTTATGTCGTATTATCATATTTTAAATTATCATATTTAAAATAAAAAAAATTAGACAATAATAAACATATTTAAAAAAAAAGAAGAAGAGCAACATATCGTATGTATAAGGTTGATAACGGATTGAATCGGGATGAGTTTTTGTTCGTTTCGAACTAAATTCGATTTTGTATCTATCAAACTCGAATTCGACTCGATTGTTTTTAATTTTTTCATATCTAATCCGACATTGTATAACTCATATTCGATCTGATTTGATTTGAATTAATAAAATATTATTTTTTTAAATATAAATATTTAAATATATAATTATATAAATATATATAAATAAAAAATTAAATAATTAATTAAAAATTAATTTTTATATAAATATCAAATTAGATTGAATTAAATTTATTTAAAATCTGAATATGATCTTATCGAAAACTTAATTTAAAAATAAAAAATTAATTTTAAAATATCGAATCACATCAAATCGAGAAAATAAATTGTGTTAACGACCTTTATTGTCAAAAAAGGGGTCAACGGCAAATACGTTAAAATATCCAAACAAATTGCGACAGACGGAAGAGAAAAAGCTACTAAAAAGGTCTAAAAGAAATGGCAAACCAAAAAGTTAACAACAAGACGTAAAAGGAAATTTCCTTTCTTTAAGTTAGAGACCAATTTTTCAACGACGTCGTTGAGTTCTTTTTTTTTTTTTTTAAAGGAATGCAAGGGGGAGCGTTGGGCGGTGGCCACCTAATCTCACAGTCCAGCTAAAACTGCGTTGGCAAACATCATTATCACTCGCCATTGGCCTCTTGCTTATGTGGGGTCTCCTTTCTCCTCTCAATGGCAATGCTAATCTGATTCTCTGCATGTTTGACGCGTGTCATTTGATGTGCAGGGCTTCACTGCATTCCTGCACACACCCAAATTTCTCCCAAATCAGCCACCACACCCACCCTCTCACCTCTCAGCAGTCAGCAGTAAGTAGTAAGCCAGTGAAAAAGCTCTCTTTCGTACCTTCTTCCTATTCCTACTCTTGGTCTTGGCTTGGGCTTGCCCAATGCCCACTGTGATATTTGTTTGTTATTTTTGCAGAAAAAAGTAATAAACTTTTTGCTGCCAATCTTAAAAGTAAAAAGATCCACTTGTTGTTTCACTGTCTCAAATCTTTACTGCACTATTAGTAATTTTTTTAATTTCATTTTATTATTTTTCCAAGGCTTTTATTTCGTTTGTTTTTGCAGCACCCACTTCTGTTACTGTGACTTTGAGAGGAAGGATTAAGGAAGGGACAAAGGGTGAAATACTTAGAAAGGGAATTAGTGGGAAAAGAAGGGGAAATATCAGTAAATTAATAAAGATTTTGCCTTTCTGCAAATTTCACAGAGAGCTGTCGATCCCTTTTATTTTATTTTACTTTTCTTTTGTAAGCTTTTATTGATGGTGTGTTGTGTTTCTCCTTTTTTTCTTCTGCAACAGCCACAACTAAAACCCCTTTCTTTTCTTTAACCAAAAATTCTATTATTTTGTTTCTTGTAAGAATTGGATCCTCAAAGGCCAAAGCCATGTCAGGTCTGTATAATCCCAACTTCTCCCCTGCCAGAGCTGCTTCTCCACAGATTAGAAGCACCCCAGACGTTGACAGGTACACCCTCACTTCTCAAATCCATCTATTCAACCGTATTAATAATATAAAAAAAAGCTTCACTCTTGCTTATGTTCCTTAATTTTAATTTTAATTTTTTTTATTTTTCTTTTGGGGTTTAACGATTTTTGATCTATGTGGGATTTTGGGTTCTTTTTCTTTTCCTCAGTCCGTATTTACAAGAGCTGTTGGCAGAGCATCAAAAGCTTGGACCTTTCGTGCAAGTCCTTCCGATATGTAACCGACTGTTAAACCAAGGTTACTTATTTACTCCTTCACTCTTGGATCTAGGTTTTTTCGGGGTTTTTTGTTCTGCTTTTTAATTACCCATGTTAGATCAGTCTGATTGAGAGTAGTGATGAGATATTCAAGTGTGTTTCCTTTTTCTAATACCTACTCTCTTTGATTGTGATGGTCTTGGCCTGATCATGTATTTAACCCAATGTTTGTTAGTTAGAAATGTGTTCCAATGCTGAAACACAACTCCCATCACACCATTGTGTTTTGGATAGTGCCTCAACGCTGGAATTAGTTGTTTACAATTGTCACTTCGTGTGGATGCTTTAAATTGAATGGGCTTAAAATACTATCATCTTCAGCCGGCACACGTTTTTGAGTATCATGAACTCCAAGCCTCAGGTCTGCCTCGGTTATGTTGTGATCCTTTTCCCTTTTGATTCTAGTGCTATATATTTGTCCATTATGCATTTGAACAGAGTCTTAAGTTTCGGACTTAAAAAGCTTATTGCGTTTTGATTTTTACAAGAAAGTTTAACTATGGGAAGCTAGGGTAGAAAGAAAGTAGAATTGTAGGTAGAAAGAAAGTTAATGTAGGTGAAAGTGCATCAAAAGAGAAAAAAAAAAAAACACAAGACCAGTTGCTCTGCGAAATTTGAATTTCAGAAAAACTGCTGACATTTAATCTGAGTGGAAGAACGTTGAGCTCATTATATTGATTAGTTTGGACAAGAAATGATTTTCTGAAGTCTTTCACATCCCTTGTTTAGCAGCAAATAGAAGTTTATATATTTTTCTAGCTAGCTGACGTTCCCACAACCAAAATTGGCATTCTAAATGTATTTTTTTTCTTTTTTATTCATTTCGTATTGTACAATGCTTTAAAATTTTATTTTATTTTTTGGTCTTGCCTTGAAAAGGTTAATTAACAGAGATCTGTTTTATATTATTTTTGTTCAATGTTCTATCCATACATTACAAACTTGTCCTTTTATGTCTTTCTAATTTGATTTTGGATGCTATACTTCTTTCATGGATTGACATGTTTTCATAACTTCATCTGTTTCTCATATATGATGGTCTTCATATGCAGAGATATTTCGCGTGTCAGGAATGATGTCCAACCAAGGATTTGGTGACTTTGACCGGATGAGGCATAGAAGCCCCAGTCCCATGGCTTCTTCAAACCTTATGTCAAATGTTTCGGGGACAGGATTAGGTGGCTGGAATAGTCTTCCTCAAGAGGTAACTATTTTCAAAGTTTCATTTTAGCACCTTATTTTTGAATATATACACACACATGCGTATTATTCACATTTTTTTCTTGTTTGGTTAATTGAGTGCTTTTATGTGCACAATATTTGTGTCATGCCGACCTATAAGTTGACAATTTTGGTAAACTAAGTTAAAAGTTGTTTATACTTGTAATTCTTTGACATACGCTTTAAGATTATTTCTGGTAAACACCATTGTAATTTGAGTGTCTAAAACTTTGGAAAGGAGAATCATAACATGCTGATGTCTTGTTTTCTGTTGGCATCATAAAGATCACAAACAAACAATAAAGTTTGAAGTAGTTTCTCATGCTTTACTAGTATGACCAGCTTTAAAATCAGTTTACACTTATATTTGTGCTTCAAATTGCAGACCTTGTGAAAGGAATTATGATTTTAGTTTCCTGCTACTTTCATTTATACTTTATCTGGCACATTATATGTAACATTCCTCTATTCAGGAAATAGACAACAAAATACTTGCCAAGTGACCCATTTCAATATGTATCGGAGTCTGCATAGTCATATATGTTAATGTGAATACTACTTTTCTGTTGTAAAACTGTGGCTTTTGATTCTGGTAGCTAAGTTCAATTCAGTAAATAAGAAAAAGCAAAATGGCCAAATTGTCACTAAATGAAAGCATTCCTGCCAAATGGTGAACATCTGAATTTCATATTAATCGTCCTTGCATCTGGTTGATGACTAAAACACAATGATTGTTTAATCTCCAATATTTTACTTAATGATGTACCCTCTGAAGTAACATAGATGAGAACCAAGTTTATTTCCTTTCCAAAATGCTATGGTTGCCAAATGGTAACTTTAATGTGCTTAAGTGCAGAAAGCTTTACTAAATATCATGGCTATCTATCAGTTCATATCTGGTTGCTAAGATGTATTCAACTTTTGTTCCTTCTTTTTTTCCCATTTCTTGTTTCTATTGGTTAACATTCTAAATCTATTTTGTCACATTTTAGTAACTATTCTTTAATGAAGTGTTGAAAAGGTATTCTCTTGGAAAGTCAAGGGAGTGTGCAAAAGGGTTATTTCATGCTAAAACTTGTTTTCATATGCTTGCTTCGCTGTTTTGTGGATTGAGCCTTCTGATTTTTTGTGCTAGTGTTGCTTTTTGTATTTTGACAGAGACTAAGTGGACCTCCTGGGATGACAATGGACTGGCAAGGTGCACCAGCAAGCCCTAGTTCATACACTGTGAAGAGGATTTTGCGTCTTGAAATTCCTGTTGATACATATCCAAATGTAAGCTTTACACAAAAAATGCTAATGCATTACATTAAAATTTGTTTATTGATTATGTTCTCATATTTCAATTGAATGAAACATACGATTTTGAGTATTGATGTTTAGACTCTGCTTTTCCTTTGTTGTTAGTTCAATTTTGTTGGGCGACTTCTAGGCCCTAGAGGCAATTCATTAAAGCGGGTAGAAGCTACTACTGGCTGCCGTGTATACATTAGAGGCAAAGGATCAATAAAGGATCCAGACAAGGTAAAGCTACAAAAGGTTTACTGTTGTTGTAAATGTCTGATACCTCTAGTTTCTGGAATATATCTCAATTGTGATTCAGCTGAAATTGGCAGGAAGATCAGATGCAATAAGTTTCTGGATGGCTGCATCGAAGCCCCCCTCCCCTTTTCTTTTATTTTCCTCATCATTTTCTTTTGACATAAAAATTGAATAGTTTTGGATAATAATTTCCCATCTTTTTCCACCTGAAGGAAGATAAGCTCAGAGGCAGACCTGGCTATGAGCACCTGAATGATCCACTCCACATCTTAATTGAGGCTGATTTACCTGCTAATATTGTTGATATAAGGCTTAGACAGGCACAGGAAATCATCGAGGAATTACTCAAACCTGTGGTATGTCCGGCAATCATGTTCTTCTCTTTTAGAAAGTTTTTTAGTCTTAGGTTGCTCTCCTATATGCTTCCAACTTGAAACTCCATTATTTGTCATAAAGTTACTGGCTTTTGCTAGTGCAAGCTCTTTCCTCTTTTAGAATCTTTGGTATCCTCACGATTTTGCTGCAGAACAATTTTCCTTCCCTTCTTTTATCAACTTGCAGGCATGATGGTGTTAAACTTTTAATGTTAATAAACAGTTTCATCTTGTATTTTCTGAACTTCATATCATCATACGTAGGATGAGTCGCAAGATTTTATCAAGAGGCAGCAGTTGCGTGAACTGGCAATGCTAAACTCGAATTTCAGAGAGGAGAGTCCTGGTCCAAGTGGTAGCGTTTCTCCTTTTAATTCCAGTGGAATGAAACGTCCCAAAACAGGACGCTGAGAGTTCAACCTTAAAGATGTTTCTACCCTGCTCCAGAATTCAAAGCCAAGTATACCATCTGATACATATCAGTTGAGCACAACTTGAAAAGATTAGGCTAACAGTTCTTGCTAGTGAGCTTTCTGGTGGGTTTTTCATTGTTAATTGTTTTGCGTTTCAAACAAGAGAAAAACAAAAAGTGAAAAAAAGGAAGAAAAACATAAAAAAAAAAAGAGAATTATATAGTTGGTTCTGGCAGTTTAGGCTTGGTGAGGTCAGTTTTCCTTTAAACTCAATACATTCATTGGATTTATTCTTGTGTTAGTGGCTATAAGGAGTGTGCAATATATATTTATATCTGTTCCAAGCAATAGGTCTGGTCAGGTCGGATCGAGTTTTGTAGGTGTGTCATTTTTGTTGTTCCTTTTGTAGTTTATATGAAGCATAGAAATGTAAGTTGGGTCTATATTCTTTCTTCGCATGGATGTTCATCTTCTCTCTTCAGTCACACTTGAATGTAGTTAGAAATGTCACTTGAGAGATTATTATGATTTATTGTGGACCATGCACAAGCAGCATTTGAACCTCCCTTGATGGCTGGATGAAGCCTTGAATTTGTATCTTTAAAGCTTTAATGAAGAAAATTTGTTTAATATTCTCAGGTTGTCATCTGTTGCTTTGCAGCCTTTGCACAATGCGGCATATGCCAAAAGAAAAAGGAAATTGGAAAGTAACATTGGATCCAACATTCTTCATATATTCCTTATCAAGTTGTTAAGATAAGCGACTCGCTTTTCGCTGATTCAGGATTTTAAGAAATCAAAGCATGGGGTTTGATTCATTAATTTTATATGCCAACTACAACTAGGGAAGAGAGTTTTGGATGGTGGCAGGGAGTAGGACTAGGATTACAATTCTGGATTTAGGAGCAGAAAACGTTAGTTTTCAGGTGAGCAAGTGAATGCCCAACTAAGGAAAAGAAACGAACATGGCTGACACTCCAATGCTCATGTGCTGCTGGCCTGAGAGCATTGCACTGCTTCTCTTCTCATCTCAGGAGTCCTTTACCCTCGGAAGACATGCCAGATCACCCAACCCTGTCCAAACAATGACATTCCAACTTAAACTTTGAACTCTTTTCTGGAGTCTAAATTAATATCACTAGCCAGTTTCGATCCTTGACAGTTTTTAAATGCAAAAACTATATATGTATTATTAGTATGGTAGAGTTATCATATAGGAGGACCGGCTGACCCGACCAGGCCATGCCATGCCATGCCATCAGTCCAGTTCCTATGTTGGATTCGATAAGTAAATAAGCAGCTAAGGGGATTACTGTTTTTTGAAATAATGTTGAGGCAAATAGAACAAAATCGACACAAAATGGAATTGAATTGTTGGATTACTGTTGAAGGGGATAGAAAGAATGAACTGACAGTCACCCATCTCTCTTCAGGGAGATAACGATAAAAATACCAAGGGAGTGAATAGGAAAGGTGGTTCTGGTAGGGAACTATAAGACGTCCAGTTTTGGGTAATGCCAAACTTTCGGCCTTACTTAGGGTTTTTTTTTTTTTTTGCCTCTTTTTTTCTCTCACTCTCACTCTGTTATATTATTATTATTATAGTATAAATTCACTCTTCACCTAAGGTTTCCCTCTCCCCCACTCCTCTCTGCAAATACTATCATAGTCCCATTCCATCTCTTTAGGTACATTTCTCTCTCTCTCTCTCTCTCTCTCTGTTTTTTTTTTTTTTTTTTTTCATCATCTAATTCTAATTTCCCAATTCATATATTCTGTTATGTTCTTTTTGCTTCAATAAAGATTCAATTTTTTTTCACCAAAAAAGAATTTCTCTCTTTTTTCCTCAAATGTAAAAATGAAAGACTCTGCCTGAATTGTATCTGGTGTGACTAACAAAGGTTTTGCTTTATGGATCTCTTTATTATTATTATTTTTTATCCTTCCTTTACGTAATATTTAGCTTATAGTTGTATTGATAAATAATAAAATTTTCTAACTCTTTGGAGAGTTGAGATTGCGGAATCAAATACGATCAAATCAGTCAATCGATCGATCGGATGGCGGCTATAGATCGGTATCGTTTCTCGATGCTGACGAGGCAATTCCCTAACATGAGTGATATCCGCCGTCTCAAATCACAATCGGCTGATGTTGTTTCATTCCCTCTAAATCAACCAATCCGTTTTCAGCCCTTCAAGATTTCCATTTCCAACCTAAACATTTCGTGCGCTGGAGGAGGCGATGGAAACAATGGGGTTGGTCGTACTGGAGGAGGTGGCGGAGGTGGTAGAGGAGATGACGATTCCAATTACACCGATAATTCATGGCAGGATTTTGGCGTTCTGGGTCTTTTCCTAAGCGGATGGAGAGACAGGGTTGCAGCAGATCCCCAGTTCCCATTCAAGGTTTTAATGGAAGAGTTGGTGGGAGTCAGTGCTTGTGTTCTTGGGGACATGGCTTCACGTCCTAATTTTGGTCTTAATGAGCTTGACTTCGTTTTCTCAACTCTAATTGTGGGTTCCATTTTGAATTTCACTCTTATGTATCTCTTAGCACCAACAGCCTCAGCTTCTTCATCGAGTCTCCCTGCTATATTTGCAAATTGTCCACAAAGTCATATGTTTGAACCAGGTGCTTATAGCTTCATGAACCGTTTTGGGACTTTTGTCTTCAAAGGGGCTGTGTTTGCAGCTGTTGGATTTGCTGCAGGCCTTGTTGGAACTGCAATCTCAAATGGGTTGATCAAGATGAGGAAGAAAATGGATCCCAGTTTTGAAACACCCAACAAACCTCCGCCTACCTTGTTGAATGCCTTCACCTGGGCTATTCACATGGGTGTTAGCAGCAATTTGAGGTACCAAACCTTGAATGGGGTTGAGTTTCTGTTGGCCAAGGGAGCTCCACCCTTGGTATTTAAGTCATCAGTGGTGGTTCTGAGATGTTTAAATAACATACTTGGAGGAATGTCATTTGTAATATTGGCAAGGATGACAGGGTCACAGAGTGTTGAAGAGAAGCCTGCAAAGGCCGAGGTTGGATCTGTTGCCGAGAGGGAGAAATTGGTGGATGGTGGTGACAAGTTGGAGACCAATCAGTCGACTTTTAAGTGATTTTCGCTTTTTTTTTTTTTTCTTCATTAGCTTAGCTGTTTTAGGCATTTTCCCTGCCTTTGTCCATAACTTGGATGTTGGATGTACTTGTAATAAGATCCAAGATGTACCGGGCTTGATGCGATATTTCATGGGTTGGTTGAGATAGCTCGCACACAGCTTGTTTTTCAGTTGCATTTTTCTACGTTATTTTCAAAGTTTCAAAGATGCTTACCTCAATGAGGTGGAGGTTATCATCTCAGTAATTTTTGTACAAAGTATCTTAAATGGAACACAAGTGCGAGAATCCATGAACAATCTGACATGTACTCTGTCTCAATTTAAACATTCTTAAAATCTTAAATCAGAACTAAGATATCATACGAAACGAATATTCAGGAGAAGCCCAACAAGGAAATCCCGATCCCCCTTATGAGCATTAAAATTGTGTATAAAGATGAAAACTAGTTTATACTAGAAACCCTATCTTATCATGTGGAACTGTAAATCCTATTCCTATTTGAGGCCTTCCTTTACATCTTTTTCTTTCATGATTCTGTTCTACAAACAAACCAGTAAACGCTAATGCAAAGGCCATATTCAAGCATTTGTTAAAGCAATATGGTGCTTGAGCGCATCATCTTATCTGACAGCCTCTGGAGCAGAATTGCAGTAAGGTGTGTGCAGGCAAACTAACCTGGTGCATGTTAAACATAAAGTAGCAAAACCAACTCCTACAGCAAGTCCGCAGCTGCTTTTTCGCATATCCAACCTTATTGCTCTTTGAACTATTCTAACAAAGCATGGGACCAAACCTCCACAGGCCAACACCATCACATGGTCCAGACCACTATAGTCAATACCTGCCAATATTGCTCCGATTGCCGATATTGGGCCTACAAAGCCAATGAGAGCAGCTGCTGCAAGAGAGCCATGCCAACTGTCAATAGCACCAAAGATGCAGCTGGCCACTGCTGCACCTCGAGGAAGCCCATGAAGGGAGACAGGAAGGACCATGTGCCGGCCAAGTCCATAAGCTTTTGGTGCAGCCACTCCTAGTGCAAGCCCCTCAGCCAGTGCATGGAAAGCCACTGTTCCACATGCTAAAAATGACTGAAGCGTAAGAACACTCACTGTAACTCCTGGTACTGATGGTAGATTATTTGAAGAAGCTCTTTTGTTACATAAAATTTTCAAAATACTAGAGCTTGAAACATGGACAAATGCAGCGCCTATCATAAGTAGTGACATAAGTGGGAAGAATCCCATCTTTGAATACACAAGTAGTTGTACTGGTCGCCAGGCTCCAAGGACGAAGGCAATGCCAGATGCAGCACCCATGAGAAGGGCATGCTGAAGGTGGAAAGCAAGAGCAAATGCAACAAGAACAAGCCCACCCAGTAAAGGACCAAGACCAAAAAGTAATGAAACAAAGAAGCCAGAAGCATCCTCAGAACTGGAAATTTGAAACAATATAATTTAGTTAATGAGAAGAGACAAAATGAAAACACAATAAAGCATTAAAAGTGTAGGACCAGCATTTAAGAACAGAAAAAGTAGATGCCAGATTGTATCAGGGGCAACAAACCCACATAGAAAGCCTAATACAAGCTATATCAGGCGTAATCCATCAGAATCAACTTACATAGTTATATCATGCACAGCTATGACCATGCAATCAGAGTTCTTCAAAATGCAATATATGCTCAAAAAGGATAAAAAGGCATAATATTTATTCAAACAAAAAAAAGAAATCATCTTTAATATAAAAAGGTTATAACAAAGAAACCCAAAGTAGTTGCATTTACTCATGCAATGATGTAATTATTGGCCATATTCTTCTCAACAAACTATGGTTCAATTAACTCACTTGTAGTCATGGCTGAAGTTCTGGAATAGAGTGCTAAGTGCTTCCATGAATGCTACTGAAAGCGTAGCTGCTGATGACACTGAAGTTGGCGAAGATTCCTATTGAAAGCGGGGGGGGGGGGAAGACATCATGTCTCTAGAACAGAGAATAAATCTTAAGAAATTAAAACATGGACAAACAATATTAATCTCTTGCAATTTACAATTTGCTGTTCAAATAGAAGTTGTTTTAGCCTTTTAGGCTGTGCACAAGAGAGAAATTGAAGAAGATAGCAGTAGTAGTTATCCATTACCAAAGCTTGGGAAGTTCTTTATATTATGAAGTAACCTAGATTTGAAAAATTCCAATGAAGGTGGTCTTGATAGGAACAAAGCAAAATAGAACAAAAGGTCTTGAATGATTATTGCAGAAGAAAATCCATATTCTTGAAGATTCAAACATGAATTTCAAGTGCAATAAGTCCAGTCACCTTAAATGCATCAGGGAGAACCTCAGCAACGACCATCCAGATCATACATGGGGGGGGGGGGGGGGGGAAGACATCATGTCTCTAGAACAGAGAATAAATCTTAAGAAATTAAAACATGGACAAACAATATTAATCTCTTGCAATTTACAATTTGCTGTTCAAATAGAAGTTGTTTTATCCTTTTAGGCTGTGCACAAGAGAGAAATTGAAGAAGATAGCAGTAGTAGTTATCCATTACCAAAGCTTGGGAAGTTCTTTATATTATGAAGTAACCTAGATTTGAAAAATTCCAATGAAGGTGGTCTTGATAGGAACAAAGCAAAATAGAACAAAAGGTCTTGAATGATTATTGCAGAAGAAAATCCATATTCTTGAAGATTCAAACATGAATTTCAAGTGCAATAAGTCCAGTCACCTTAAATGCATCAGGGAGAACCTCAGCAACGACCATCCAGATCATACATCCAGCGGCAAAACCAGTACAAAAGGGCAGGAATTTATTAAATGCATCAGCACATATAAAAGAAGGAACTGCTACAATGGGCTGCCAAAAATGTTTAAAAATAAATAAATAAAGATAAGGGAATAAACAACCATTTGAGGAAACTAAATTTACAGAAAAATTAGGCTCAAATAAGAACAAAAGTTTAATTGATTTTATTCTTTCTTTTGCCAATTCCAACAGATGACATCAAGATGCAGTCATTTACTACTGTAAAATCAATCAAGCATGCACTTGACAGTTTGTAAGATGGTTTGGAATTACGCAGAAAAAGAAGTGGTTCTTCACTCATTGTCCGTTGACAAAGGATCCTCCATTGAATATATTTAACAACTTTAACTAACATTTCTATTTCATCATTGCTTCTTTTACTTTTCTTTTTCAACCTGATCTTGGAAGTTCTAAGTTAGAACTATTTCTCGGATACAGACAGATATGCTAAAAGCCTGACAGACAGCATTAAACGATTAGATACCTGTGGTAAGGATGTAATTACACTCCATAGCATTGCATTCTGTGGAGAAACACCCCTTGAAGCAAGCACCATGCTCACAGCCAATCCCTCTGGTATGTTATGTACAGCTATGGCCAAAGTTACCAAAAGGCCTTGAGTAAAACCTTTTGAGCCAGCAAAGGAAACTCCAACACCAGAGCCCTCTCCAAATGAATGGAGGGTCATAATTCCAATGACAAGAACAACTTTAGTTGCATCTGCTCCTTTTATATCCAGCATACTTATGTCCCCATATCGTTCAAGAAACTGAAACCCAAAAACAATGTGAAAAATTATAAAATGTTAATATCACCTAAAATACAAAGAAATCATAAGAATACAAATTAAAAAAAGAGTATTGTATATGGCATGCAATATCAGCAGTCTTAAACTCTCTGCAAAAGCAATAATGATCCTCATCTGTGATAAGCTTTGAAAAAATGGAAACCTTTTTACATTTGCAAGATCCGAAGCAGAAATTTAATCTGCGTATGGTATATTTACAAAATGCATTGAAGGCAAGACAAGAATATTGGACCTTTATGAGAGCCTAGGTATATAATAATTCTATAATGGTGGTAGATCAAACCTAATAACTGATACGAGAGACAGTGATCACCTTCTTACAAAGCAAAATAAAAATGCCACCTGCTAAAATCCCAATTACAACCCAAGTTCCAGCACCATGTTCCTGCCCTTCCTGTATGAGATCAAAACTTGCAGCCAACATGACACCAGCAGCCATTCCATTGCATATCCCAGCCCACTGAGGATCAAGCTCCACAAAGAAAAATGGAACTGCACCTAAACCAGTTGCTGCAGCCATTGCTAATGTAAAAAGTGCAACTGTGGACACAGAAACTCTGTTGTAACTGCCCTTCCAGTCACCCATTGTTTTGTCGTCCTCCTCAAAACTTATCACCTTCTCTGTACCAGTGCCATCTATAACATTGTTCCCTACATTTTTGTGGGGAGCTCTTATCCTTTCTGAAATTTCGTTTTGACCATCTGCTGTAATGCATTCAAGGAAGACAATGAAGAAGAATAAAAGAAGGAGATGTTTGACTCTGAACTGCATTGAATTTATTTTTCCCACAAATCTATCACGGATAATGAAAGTTATTAATCAAATGGAATTCCCTCTGGCGTGAATCGAATCCAGAGAAGTCAGCAAAACGAAGCCAATCCTGCGGTATGTTTGGAAACGCACCTGAGCAATATAAGCTGTAATCAAACAGCACAAATTTGGTGAAAAGAACAAAGCTTTGTCAACCAAATGACTCAAACATGGCCTGGAACTGACACTGAGGCTTTAAGAATGAAAATGATTGGAAAAAAACTAGCAAAAGCAACTGTAATGAAAATCCTCCAGAGCTATAGTCTAATAAATTTGAGGCTAAAATGAAAATTAGATGATCATGAAGAAACAGTACATTGTCATCTGAAACAATCAACTCAGCAGACACTCCGCAAGATAAAAATCAAAAAAAAAAAAAAAAAAACTGAACCCAAAACCCTAATTGATAAAATGAACAATCAAAGACAATAACATGAAGCAAGATCCTCAAGAATCCCCCAATTCAATGATAAAACTTTTTTTTTTTCTTTTTTGGTCACCAAAAGGATGAAACAATGAGCGAAACAAATTTAATGGCGGAAAACGAAAAACGCTGGAATTTGCAATCAAGGACAGAATTCAAAGTTTTTGATTTGGTAGATGGATTAAAGGAAACTTACCTGCAGGAGAAAAGCGCTTCCAAACAATTAAAGAAACGATCTTCAACGATTTATTTTTGTTTATTTGAATTTGTCACTGATCATAGGAAGAAGAGGCAATTAGGTTGCAAAAATGTATACCCTACGGATCACATAATAATCAATTTCATTATTTTCATAATTAATTGACGTTTACTTATAAGAAAATAAAAGACTTAGGTAATGTTGGGTTTCAAGAAGCAGAGTCAGTTTTTGTTTTTATTTTTTTAAAAAATGAAAAATATGAATAAAAAATTAAAAGTGAAAATCAATTGAAATATATTAAAAAAAATTATTATAAAAATAAGATATATATATTAATATTTTTTATGTTTTATAAATTATTATATCTAAATATTTTTTAATGTTATTAATTGATAAATAAATATTATATTTATAATTAAATGACATTAATAATAATATTTTGAATAATTTATTTATTTATTTTTATATTTTAAAAAATAATTTTTATTTTTTCAAACCAATCAAAGCGTTAAGTTTTTTTTTAAGGAAAAAACCACTGTCCGCACGTTGTTTTCCATTGACACCGAAAACCAACAGCATCAGCCAATAACATTATTGTATATAATATTTATCAATCCTTCGTATAAAAAATTACTCTGAGCCATCCAAAATTAAAATTTTTTTTATTATGTTACTTACTAATTATCATAAAAACAGTAGAGTAGAGAGTGGAAAAACGCGTTTAAAATAATGGTTTTTTGGTCAATGAATCGGTGAGGGTGAGGGATCAATTTTGATTGGATTAAAATAATAATAATTGAAAATATGCTTTATTCTTAGTTATAAGCTTCTATATTTGTATATATTTAATACGTACTCACTGTTTCAGTCCTTAAAACATAACTAAAAGTCCTCTCCAACTGGAAAAACATCTACTATATTTACACAACATTTTTCACTCATCTCTTGCTTACACCAAAAACACTAGGCGAAGCAACAATGAACAGTCAGGTACATGCCTGTCAGCGAGGTGTGATAGAAGGAACAAAGCCACTGCTCAGATCACTTCCTGAAACATTCCAAGATGAGACATATGGCTCCCTGCTACTATTGGACGATGATGATGGCATTGCCTTGCCAGAATTTAAGGAAATGGATCCTGAATAAACCGAATCACTTTCTGGCATCATTTTCAGTATGTTTTCTAGCTGCCTTACCACATCCAACATCGATGGCCGCTTCTCTGGCTTCTCTTGGCAACAACTGAGGGCTAAACCTACGAATCTCTCTATACATTCAGATGGATAAGAACCCATTCTACTGTCTATTATAGAGAACATCATGTCCGACTGAAGAGCCGTATTCACCTGAATATTGATTTCAGATTAAATACCTAACTTTAACATCCACAAGAACAATAAGATTGACCAAAATTTTAAAATTTGCAAAGGCAAATGTTCTTGCAGCTTTCAAACAAACAGCGTTTAGCTACGATTACTGAGAGCACTACATGGGAAAGTACCTCACGGACAATGTTTTTGCCATGCGATATTGGTTGCATACCCGTCAACAGCTCCAGGAAAACGACTCCAAGACTATAAACATCACTTTTGTCCGTCAACTTACGGGTCAAAAAGTATTCTGGATCAAGGTAACCCTGCACATAACAAGAGAGCAATAAAGTAAATTTCAGTGATGCAATATAGCGACTAACATCTAGAAGTTTATCTCTAAAACAAGGGGATCCAATCTGCAGATTGGAACTTCATATTTGACCAATAGTACAACTGAAATGGTGAAATTTTTCCTGGAAGAAAAATATAAACTATACTTCTGTGTTTATTGTACCATATATCTGATAATTTTTCTCCTACCTGATTAATCTGATAATTTTTACTAGAGTTTCATCCTACAATGAGAAAGTATAATGTATAATGGGATGCCTTGTAGCCATTTTTCACTGACAACTCCCACTGAAGTCTAAGACAAACTTTCCTACAATATCTTCAATGAACACTAGAGGCTAAACAGAGCCAAACTCACTGGTGTTCCCTTCACAATTGTGGACACGTGATCTGGCACAGTCCCTTCTTCTCCCAGGACTGGAGCTAGCCGTGAGAGACCAAAATCAGCAACTTTGGCAATAAGCTTGGAGTCCAGAAGAATGTTGCTTGCTTTGATATCTCGGTGGAATACCGGAGGATGTGCTTCAGTATGGAGGTAAAGAATTCCTTTGGCTGAACCCAGTGCAATACGTAATCTCATTCCAAAATTTAGGCTTTCTTTAGCTTTAGCTGCATATCATGGATTACATCGATTTTATTATAAGAAAATTTGAAAACATATCAGTATCAACATGCTCATAAACTAAAAGATTCAAAAGAAAATTGATTCATAGCATTTGGATATTAGGCCTAACTCCAGCTGAATGAGCCAGTTCAAATCCCCCCCTCCCCCCAAAATTTGTATCTTATGAAAACAGAAAATTAATTCATACAACTTTGAAAGGGACAGGTTATGGCATTGGCAAAGCTAACAGTTCAAAATCAAGGGGGGGCCACACAGACCCATATGTAGATACTTGAAAACCTAATTTACCTATACATACCTTACTTTCAAAATCAACTTGGGTATCAAGCTGTTCAAAAACAAATAGTCGAGTCTAGAGGGCAAATATAATTTCGAAATTGGCAAAGATAAATCCTTAAATGTAAAGTTAGTTGTCACCTTCAGATATAGTCTCAACTTGGATGACGAATAAATTTAAAGCATCTTTAGGAGGGAGATGGGAGAAGTGACATTTGCCCTAAAAAATGTTTCAGGTATTTACGAGCTAAGTAGCCAATTAATCAGGAATATTTTGTCAAGAATTAAAAAAGGGAAAGATACAAAGTAAGATAATAATATAAAACTTGAAAAGCAATGAATCCTGAAAAATTCATACCAGAAAGCCAGTCCCTCAGGGTGCCATTGGGCATGAACTCATATACCAACATCTGCAAATGCACCAATAAACCAAATATATGAATTATATCTCTAATTGAGTCATACCTTATGTACCTAAAACCTGATGAATACCATGCTTATAATTTTTAAAACCACTTCATAAGGACACAAACAGACGTGCATGCAGACCCCAGACTACACACATAATTGACATAATAAGGGTACTTAGTAGTCAGGACCGCAAGAAAAAACCTGTTCCCCTTCTTCATCACAATATCCAACCAATGAAACTAGGTTCCGGTGATGCAGCCTCGATAAAAGCCTTATCTCTGTCAAAAACTCCTTTTGTCCCTGCAATGATCCTTCTTGTGCACGCTTTATAGCAACTACTGTTTTGTCAGATAAAGTGCCTTTATACACTTTTCCATATCCTCCTTGTCCAACTTGAGTTGAGCTGTTAAAGTTGTCAGTAGCAAGTGCCATTTCTCTAAACGTAAAGTCTTTCACTCCATCAATTTTCATAGAAACCCTTGTAGCTGCAAAGTGATATAAAAAAGTTGGACTACTTTTCTGGTGATAGATGGGGACTTATTATAGGGGAAAAAATTTAAATACTTATATTAAGAAGCTTACATAATCGATTTCTTGACATTGCACGGTGGTTTCTAACATGTCTTCTTGTTATTAGAATTGTTACTAAAATAGACATTGCAACAGCACAGGCAACACCCCCGACTACAATGGCAATCAAAATGCCTTTACTAATACCCTTACTTTCATTCTCGAAGTTCACTACAGAAATAACAAATCAAGCAACACATCATTAATAATAATAATAATAATAATAATAATAATAAGACAAAACTGTATACAAAATATTATACACAAAATTAATCTATCAAATGGCTTACTATTTTATTCTTAGAATAAAAGGATATATATCCACCGGATTTCCTAGTTACAGTCCACCTTATTGTACCAAAGGCACAGTCTTGCTTATCTCAAATGTGTACCATCTATATTACATGCCAAGAAACTAAAGTTTGCTCGTGTTGGTTGTCTCATTTTGTATAAACAGATATTCTAACAATTTTTATACTAACTAGAAGCGCTCTCAACATTGTAAAAACTGAAATTCCAGTTCTGTCCTAAAAGTTTCAAGCATAAGAATGAATAGATTTTGGTGGTATTAAATTATTTCAGGTTAGTACTAAAAATCAGCTTCTCAATTACTACTTCAACCATGTCACTATAATAAGAAAGCATATTTTCCATTAAGTACCCGAAGAATTGCACAATGAAATACGTACCATCTGCATAAGGTCCTTGTAGAGTGAAGTTGAGCAACTCATATGGTCCAAACAAGTCGCTACCAGGAAAAGCCCATGATGTAAATATGTCTCTGATTCTCTGAACTTCGCTAACGTCAAAAGTTGAATGGTTATTATTGATACTAGGAAAAAGCTTCAAATACATCCTCAGACGTGGTCCTTTTTCCCAAATATATGTATCAATTGACAGTTGATATAGGCTTAAGTTCAAAGAAATAGTCAAGTACACCTCAAAAGGCTGGATATATGGAGGAAAATAAGAAAAACTAGGGCTCTTTAGACGATATCCAATTCTAAGAGGTGCTGCACAGAAACATGGAACAGGAGATGCTGGGACATATTCGTAGAAATTGTCTGTTGGGCATGCTTGAATTAGGCATTTTGCTGTTGAGTTATTCAAGTTTGTAAGCATATCTTCCTCTCCGGATTCAGATCCACAGAACAGGCTTATATTCAGTAAGTTCGCAGTTTGGCAGACAGGATTGCCTCCAAGCCTAAAGTAAAACTGCTAAAATTGTAAGGATTTGAGAAATGAAATTCAAGACAGTGCATGAAAAAGGATGAGATTCTTTCTGTTAATGTGCCAATACTTTTCATTACAACTGGAAGTAAGAAAGGAAACAAATATAGAAAGAAGAAAAGAAAGGAAATCATTTAGACATATAAGTGGGAAAAGAGAAAATATGCTATAAGCCTAACATGAAATCCATTAACCAAGACAATGCATGGAGAAAATACAAAAGAAACAACAGATCCTGTCATTTCAATTATGAGCCATTTCTTGCGTAGCTTGAATTTAACATGGTATCAAACATTTCTTTTGCAGTAAGTGTGGTTAGTCAACTTTTCTAATCTTAAGTATGTTGTGGGATGCTATTGTAGTATCTTAAGATATTTTAAAGCTGCTCCAAGGCATGGCTTACTTTACAAAGTCTTGACTGAATGCAATGAAGTTAGATGGCTAAGTAAAGTTCAAGTGCAAAATCAAGTATTATCCTATTTCTTTTAACAAACCTTTGATTCAAAATTTTGATCAATTTAATAACTAAATTATAGGATATCTTTAATTTTTTTTGAGATCAGCAACGAAATTTATAGATACATTATTACAAACTATTAACATATGTTTTTATACATTTAATGTTTCGATATATTGCATTTCTTGTGCATTGCATGAATTCAGAACTAACTTGTTATTGTACTTTTACTTTTTCTTTTCCCGCCACAAGATTTTACTAATGGTCTAAGTATTTTATTTTATTAATAGGCAATATATGGGAAATTACCATGAAATGAAATACACTAACAAAAGAAGATGAAAAGTTCACATTTGTAAAACCAAATGCATCATGTAAAAAGGTTGTGTGAAAAGTAAAAGATCTATGCAAGTCCATGAACCCAAGGGCACAATAAACAAGAAAGTGTTAATTTTCTATTATAGTTTACCCAAAATTTCACTTTACTACAAACTCAGATAATATATCCAATTAATAACAAATTAAAGTATTAAACCATTACTTGACCGAGGCTAATGAATGATACCAGAGAAATAAGAAGTTTACCTCAAGGTAACATTCACCGGAGGATTAAGATTTCCTTCAATACTTGAGAATGAATTGTTTCTGAGATCACTGTGTTTTGAATGTGCAAATAGAGGAAAACTATTACCAATACATTATATTTCATAACTGCATTAGTTTGCAATGTGCATGAATACAAAAGTCGTCAAAGAAAATGGTTTAAGATTAATGATTTCTCCACTTTTAGATCTTACAGCTTAAGTCTAGCACTTGTACTGAAGGACATGTTCTGCCAAAAGTTGGTAGGCACAGAACCTGTCAGAAAATTATTCTCGAGTGATCTGCAATAAACCATCATTTAGATTCTAGACTCTGCAAATATAGTTGTCCATTAAGTCATAAGAGCATCATATATAGATATTAAAAGCATCATTCCACAACAGGAAATACAGAACAGTTTTAATATGCATATAGATTCTCACAGAGTCTGAAGTGAAGGAAGGTCCGAGAAACTTCCAGGGATAGATCCGTTTAGATGGTTATCTGAAAGATCACTGCAATTAACAAGAAGTAATTTCATATTGGGAATTTGTATGCCTTGCATTTTAGTTTAATAATCAACAGAAGGTAATAGTACAAATTTCACAAGATTAACTTATCATTCAGTTTAAATATGAGGCCAAATGGGATATCCAGATTGAAGCAGGTAAAAATCGACAAGAGGTTACTTTATTTATTTATTGAAACAGAACAATTGATAAGTGTAAATTAGCAATTTACTTACATGGTTGTCATATTATCTGAAAGCTTATTTGATGGTATGGGTCCAGTAAGATGATTCTGGCTGAGATCCCTGCCACACGAATACAGCAACAAGAATAGAAGTTAAGTTTGGTGGCAGCAACAAGATGGAAATTATTGCATAAAATAAATGCGGCCCATGAAGGTAATATCAAAATCCACACAATAATTTAAACAGAAACCCAGGCATACAGATAGGAAAGGTCAGGCATCCTGCTAAGATCAGGAACTGCTCCGTGCAAGCTGCAATTTCTAAGACTTCTGAAAGCCACCAGGAGAAATAAAATAGCATCAGTAGTCTTGAGTAGATTGTGCAACATATTGCTAATACAAATTTTCCATTGTATTAACTACAAAAGCCAGACAGAATTAAACATTGAAGAGCGAAGAAAGTATGTAATCTCCGACTTTGGAATTGATGCATTTATATCTCAAGGGCAATTCCCTGGTCTTTATGATTTTTTTAAATCTTGAGAGACACAACAAATAGTTACCTTAGCAAGCATAAACATTGATATTACTTCACTAAATAACCTGCAAGACTAAGTAAATGGTTTACTAACACTCACAATTTCACTAATCTGGAAAAGTTCCCATAAGAAGCTGGAATAACAGATCCATTGAAGTTATTGTTATCAAGCTGACTGCAGAGATGACGAAAAAAATTAATGTCGATAAAATTAACATCCATAAAGAAAAATGACACATGCATGCCTTATCAAAGTGTGCTACTTAAAACTTTAGTAAATGTCTAACACTTACTATGATAGGAAAGGGCATAACATCAATAAAGGAGCAAGTTAAACCAGGAAGATAATAGACCAATAACTAAATCACATAATGAGGAAGATGATTGAAGAGAAGAAACATACAGTACGCGCAACTCTGGCATGTTTGAGAATTCTGGTGGTAGATCTCCTGATAAGTCATTATTATCCAAAAGCCTGCAGAGAATCGAAATTTATGTCACCAATCACTCACCACAAGATAAAAGTAAAAAAAATATAGATAACCACGCAAAAAAGTTAGAAAAAGAAAAAACAATATGAATGAGAGCATATTTTTTATGATCTTACAAGTGAAGCAAAGTGGATAACTGAGACAGCTCAGGGGGAATTTGGCCACTAAGTGAGTTGTTGTTGAAGTGGCTGCACATTACAAACAAGCAGATATATATGTAGAAAAGTGTTAATCTTCTTGTTAAGTTGACATAGCATTTAGCTTACTTACAGATGTCTGATACTGCTCAAATCAGCATATGTTTTTGGTATTTGACCAGAAAGGTTGTTCTCGTCTATTTGAAGTCTATTCAGATTTGAGAGGTAGCTGAGTTCATCTGGCAAAGAACCTGATAAATTGTTTCCATTCAAGAGTCTGCATACATAATGCCACGCAGAAAGTTAAAACTAAAAAGGATATTTTAACAACTTTGAATGAATTTCTCCACCATAAATTTATTTGAGGGCTTAGATTGAGATAAAATTCGAATAGTAAAAAGATGTCCCTTTTCCATAAAATATCCTTCTGATCTATCATTGAAAAGGAAATTTTACTCTAATATCTTTATTCAAGAGAAGAAGGAATAAGAAAGTCCAACTTACAGGAGTCTTAAGGTAGAGATGTTTCCTATCTCCTTGGGTATACTGCCCGTCAATTCATTCCACATGAAATCTCTTGCAGAAAATAAAAGGAAAAAAAGGTGTCAGCACCACTGGAAATTTATCAGCAATGGTTAAGATATATTTTATTTATCAACTCACAGTATTTTAAGATGAGAAAGTTGAAGAAGTTCAGGTGCTAAAGTTCCCGAGAGATTCATATTTGGCAGCTGACTGCATCAATTTACAGAAGGCAGTTAGTAATAATTATTTTCACCAACAATAATGCTGAAAGGAAGAGCAGCAATCCTATCACAAGTAGATTCAGAGAATGCAAAGAGTGGTAAGAGAAAACATACAGCTCCTGAACATGCAAATATCCGTCATTGCCAAGATTATCCTTGCATAGAAGTCCAGTCCAGTTGGATGTGCAAGGATCCCCGTCGTTCCAATTTCTGAGATGGTTCATGGGATCAACCAATTGCTTCTTCACTGCTAGCAATGCACTAACTGCAAGTGGGAAATGAAACATACATATATGCTGACTTTAACCGAAAAAGAAATCGAATAACGTAATACTAGTAACTAATAAATTCCTGGCTTAGCCTGGGCTTCAAGGGTAGCATTGGTCAAAAGCAGAACCATGTATATCTCACCAAAACATGCTTAGATTAGACGTAGAATCAATACAAATTACCCTTACCCGATTGTATGATCCTGAATTGTAGCAGAGCAGAATCGGACAGAAGAAAATAAACTTAATATTGGTAATCTAATCAATATTATTGTTATTTAGATTAAATTTGTAATTTCATAATTAATCAAGTCAAGTTACGTAAATCTGACAATATAAAACATGACACGTGATACAAGACAAACATAATATGAACATAGGACATAAAAATAACATAACTTAAAATTTTACAATAATCATATATAAGTTTAATAAAACAAAAAATATATATTTCATATTTTGTAATACGTAATTTTCGTATAAAATTTAACATGATATGAATACAATAATGGCTAACTCTAAAGCTATGATTAGGGTGGATAAAAATTCAGTTCTATCGGATTCGATTTGATTTTTTCGGATATTATATAATATTATGAAAATTTTAAATTCGATTTCAATCTGAATCGAATCAAACTTATATTTGAATTGAAATGAATTTTTATTTAAATAGAACTGAAATTTACCGTTTTGTTTAATTTCTCAAAATTTAATTTTTAAGTATTATTTTAATATATTTAAATAAATATTAATATAAAATTATTATTTTTATTTTATAAAAATTTAAAAAATATATAAAAATTTTAAAAAAATTTCGGTTTGATTTTTTATTTTTTTATTTAAAATTCGATTCAAATTTAATATATATATATATATATTTAATATTCAAATTTAATCCTATTCGAATAAATAAAATCAATCCAAACCGAATCGAATACTACATTTCAATTCGACTTTCAAATTTTCGGATTTCTCATTTTTTTTTCTCTCGAACCTTAGCTATGATATTTTTAATATTGTATATAGTCCAAGAAAGTGTTGATACTTGATATGAGAAAATTTTGTGTGTTATATGTTAGATTCTTCACTGTGCGAACAGTTAGGAAATGTAAAGATGCAGCTTTCGATTGGAACTGGAACTAGAGTTAAAAATATCTAAACTTAGGATGAGAATGATATTGATTAATAACTCTGACCTTCGGAAGGATCCGTTACAGATGCAGCGGCAGCAAGGAGCAGAATACAACACCACCACAGCCAGAAGGCCAATAAGCATTCCCCCACTCTCATCATAATCATCGTCATCATCATCATCCAAGTCCAAACTTCAGCTGATCATAAAACACTCAAAATTTAGTTTGAAAAAAAAAAAAAGCTATGAAATTTTTATCTGTTACTTTATTAGTAGCTAGGTTGGAAGGTAGAAGGAAAGAAGAAAGTAGCTGGGATAGGAATAGCGTGTAAGTTTGAACAGCAGCAGCTGTGCAGCCGCGGTGTTTGCGAAAATGACAAAAATAATATCGATGGAGATTGCTGTTGACTTTTTGTTACCAAAGCCCACATTTCAACGATCATCGACACTGGATATTGGGAGCCGAGTATTTTATTTAGATATTTTATAATTATTAGCCATGTTGCTTTCCTAAAGGAGAAAAAAAAATGACAAAATGGCATCAACTTTGTTTTCCTCCACCTGCTCCTCCTCGTATTTATCAGACAATCAATTAAAAAGTTGGACTTGGCACAACTGGTTTGAAGTTAATTGTGGATTAACGATGGGGTTTTTAGTGCAAATGAACGTGATCAACTTCTTGACTTTGTTATCAAATCGTCATCAACTTGTCGATCAACAGAGATACAAAAGGAAGTTAACGTATGAGACACGTTGAAGGGGCTATCTGTCGGATCCATAGTCCATGTAATATCTCAAGCACACATCGATTTTTGCATCATCAATCTAAAATACTGTCTTCATTATTAACATGATATTCTAATATTTATTTTATTTTCCAGTTCTTATATGTAAAAACAAAGCCGTAAAAAGACAATAAGCTTAGCAGCCATTTGTTTTCCTAATATTCAAAATTATGAACTTAATTTCATCATGATTAACTGATAAGACCACATTTGATTCCTGCAATGAGTATCAGCGAGCTCTGATGGTGGGGATTACACCGCTGACAAGTTCACTTCCTAAGATTTCAGTGGTCCTTAATTTGGATTTCCTTCCAGGGTTGAGAGGCGATGAGCCCACCTCTGATCCTTCGGAAGTGGATGCATCTGGCTCTACTGGAATCATATCAGGCTCCGGAAGCAGTGAGCATAAGTTCTCTAACTCTCTCACAGTTTCCAACATTGTTGGTCGTTCCTTGGGATCATCCTGGCAACACTTCAGGGCCAGTGCCATAAATTTCTTGATGCTTTCATGAGAGTATGAACCCATTCTCTGGTCTATGATGGAAAACATCAATCCTGATTGACAAGCTCCATAAACCTGCAGTAAATGTTTACTTATGATTTCGCTAAAGAAAAAAAGGGTTCTAGATTTCCAGATTGCTTGCCACAATATGTTTATTTACCAATGAGAAAATTCGACAGCAGAAGATTTTCGACTTAATAATTGCATCACAGTGTTTCTAACTGTTTTGTTCAATAAAGAATGTTGTGATGAATTTAGAGAAAGAATCAGATAAGGAAAAATATGTTTCACCTAGGGTTAATTTCAAATTAATTCTCTGACATTGATACAAAATCAATCCTATATTCACAAGTATATTTATATGCATTACAGACTTGACATAGTGTAGAGATAACGTCTTTTTTTTTTTTTTTTTTTGAGAAATTTTGCGGGAAAACTGAATAAACAGCTTGTGGCAGAAAGACAAAGGAGCATAGCCATTAGTACCTCTCGAACAATGTTTCTGCCATGAGAGATAGGCAACATCCCTGTCAAAAGCTCCGGAAACACTATTCCAAGGCTATAGACATCACTTTTCTCTGTCAACTTGTGAGTCAAGAAATATTCTGGATCCGGGTAGCCCTATATCGAAAACAAAATGGAAGTGAACGTCATGATAACATTCTACTGCAAGCAAGAACTCATGCATCAAATGACAGCTGTAACATTTCTCAAAAATTATGTGCATAGAATATATTTTAAACTGCAGCTCAAACCAATATACGAATTCCAGGTCACTCAGAATTTGGCAGATTAAAGTTCAAGGTTTCTGTTCTTGGGGAAAAAGTTAAATCCTCATCCCTGGTGTTAGTGTAGAACTAAGCTATGCTAGTTTGCTTGTGGAAACGTGATATATTTATCACAAAGATCTTACTGGTGTGCCTTTCACAACTGTGGATACATGAGCTGAAGCTCCTTCAACATCTGATACTCGTGCAAGCCTTGAGATTCCAAAATCAGATACTTTAGGAGTAAACTTGAAATCCAACAAAATGTTGTTTGCCTTGATATACCGATTAATCATTGGCGGATCAGCTTCAGTATGAAGGTAGAGGATGCCTTCGGCTGAACCCAATGCGATATGCAATCGCATGGAGAAACTCAAGGTATGTCTGTATCTATCTGTGATTGGTTCACTTAAAACAATGTAAAATTTTGCAACAATATACATTAGCTGTTAAAATCAGTGAACTGGAAAATAATTTTGGTAGATTTTCATCTTGAAGGAACCAGACAAATATCAAGACGAAGTCAAACAGCACGTGGAATTAGAAAAATGGCCAGGATTTTCAGAAATTATACATTTGAAAGAAACCACATGTACAGTTTAGCCAAAGGAAAAGTATTGCTTTACTTGGCGTCTATAGTTTCATTCTGAAAAGTAAAAACCTCTACTTGACACAACTGAGCCCTTAACATCAGATAAAACATGACAAATTTACCTGAGGGAAGATCATGGAGAGAACCATTGGGCATAAACTCGTACACTAACATCTGCGAAGAAAAATGCCAAACGTTATCTTTCTTTTTCTATGCAAATATTAGATGCATCTGATTTAATCTGAATTGGTATCCTTTCATACAATGGGGAAATAAATTCACCATGTCTAAGACGTGCATAATCAGCCAATATAATCCAAGGAGCATTAAAAGGATCCTAAGGGAATATCCAAGTTTATTGCAGCCTTGAAATGTAGCAGGAAAGATTTATTCAGTTAAAAATGTCAATAAAGCTTAAAATATATAGCATATCAGCAGGTCTGAACCAAGATTCTACATTTATAAGATAAAATGTCTTGCGCTCAAGTGAAATTTTGATGGCTTAGGTATCTATACATGGGCTTTTCTCATGATTTTCAGTGACAGATGGCCTTTTTTTTTTTTTTTTCCTTTTCTTGTTAAATCTTCGGTCCCCTTGTGTTCAGTTAATTTAGTTTGTTATATGATGCTTTTCCAAGAAATGACAGGGAATGCCATGACTGCACCTGCTCGCCTTGTTCGCTACAGTATCCAACCAAAGTAACCAGGATCCAATGATGTAATAGTGACAGCAGTTCTATTTCAGTTATTAACTCTATCTGACCCTGCAAAATCCTTGTTGGGCACGCTTAATTGCCACTACTGTTCCATTAGCCAAAATGCCTCTGTAAACCTTTCCGTAGCCTCCTTGACCAACTTGAGAGGTATCTTTGAAACCGCTTGTAGCTGCTTCAAGTTCTACAAAGTCGAATTCCTTAACACCTTCAGTTCTGATTGGAACTTTTGAAGCTGCAGAGGGAATAAAAAAGGAACAAGGATCATTGCCGTTATATATGGTAAACAAGAGATGATATCCAGGCCTGGCGATTGAGAAATTATATGTGCACTTACTTGACTGTTTTTCTAACACTTCATGCCCGAAACTGGCGCGCCTTCTATAGAAGAGGACCATAACAACCAAAAATTGTGCAAGTACAAATATGGCCCCTAAGATTATTCCTATTAAAATGCCTTTACTTATTCCTGATTTCACCGCAATAACAAGAATCTGTTTCTAAATAGTATGTCCCGCAGTGTTATTAACTTATTATGAGCTTTCGTTTTTAATTTAGAAATGGTATCCATATAAAGTCTATGGTATTCTAATCAACCTTCTAATCCATACCAGCCACCATCTGCCAGCACACTCTCTTGTTTTTTCTTTTTGGATGAAGGAAGTAATCCTTTAACCAATACCAAACCAGGGAGACCTGCAACTATAGAACAACTCGCAAAGGACAACTAAAACATAGAAACAAAAACTAATTAAGAACCAAAAAACCTGTTGATTAATCCTACATTCAATAAGCAAATTTCTGTTCCTAGTAGAATCTATGATCCAGTTGAAACCAGAAACTTTAAGTCACACAGAATCAACTATTAGCATGAAGATTTTAGTATCAATCTGACAAGAATGTTGATGGAGCATGAATTTTCTCTCTCTAAATGTTGTGGATATAAGTATTCCCATCTGCCAATATTTGTGCATCATGCATCATAAACTTCAACTTGTACAGGGAAATATGTAGTCAACACTACAGGGGTTTTAATTTTTGGCGGCATTTTTTTCATCATTTAACGGCGTTTATTAACGCCGCTATAAGATTGTGGCATTTGCGGAAAAATGCCACACAAAGTGCTGTCTATTTACGCGTCGTGGTAAATAGCGGCGTTTTCGAAAAAACACTTTAATATTAGTGGCGTTTATATCTAAAGCGCTGTCATTTTAGCTGTGTTTATATATTTTAGACGCCGCTACTTTAAAGGCGTTTTCATCTAAAAATGACTCAATATTAGCAGCATTTATATCTTTTAATCGTCGCTATTTCAATGACGTTTTTATGAGATAAATGTCGTTATATTGACGATGTTTGTAATAGAAAACGTCGCTACTTTAGAAGTGTTTGAATATGAAAACACCTCAATACTTGCGACGTTTGTATCTTTTAGGCACCGCTAATTCAGTGGCGTTGTTATGAGAAAAACGTTGTTGTTTTAATGGCGTTACTATAAAAAAAGACACCAAAGTAGCGGCGTTTGCTGGAAAGAGCACCGCTACTTATAGTGGCGTTTTATACTATAAACGCAACTAAATTATTCATTTACTGACAATGCTCAACGCAAACGCCGCCATTATGTAAAAATATATATTTTTTAATTTCTTATAATAAATTTTATTTTCAATAAAAAGTTTAAATTCAGAAACTGAAATTAATTTTAACTTCATTCACGATTAAATATACATATAATTAATACAAAGTTTAATAATTAGTATAATAACATTCAAATATTGTAAATACATTAACCAAACAAAAAAATTAAAATGTATGAAATGGATGACTACATACATTTTGCTGGTTGCCAATTGATGAAGAAACTTTTCCACCTTGGTCACTAGCGTGTTCAACAACCTACTAAATAATACCATATAATTTTTAACACTTCATTGTATGCTTATTTTTTATTTAAAAATTTTAATATTTATTAAATATAATACCTGAGTTGATGGAGCACCAAGATCATTTCTTAAAAATTGTTGTTGCACAAAATTCATAAGATGATCGAATCGATCATGCAGCTGCTGAA